ATTCAGAGGGGTACACAAAGTCTGTGGTCTGGACTACCAGTTGTCCGACTTCCATTTTTTGTGGAAGCCGCGGTGGCTGAGCGGGTTAGGTGTCTGACTTTGTGTACTGACTCTCAGGGTGTGGGTTCTAATGCCGGATGGAACTCGACCCGACAAAAACTACTAGAATCTGTACTTTACTATGGTGACATTTATCGTATCTTATGCTAACAGGAGTGAGTGAGTGTGTGAGTGTGTGAGTTAGTGAGTATGGTTTTTCGCCCCTTTTAGCAATATTTCAGCAATATTTCAAAGCGGGGAACGCCAGGGATGGGCTTCACACAATGTACCCATGTCGGGAATCGAACCTGTGTCTTCGGCTCGACGAGTGAACGCTTTGACCACAAGGCAACCCGACCGCCTCTTACAAACAGGAACTTCCTAACTAGTGCGCACCAAACCATTTCATACCTGCTAGTTAATAGCCCAGAGACATACTATACAACTGGAATAAGCCAGTGTGGTCGTAGTGGATTCTGCTCAGACAGTAGCTAAATACTCTCTCAGAGCTACCAGTATCACCCCCAGTGTTTTCGGGTTGAAGACTGTTAAAATCACTTCGGAGCGAAAAAGCCCAAAGACAATCTCAAGATGATGTGCAGCCATCATGAAGCTGCTCATGAAGAAGGACGGTGGGGTAGCCAAGTGGTTAGACCCTTCGTTAGTCACGCCAACACTTGTAAAATGTGTAACGCCCATGTCTGAGGCATATTGCTAATATATTTTGTTTGTTCCGCGATACTTTAACACATAATATAGGCAAACTGTGGCATCGATCGCGTCCCCTTTCATTCAAACGTTTGTAAAGACTAGAAAAAGAAAACATTAGGATGCGGTCTTTTGTTCCAAAGCCAGTCTGGACACATTTGGTCATCCAATATCCACTTTTTATTCTGTATAGTTCCATTCGTGTTTAACGCCACATTCAGGGTTATTCCGATTTTATGATGTGGGCCCAAAAACAACGGAGCCTGGACCAGATAGTCCAGTGATTGGGATCATGTACTCATATTGCATTATTCCACGCTGTCAACCACGTCACTAAATCTGACAGAATGAAAATTATTGTATTGGTTTTGCTGGAATAAGAAATATCTCTACATCATAATTAATAAACAAAAAGATTAAAAAAACGAACTTGCTGACATTACATTTTTAAGAATATGAAATGAATCCTGATAATTATTAGGTATGCAAATAATATCAATTGATAGTTTTTAGAAAACTGTTTTTGCGTTTGGGAAATTGAGATGTGTACATTGCGTAACGATTTAAGTGTGAAAATATGCTAAAAATTATTTATGGCGTGAAAGTTTAGTATACCGAAACACTAAACACAACATGTCAAACATATGTCGCACGATACATCGGTAATCATTCAGAGCATTGTTAAATGAACCAGTCACAACATAGGGGGCATGTCCACACTTATTATTGACTTAAGAGAGTCACGGCTGAAAGTGCACTTGAGGGAAAATGCCACCAGAATAAAAGCAGGTCTTTGGCCCACACCACAAGCACCGCCAGAATAAGAGCCTGTGTAGTAAACTTAGGGTCAATATTATTCGTTAAACTGCTATACTGAGTCGGTATGTGCGAATGTCAGCTTTCGCGATTCGGTAATCTGTATTCTGAATGGTCAATTCAAAAGGTTAGCTGTCGCGACCTTCTACAAGGGTTTGTTAGACTGGGTCATTGGTCCACAAAACTTGCACTTCCAGATTGAGAGTAGTTCTTTGGCCCACACCACATGCACTACCAAATTAAGAGCGGTTCTTTAGCCCACGCTTCATGCACTACCAGATTAAGAGCGGTTCTTTAGCCCACACTCCATGCACTACCAGATTAAGAGCAGTTCTTTAGCCCACACCCATGCACTACCAGATTAAGAGCAGTTCTTTGGCCCACACCACATGCACTACTAGATTAAGAAGAGAAGTGGCAGAAAGTCACATTTTATACAAATTTTCAACATATGGCACAGATATCCAAATAGAGTAGAACAACATAAGTTTACAGTGATGCATTAAATGGAACAGCTAAATACATTATTCTACCGTTACTCTACAGGTTACATTAAAAAATAACATGACACTATGTATATTATACAGGGAACTTGAACACACCTGTCACTCACAATCATACTTACGGGATGGTGCCTTGCCTTGGCTTTTCAATTAGTAATCTCGTGCAGCGCAATGCCAGATAATTCACAATAGGGTACATGTAATATTTTGATTCTACAGTCGCGTGTCCTATACTAATGATCATAGTGAGTATCAGCTTACCATACAGAAAAGAGATAAATTAATGTACATAGTACTACATACCTGTAAAAGGTGAGGTGAGGTGAAATTGGGTTTTACGTCGTGCTTGAGAATATTTCGCTCATATGATGACGTGCATGCGTGTGTATGTGTGTATGTGCGGCTGCTTGTACTAGCCCAGACTGAAGCTGGTTTTATAGTGCTAGCCCACTGAGATACCATGCCGCAGTGAAGCATGAATACCCCACTCAGACACATTATACTGACTCCGAGCCGACCAGTCCTTGTTGTACCCATTAATGCCGAGCGCCAGGCAGAGACCAACAAGTACCATATTTTAACGTCTTTTGGTATGACGCGGTCGGGGAAACCTGTGAAAGAGACATCAGTGTTTGGTGATGTGCGGACGAGCGGAGACAACAGTTATTGTTTCTCCTCTCTGTATGTTGTGATAGAAACTGACATCTGAACGTTTCCACGTCACATCTCAGGTATGTGCACGAGATACTACTGGTAAGACAACCAGGCGGAGGGTGAGAGCAGAGGGAGGGAGAGAGTTGAGTGACAGCAGAAGCGTACGTAAAAGGAACTAGACGAAACTGAAATAAGTCTTAGTTAAGTCGTACTAACGCATCCGGCGACACAACAAGTAATTATAAACCCAATAACTTGTCCTTAGTTGTGGCAGTGTCCAAATGAAATTCAGAACGGTTACCGTGAATTTATACATGAAACATCCGTGTCAAGGCACGCAAAAAATATTTTTGCATGTGACCTGGACTCATATTTTAGGTATGATTGTGGCAACTGTGACCTAATTCCTATGCATTCTGCGTCAAAGTTTTGCAGCTACATACATGTGATGTTAAATACAATATCAGTTTGTGTCATTATTTATTATCAAATGAATAAGATAATGTTTTAAAATGTCAGTAGACATCCATATCCATATCTGATAATGGAGCATGATACAGTTTCTGGAAAGAGTTATGAAGGCGTTTCTGATCCACATATCATATGGAAAAGGTGTTTATTAGAAGCACGAATTTCTGATCCGAAAGCCCTCATTATGGGTGTGTGTGAAGCCCTCATTATGGGTGTGTTGTGTGTGTTAAAATGATTTGGGGTGTTCTTTACTGCCATCTTTTTACGTAACTCATATTCTGACCCTTCTCCCATTCCGCAAATGTAGTTTCTGTGTGACAATATTTCATGCCCCTACCCAAAACAGAAGACCAATCCATAAATAGGGTGCATGGTTTAATTTGTTTAATGTGCTCCGTCCCCTTTAAAGGGCGGTGGGGTAGCCTAGTGGTTAAAGCGTTGGCTCGTCACGCCGAAGACTCGGGTTCGAATCCCCACATGGGTACAATGTGTGAAGCCCATTTCTGGTGTCCCCCACCGTGATGTTGCTGGAATATTGCTAATAGCGGCGTAAAACCAAAACTCAGTCAGTCAGTCAGTCCGTCCCCTTTCCTACCTGTCTCGTTGTGAAAAGAATAGAGGGACAACCGTCTCTCTGTCAATCTTTCAAGCGGTAACCCCTCATACACGCAGACACATACAGGCACGCATACACACACCTATAAAATGAATATAACAGGCCTTGAATGCAGTACTTATCGTTAAATTATGCCGTTGTAATCCATTGTTTTCTCAACAGTGATGGAACAATTGTGAAATTTGTCTGTAACTTATTAAAGGCCCCTTTATCTGAAATAGCCATATAGTCGCTGTATTTGAAATGTCGCTGTAGATTGAGCAATGTGACCAGCTCGTCAATGACAAACACGCTGGTAGTGGTGAGTACACTTTTTCATTAAAGTCACCAGATCAATATATCACCCTGCAACAGTTTACAAACAAATAATTGGACAGCGAAATAATCAATCCGTATGAGAATTGTTCAATATAATAGCAAATAGGTGTCAGATAATCATCTTGTACAGGTTGCATTCATTAAAATATCTACATATTCATATTCTACAAATACATACACTACAGTCAAAAGATTCATACAGTGAAGTGATGCAATGGAAAACGATAAACCTTTCCCATTTATGGAATGGAGTTTAATTATCTCTTCCCTTCACAAAATTGCAAAGGCATACTCTAAAAATGCACAATGACAAATGTTATGCTATAAATGAATAGTTTATTAATTATATATTTATAGTTTTGTTCAAACATCAAGAACAGCCGTAACGAAAAACCATTAGTAGGGAGAATCTTGAGATTTGAACCCACGATCATTGGAGCCTATTTGACTTTTGGAGCGCACTACTGCACGAGTAAAAATATCCTGAGCTTTAAATGAAAGTGCCTCCCTGTATCCCTTGGACAGATAGTGGACAATGGCCGGAACACTGAATGAACAGCAAAATTGCTAAAAGCGGGGTAAACTAAACCCACTCACTCCCTGCAGAATGCGCGATTGTTTTTTAACAATACCATATATAATAACGATCGGCTTCTTCTTGTGATTGAAAAATACATCAACATTTTTTCATGTAGCAGGCAAATTGCAAAGTTCATGTGGATAAAAACAGTTTCATTTGTTATACACAATCGAACGAAAGACAATTTGAAAAATCGTGAAGTGGCGACAGGTTCGGCTGTTTGTCCCCTGCGCTTACCCAGCCTCGTTTTGAGCATTGATATGACGTCACCAGGATTTCCCTTCGCAGCAAGGGGATTCCCCGATGTCCTTGGACTTTGCTTGGGTTCAGAGTTCAGACTAAACGCAGGCAGCAATCATGGATCGTCTGAACGTAGTGTTTGGCCATTTGAGCTCGTCGGTGACGACACACGATGTGGCAGCATCAGCAAACTCTGCGGACGACATCGTTGTTGTACAAGCGTTGAGGACTCCGATAGGAAAAGCAAAAAGGGGGTCATTTAAGGTTTGTTTTTTGCACCTGTATCATCAGTTACTAAAAAAATGCAAAGTCATTAACAGAGACCATATACCATAGACCGATATATGATCTCAGTCATTAATGAGATTGTTGTCAGTGATTTGCAAAATGGACATTGTCTTTTGTACTGTAAACATGTTGTATGTATATGTTCTGAACCATTGCTTACTAAAGGCGGAAGTTATTTTGTAAAAATGTTCAAAATGAAACGTGTCAAGTCGGAGATGGTATCTTAGACCACATCAGTATATATGTATATATTTATTTCTATCATGGTCGTAATTATAGAATGTGTTCTTTTAACTTGGCTACATGTGTCACTTATCGTCAATACCAAAAGGGATGATGTAAATCCTGCTGGGGCCCATGCAGGTAGCAAAGGTACTGAAAATCCCAATGGCAATGGTCCAGCAGAGACCATATACTAGTCTATTATATATGGTCTCTGGATCCAGTAAGCGGCCTTTAGGCCCAAAAAAATAAATGTTGTGGTTCCGATTTCCTACATTTCAGAACTAGGGTAGGTAGGTAGTTTTTTTTGTTTTTATTGCAAAATATTTTTACATTACTCATGTGTCAGAAAATAAATTTAATTTATTATATGGTGAGTAAAATTGTTAGGCTGAGCAGGAATATTTAGGGTCGGTCGGGAAATCGGAACCACAAGGGGTTTTTTAGGCCTTAGTAGTTGGGGACGAACAGCCTGTTTTTATCGCTGTCTCATTAAAACATGATCTTTTATGATTATGTATAACTATAACAACATGTGATAATCATAATGTAGTTATTTTACTGTCCATTGATGACAGTATGTTATGTCATAATGTATTAATGTGTATATTATTATTGTCCATGTTTAATTACCTAGCCATCATATATATGTGTTTTACCTATATCTGTGATAAAACCATGAGTGTAAATGAAATTTTGAGTGTTATGTGGAGGATCATATATGGAGGATATCACCAGATATCAGCCCCACCGAAGTCTCCGATCTGAAAAGCCTGGTCTTCTTGTTGTCCCACGCTTTAAGTCCAGTACCAGGTTTGGGGATCGATCATTTCAGGTGGCAGGACCCACTCTCTGGAATCATCTTCCACTGGAGCTAAAGACAATAAACAACCTGAAGATTTTCAAATCCAAACTGAAGACATACCTTTTTAAGAAAACATACAGTGTCTAACTTTTCTTTCTTGAGCTGTTCGGAGAGCGAGTGCTACTGAGCAGTACCCCAGATAGCATTCAGATGTTGGCCCAACGTTGGGCCAACGTCCGAATGCTATCTGGGTACTTTTGGACTGGAATTGGCGCTATATAAATGTTTTCATGATGATGATCATCATCATATTACATTTTGTCATTACCATCACAGTATGTCACTTGTAATTGATTAACTGATCAAGTTCTGGCATTAATGATGTGTATGATATCCATGACTGAACCTGTAATTTCAGGACACCTATGCAGATGAGCTGCTATCACACGTGTTCAAGGCTGTGATAAAGGATGTCGGGGGTGAATCCTGCAGACATTGGCGACATATGTGTTGGTATGTGGAGACAGAGGAAGTGAACTAGTTTGTTCCATCTCACATTATATCAGTTTCTGTCACTGAAACAGACCAAGGGTGCTGCAGGAGACATGCTGTCCTTTAATAAGGCTTTTTAGACTGTGGTTAAGTGTAAATATGATATATCTGGGATTACAGACTTTGCTGACTTTGTGTGCTGGCGATTTGGTGCCTGTCTGTGAGTCTTGGTTCGAATTCCGGTTGGGACTGAACCCCAACAAGTATAGAATTTGAACTTAACTGAGAAAGCGCAACCCCAAATAGAACATATTGCATCAAACCACTTTGTAAAAGGCATTGTGTGTTCTTATAACTTTTGGCCATGCCAGTAAACACTTATAATAATAATAATAATAAAATGGATATTTTTAGCGTGCCATTTTCCACCCACTGATACATGCTCAAGGCGCTACATAAAAGCATACATACAATGCATACAGAGGATAAAATAGCAAAATAAGAATACATTGAAATTGATGACAGAAAGATTGATTTTAGGGATAGGCTTTGAAAAAAAAGAAAGTCTTCAACTTAATTTTGAAAGTTTCCAATTTGGGGGACTGCTTTATGTGGAGAGGGAGAGAATTCCACAGAGTAGGACCAGCGTACTGGAAAGACCTCTTGCCAAAGGAAGAAAGGAAAACTTTGGGAATGGAGAGAAGACATTGTCTTGAGATCTGAGAGTTATAAGAGTTAGATGTACACAAAGTGATATCAAGACCTCAAGCTGTCAGACATTCTCTTTTTATAAAGTCTGCAGAGGTTGAGTGGGTTAGATTGCTCACCTTGTGAGATTCAGATTTTGTGCCTCACTCTGAAAGTGTAGGTTCCATTTCTGATGGGACTTACACCCGATACATTACAAGGATGGTACTTTTCTAAGAAAATGGAAGGCCTAACAAAAAAATGTTGTGGTTCCGATTACCTGATTGACCCTTGAATTCTGGTGCCAACCCTATTTTATTTAAGCGGTATGAATAAATGGTGGCCATTAGCTTCACTAAATAAACAATTACACATTGATAAATGTGTTATTAGTTTGTACTTTACTTCTAAAAAAAATTTTTAAAAAAAAATCCTACCTACCTACCCTAAATTATAAAGAGCTGTAATCGGAACCACAACATTTTTTTTATTTGGCCTAATCCCAAATATGTTACATGTCCATCAGAAGCTGATATTCTATTTCCATAATGACAATGTCCAAGTGACTTAGTTTCAAGGAAACTTACTTGATGTACAGATATTCCAGCGTCTGTTTTACTTTGTCTCACTGTCTAAGCATCTGTGCTGCTGCTTATAAGTTTCTATGAATGACTGCTGTGTTTTGGATAGTTCTCTGTTTGCATCAGTGATATCCTGTTTCCATTCATCAGGCACAGTGCTGGAGCCAGGGTGTAACACAGCCAGATTCGCACAGTTTTACAGGTGAGTTTCACAGGGAGACATATGGGAGCAGGTTTTACAGGTGAGTTTCACAGGGGAGCAGGTTTTACAGGTGAGTTTCACAGGGGAGCAGGTTTTACAGGTGAGTTTCACAGGGAGACATATGGGAGCAAATTTTACAGTTGAGTTTCACAGGGAGCAAGTTTTACAGGTGAGTTTCACAGGGAGCAAGTTTTACAGGTGAGTTTCACAGGGAGCAAGTTTTACAGTTGAGTTTCACAGGAAGCAAGTTTTACAGTTGAGTTTCACAGGGAGCAAGTTTTACAGGTGAGTTTCACAGGGAGACATATGGGAGCAAATTTTACAGTTGAGTTTCACAGGGAGCAAGTTTTACAGGTGAGTTTCACAGGGAGCAAGTTTTACAGGTGAGTTTCACAGGGAGCAAGTTTTACAGTTGAGTTTCACAGGGAGCAAGTTTTACAGGTGAGTTTCACAGGGAGCAAGTTTTACAGTTGAGTTTCACAGGGAGCAAGTTTTACAGTTGAGTTTCACAGGGAGACATATGGGAGCAAGTTTTACAGGTGGGTTTCACAGAGAGCAGGTTTACAGGTGAGTTTCACAGGGAGACACAGGAGTGCAAGTCTTAGAGGTAAGTTAATATTTGTTAGTGTGTTTAACCTTTAGCCTGCTGAATTAATTTCAGCATAAGGCGTTGTAAAGAGGGTGGGTGATCTCAAACAATTGGTGTGTCATTAAATAAGGGACAACTGAAAAAATATTTGGCACATTAATACTAGAAAGTCAATGATTCTTCACTTGCAGTGGTATTCCTGAGACTGTGCCATGTACATCTACCAACAGACAGTGTTCATCCGGACTGCAGGCGTTCATGAATGTGGCAGGTGATAAACCTTCACTCATACAGTTTGTTTGTTGTGTGTGTTTGTATAGCAATATCTCAGCTATATAATAATAATCAAGTCCAGACAATGCAGTGATTGATATCATAAGCATCAAGCTACACAACTGAGATATGATGACATACATCAACCTAGTCAACGAGTCCTGACCACCCGATCCCGTTAGTCACCTCTTACGACCTCAGTCTCCAGAGTCACTTGTTCATATTAATAAATAAATACCAGCCCCTACTTACACCATCACCAGCCCCTACTCACACCAGCCCTTTCTCACACCAGTTATCTCCCATTAGTTAGACAGCCAGTTGTTAGACAGTGGAAAGGGTATTAATTAAGACAACACCCACCTCCATAATGGTACAGCTCTAATTAAATTGATGAGTAGAGTGTGCCCGTAGTTAATCTGTTCATGTTGTACTACCCCGTTGCCGAAATACCTTAGTTGTGTGTGCGTCGCTAAATAAAGCAAATAACTAACTACTAACCTTGATATATCAGCATGGCTGGGTTACGCAAAGTCGAAAATATCATATTGCAGATAGGCACTCAACAAATACTTAATAAAATTTGTATTATGCAGTAATGTAAATGAAATGCACCTACAAATTCCTTTAAATGACTCCAAGACCATTGCCCGAGTCACACACTCATATTGAGTGAATTGTCAACATAATTTTTTGGGGGTATAGTCTGGGCTGGAGGGGTATACTTTGGCCTGGTCCAGAATACACCCCCGGGGTATAAACTGGGCTAGCCTATAGTTTACCCCGGGGTATAATCTGGTGGGGGGTTATTCTGGGCTGCTACACCGGCATGGGTTGGTGAAGACCAGTTCTAACCGGGATCTTCACAGGGCACTCATTCAGTTTCCATAAACCAACATTCCTCCCTTTTCAGTCAATTGCAGACTATAGTAGTGCAATCTCAAAAACAGCCTATACTCTACAGCAGTCATGAAACTATTTATTGACTATCTATGAAATGTGAAGGTTTTACTGTTAAAGAGTGTCTGAACTTTTAGGTTTGTATTCTGTTCAGTGTTCAGCAATCAGTAACATGTTTGTCTGTTACAGGGAGTATCCGGACTGGACAGTGTGACGTCGGACTGGCTGCAGGGTGAGTGGTTGTCCTTCAGAAGTGTGACTCGCAAAATGAGCGACTGCTTTAACTGGGTGATATAATTCATTCTTTCACTTACAAAGTCCACATGTATAACATGCTTTGTGATGTATACATCTTGCTGCCATGTTAGAATGCTCCGATCTGATTGATCTCTATGTTCTTGGGGGCGGTGGGGTAGCCTAGTGGTTAAAGCGTTGGCTCGTCACGGCGAAGACCCGGGTTCGAATCCCCACATGGGCACAATGTGTGAAGCCCATTTCTGGTGTCCCCTGCCGTGATGTTGCTGGAATATTGCTAGAAGCGGCGTAAAACCAAACTCAGTCAGTCAGTCAGTCTATGTTCTTGATGACATGCCATATATCCTGCCTTGGAGTGAAGTATATTTCTGAGCTGGAGAATAAATTCCTTATACCCTACCATCATGAAAATAGGCTTCATTTGGATTTCTGATTGGGAGAATATATCCTTATACCCTGCAATGAAGAAAAGAGCCACACATCGTTCCAAGCCAATGAACTTCACGTGATACAGCACAAATTAACCTCAGCTAAATCGTACAGCAGTTTTCTATCAATATTTAGTTTATATTTATTTTTTGACAATGACAGACTGAGACATGTCAGCAAGATGTAGTTGTTGTCGCAGTATCACAAATGTAGCAGAGCGCTGAGTCATCCCACATCTATACCATGTCAGTTTGCTGACGGAGTTAACCTCTTCGGTCATGTTGACCACAGGCCCTCGTGTCTTTGCGAGGATTAAAGATTTTATAAAATATATACAAAAATTTGAGATGACAACCGACTCGAAATGCTTCACAGTATAATACATTATGATGTATTGTACTGTGGAGCATTTCAAGTCGGGGGTCATCTCAAAAACAATATTTTTTAATCATTAATCCTCGCAAAGACACGAGGGCCTGTGATGTGGACAAGGTGCCCAACTTAGGAACACAATGTCTCTGGTTCGAATTTAAAACCTAACAGGTGGTTGGGTAGCCTAGTGGTTAAAGCGTTTGCTCGTCATGCCGTTCGATTCCCCACATGGGTGCAATGTGTGAAGCCCATTTCTGGTGTTCCCCTCCGTGATATTGCTGGAATATTGCTAAAAGTGACGTAAAACCATACTCACTCACTCACTAAAGCCTAACAGGGAACACATGCTGCTGATGCTGCTAGAACTGACCTCGCCTAATGAAGCATCATGGCAACTTTATGATGTTCAATAGAGGGTCATGCAAAGTAGAAATTGGGCTTTGAGGGGTGTCGCAATAAGATTTCAGAGACACATGTGAAATTGAATATTGAAATTGTAACAGCAAACAAATTATATCCCTTGATTCCTGGACATGTATTTTCAGTGTTGAGTCTATGACCAAGAATGAAATGCTGCGGAAGGGGATGGATATCAACCCCCACGTGTTTGAAGACGAGAAAGCAGCACAGTGCCTCATCCCGATGGGGTAAGTGTGATACGTCGCTTCTGAAGACCATGTTTGATGTAAGAGATGGATTGTTGAAACATGTGATTTGATGTAAAGTGTTTAGAAATGGTCAGCGGTTTCTTTTAGCTGTAAATTTATGATAATGCATAATGAACATCATTATTATTTTTACAAAAATAACAATATTTCAAGAAAAAAATTCATGTGAATAGATTTATTTTTATCAATGTTAGATCGGTCAGAAGAAAGTTATTTTGACTTCTACTGGTGTTGAAATCAGGGTTGTTGGGAGAGAGACGTATTTTGAGTATGGATTGGCATATTAATATGTGGTGTCTCTATATATGGGTAATGGCAGATCCATCTCAGAGTCGGGTGCAAGGGTTGGGCACACCCTCATATTTACGCATAACATCTTTTTTCAAAATTATGGAACTGAGTTTTATAGCTCTCTTGCAAAACCATGACAACTTATATTTTTGTTTTTGTGTTAGGTCTTGTACCAATCAGTTAGGTCTTGTACCAATCAGTTAGGTCTTGTACCAATCAGTTAGGTCTTGTACCAATCAGTTAGGTCTTGTACCAATCAGTTAGGTCTTCAACCAATCAGTGATTCTGCTTGTGATGCAACATGAATCAAGTTCCTCTGATTTCTGTGACTGTTTCAGTATCACATCGGAGAATGTTGCTGAAAGGTTTGGGGTATCAAGGGAAAAACAAGACAGGTTCTCGTTGCGATCACACCAAAAGTAAGTATTAATGAAAAACAATATCATTCACTGTCTTATAATCCTTTGCTGCCTTGTAACTTTGACACATTCCTCAGATATAGTCTAGTGGGTAAAATATTAGCTCGTCTCACTGAAGGCCTGGGTTGAATTCATTCATGGTCACTATTGGTCAATTTCTTAAGATATATGACCCATTTAGATGATGTAATCTTGACTCCCAAACAACCAGTCCTTGTTTTGTTTTGTAGTGTCAATCTTCACTAGGACCATCTTAGAATGAAATGGCTCACTTGCACTGAATTTTCAGTACTCTTACCATTGCAATTATTAAAAAAACATCAGTCAGTTTAATTTTCCTTTAACTAGATGTATGATATTGTTCCTTAAGTATATCAGGTCAATCTACATCTATACATAAATTTAAGCATTAGCATGGTGTTCTAAGGTTCCATCTTCATAAAATAAGTTACACAATATGTGAAGACAGATTATTTTGTTTTTTATTTGTATTTTTTGCCTGCAGAAAAATGTGTTGAGAAAATATTGTTGGCATGTGAATGTCGCAACACACACAAGAAATAAGTAAGGTTTGGCTTGGGGTGGGAGTTACTGTTTGTGGCACAACTGATTACTCATAGTTGACAGTGGTAGCCTTTATTGAAAATATATAGATTTGTGGTTATTTACATGTGATATACTGGTAGGTGAAAACATCTTCACCTTCTCATGCCTGACCCTCAAGGTGTTGCCATGGTTACAGGTTGTTGTTTGTTACAGTGCCCACAAGGCGACAGTGTCGGGATTGTTTGATGCGGAGCTGGTTCCTGTGACAACCAAGATTCTGGATAAAGATGGGAATGAGAGGACCATCACGGTAGGTGTCCAGGAAAAATCTTGGCACCAGACCGGCCCTGATCCACAAGTTCATGCATTGATTTATACACACCATCATAGTGTCAGATATACGACCTCGTGCAATTGTCTGTAAAACTTCCCTTTAACTTCCCCATATGGGGAGTAACTCCTTTCCCGGTTCATTCTGATATAGTTATAACTAATAGAACTGTAGTGTCTTGTATTTTAACAGGACCAATAAAAGGGAAGAGGTTTATTTTTACATTTGTGCAAGGAATAAAAGAAATTTGAATGCTAAAAAATCCCATTTAGATAAACTCCAAATTTTCCAGCCAAATTTGGAGTGTGTCAGCGAGTTCAAATATGTTATATTTTTACAAATGAAGTAAATATTTTGTTCAAAGAAAGGTATGTTAATAGAATTTAGATCAATATTAATATTGTGAAATGCAGGTAGTTTAGAGTTTTGTATGCAGAAAGTAGATTGTATTTGTGTTAAGATAATGCACATCTCTGGTATAGGTGACCAAGGACGATGGTATCAGACCAAGCACCACATTGGAGGGACTGGGGAGACTTCGCCCTGCTTTCAAGGAAGGGGGATCTACCACTGCTGGTATGTTTAGTGAGGGGGATCTACCACTGCTGGTATGTTTAGTGAGGGGGATCTACCACTGCTGGTATGTTTAGTGAGGGGATCTACCACTGCTGGTATGTTTAGTGAGGGGATCTACCACTGCTGGTATGTTTAGTGAGGGGATCTACCACTGCTGGTATGTTTAGTGAGGGGATCTACCACTGCTGGTATGTTTAGTGAGGGGATCTACCACTGCTGGTATGTTTAGTGAGGGGATCTACCACTGCTGGTATGGTATGTTTAGTGATGTTTAGTGGGGATCTACCACTGCTGGTATGTTTAGTGAGGGGATCTACCACTGCTGGTATGTTTAGTGAGGGGGATCTACCTGCTGGTATGTTTAGTGGTATGTTTAGTGAGGGGATCTACCACTGCTGGTATGTTTAGTGAGGGGATCTACCACTGCTGGTATGTTTAGTGAGGGGATCTACCACTGCTGGTATGTTTAGTGAGGGGATCTACCACTGCTGCTGGTATGTTTAGTGAGTGGGGGATCTACCACTGCTGAGGGTACCACTGCTGTTTAGTGAGGGGATCTACCACTGCTGGTATGTTTAGTGAGGGGATCTACCACTGCTGGTACCATGTTTAGTGAGGGGATCTACCACTGCACAGTGAGGGGATCTACCACTGCTGGTATGTTTAGTGAGGGGATCTACCCACTGCTGGTACTGTATGTTTAGTGAGAGGGATCTACCACTGCTGGTATGTTTAGTGAGGGGGATCTACCACTGCTGGTATGTTTAGTGAGGGGATCTACCACTGCTGGTATGTTTAGTGAGGGGATCTACCACTGCTGGTATGTTTAGTGAGGGGGTCTACCACTGCTGGTATGTTCAGTGAGGGTAATCTACCACTGCTGATATGTTTAGTGATGTTTAGTGAGGGATCTACCACTGCTGGTATGTTTAGTGAGGGGATCTACCACTGCTGGTATGTTTAGTGAGGGGGATCTACCACTGCTGGTTAGTGAGGGGGATCTACCACTGCTGGTATGTTTAGTGAGGGGATCTACCACTGCTGGTATGTTTAGTGAGTGAGGGGATCTACCACTGCTGGTATGTTTAGTGAGGGATCTACCACTGCTGGTATGTTTAGTGAGGGGATCTACCACTGTGAGGGGTATCTACCACTGCTGGTATGTTTAGTGAGGGGATCTACCACTGCTGGTATGTTTGAGGGGATCTACCACTGCTGGTTAGTGAGGGGGGATCTACCACTGCTGGTATGTTTAGTGAGGGGATCTACCACTGCTGGTATGTTTAGTGAGGGGATCTACCACTGCTGGTATGTTTAGTGAGGGGTATCTACCACTGCTGTTTAGTGAGGGGGATCTACCACTGGTATGTTTAGTGAGGGGATCTACCACTGCTGGTATGTTTAGTGAGGGGGATCTACCACTGCTGGTATGTTTAGTGAGAGGGATCTACCACTGCTGGTATGTTTAGTGATCTTCCACTGCTGGGGGTATGTTCTACCACTGCTGGTATGTTTAGTGAGGGATCTACCACTGCTGGTATGTTTAGTGAGGGGATCTACCACTGCTGGTATGTTTAGTGAGGGATCTACCACTGCTGGTATGTTTAGTGAGAGGGATCTACCACTGCTGGTATGTTTAGTGAGGGGGATCTACCACTGCTGGTATGTTTAGTGAGGGGGGTCTACCACTGCTGGTATGTTTAGTGAGGGGATCTACCACTGCTGGTATGTTTAGTGAGGGGATCTACCACTGCTGGTATGTTTAGAAACGAGGTGAGTGATGGTGGTGGTTGTTTTCTGTGACAGGTAACTCGAGCCAGGTGAGTGATGGTGCTGCAGCAGTGCTGTTGGCGAGACGGTCAGAAGCAGAGCGGAGGCGCTGGCCAATCCTGGGCGTCCTCAAGTCTTATGCTGTGGAAGGTTGCCCTCCTGATATCATGGGTATTGGTCCATCCGTGGCCATCCCTGTGGCTCTCAGGAAAGCAGGTACAGCAGTTATCCTCATTTTTCTCTTCCATTTCACACAATTTAAACGGAAATTCCAAATTGTAGCTTGGTGGTCAAAACAGAAATGAAATAGAAACATATATTTCAGTGAACCATAATTATTGGGCAGATGCAATGGTACAAAACAAGTAAGTGATTGTAATATTATTATTAATGTTATGGATAAAAAAGGATTACATAGTTTTTGTTTCTCAAATATATCAAACACAGTTGAGTGACATAATTATCATAATTTAATCTTAATCCCTTCAATAATATAGGATTTTTTCAATATATGTGACTTTTTGTGGTGTTTGTATGTGGAAATTTCAAATAATGATTTTGGGGGTCCCAGGTATTAACTATGTGAGATTTTGAGTAACCAATATACCAACAGCAAATAAAATACTAACTTGCTTTGATGCCTGATGTTGGTTTGAAAGGACTTTCTTGTGAAAGTCAAAAAGTTAATGACAGAGTAAAGAAATTCAGACACTGATTGTGTGTATTTCTTGTCAGAAATATCAGATATTCTAAATTTATGAGGTAGTGGTTAAAGCGTTCGTTCGTCACACCAAAGTCCCGGGTTCGATTCCCCACATGGGTACAACGTGTGTGAAGCCCATTTCTGGCATATTGCTGGAATATTGCTAAAAGTGGCATAAAACCAAACTAACTCACTCCAGAGACCATATAATAACCATCTATTATATGGTCTCTGCTCACTCTAAATTCATGTGTGTCGATTATGTCATGCCAACATCCGTATTATTTAGCATGTTATGGGACTTATAGTGATATTAATGCGTTAAAGCACTTGGATCTAAATTACAGTAGGAGGTATCCAACTGGTCAGTCTTACTTCATCATTTTCAAAATATGGTAGTTTTATCTCCTGAATCACTACAGGTCTCAAGGTCAGTGACATCGACATCTTCGAGATCAATGAGGCGTTCGCAAGCCAGGCATTGTACTGTCAGGAGAAACTGGGGATTCCCCTTGAGAAGGTCAACCCCAAGGGGGGTGCGGTCGCCCTGGGGCACCCTCTCGGGTGTACTGGCGCCAGGCAGATAGGGACTTTGTTGCATGAGCTCAAGAGAAGAGGCAAACCGTAAGTACTAGCATCACTTGGTGATTCAGGGTTAGAACAGGTCCCCAGCTGGTCGTAGGAGGCTGATGTCATGGTACCAAGATGGCGTGGATCATTGCTAACAATATTGATCACTGGATTGTCTGGTGCAGACTCCACAATTTACAACCGCTATCATGTAGGTGGAAGATTCCTTACAGTGTTGCCAAACAACAAAGTAATGTCCTATGTTCTGGAGACTTGTATGAATCATTGAAGTGGAAGTATATAACAAGGTTTAATCATGTATAGTTCATGGGCAGGTGAGGAATATAGTGTATCCTTACTCACAAATATACTCTTGCCATCACATTGGCCAGTTAACGATTTTGAAAAATCCCATACAAGTCAGCTGATCAGTTGGTACAGACAGCATGGTGCAGTAGGGCCTAACAGGAAGTCACTTGTCATGGGACACTTGATTCAGTTCACATATTGAGTAATCATTGATGGTTTGGAGCTTATGGTGTGCTGTGTATTCTACACCACTGATGTTTCCAGCCTTATATCATGGTGCGTAGTCTACGCTCTTCATGTTTGAATGAATCTTTTATTTATTCCGTTGATGTTTCAGGGATTACAGTCTGGTGTATATTCTACACTGTTGATGTTTCAGGGATTACAGTCTGGTGTATATTCTACACTGTTGATGTTTCAGGGATTACGGTGTGGTGTATATTCTACACTGTTGATGTTTCAGGGCTTACGGTGTGGTGTATATTCTACATGCTGTTGATGTTTCAGGGCTTACGGTGTGGTGTATATTCTACACTGTTGATGTTTCAGGGCTTACGGTGTGGTGTATATTCTACACTGTTGATGTTTCAGGGCTTACGGTGTTGTCTCCATGTGTATTGGCACTGGCATGGGAGCAGCGGCTGTTTTCCAGTACCAAGGATAATCAAATTCCTGGTTGGAGCCACCAGCTGAAGAGGAAAACTCCCTTCAGCAGAATAATTAAGAGTCATATATTCAGAGGGTGAAAACAACGGATGTCAATGCAAGGTAGTACTCTCACTCCTGCATCTGTGATTTGGAGATCTCTGCCTTTCAGAAATGGATTGGTTGATTTTGTGGCTGTATGCAAGTAGTATGTTACTTCAGATTACAAATGTCAGCAAATCTATTTTAACATCAAATGAACTCCACTTGAAGTGACTTGTCATTCTTATCAGATATTCAGATGTTAATATCCAGGAAGCTATGTTCTTGGTGCTGAGGCAATTTGAGAAAGTCTTCAAGGCTCTTGACACAATTCTCCATGAGCCTCGAGAAACCTCTGTGGAATTTTTTATTTTGTTTGTCTTGATACATGAACTATTCCACGATATTGTACAGTCAATGATATGTTAAGTGAAGTATATATATATATATATCTTTGTTGAATAAATTTATATATTTACAAATTAGAAAATGTCCATTATTTTTTCTGTTAATCTGTGACAAAGAGTTCACAAAGCCAAAGACTAAACCATTATCAGTAGAGTGCAATACATAAAGGGAAACAAAGTTTTTAAACTTCAATAAGTTTTCGTGTGTAGTTTAAGGCCACACTCAGCATTATCCCAGTTATATGATGGCAGCCGAGTTACGAAATCTAGACCACGTCTAACTCAGAATTCTTGTTGGAGACCTTGTCTAACCAAGAATCCAAGAGAAAAGGCTTGAGAGAAGAGATAGGTCTTAAGTTGTGACCTAGCAAGAAGACAAAGTCATCAATATCCCCCGCAACGGCAAAATACTCTTTATGAATATGTCTACTAAGTAAGATTATGTCAATGTTTTGGAGTGTATACAGCAAAGTGGAAGGAGAGAATTGAAAGGTTTTAAGATCTCTCCAGAAAGGAGCACTACCACCAAATTCAGTTGAAGCCTAACTTGTTGCCATGGAAAATGGAACAAGATTACATCCTCATTGTCACAGCTTAAGTCATGTTTCCATGGAAACCACAAAAAAATACAATTCATATCTGGATCTAAACCCCAAAAGGCACATCTAGGGTTCATGCTTGATATGTGTACCAAGTTTGATGAAGCTTGTGTGTATAATTTAGGAGATCTGCTCCAGACAAGATGACATCCTCATAGTCACAGCCTAATCATGTTCCATGGAAACCGCATAAAATAAAATTCCCATCTGGGTGTAACCCCCAAAAGGCACGTCTATGTGTACCAAGATATCACCATTAGTTTAGAAGATATGCTTCGGACAAAGTGTGACAGACTCACCTCGTTTCTGTATCCCGATAAACAACGAAGTTGCGGGGGATAAAAAGAAGCATGTCTGGTATTGTCTCTCAGGTATTGTGGCAGGCTGTTCCATAGGATTGATGCGGTGTAAATAAAAGTCCTTTTGCCATTTTGTGGTGTTCTTACTTTTGGGACAGTTAGCAGGTGTACACCAGAATAGGTTGCTACAGACCAAGTCTAATCTGGAATCCCCCCCAGTGTAAACCAGCAAAGGTTGCTTGAGAGCTTGTCACACCAAGAATCCCCACAATGTACATGAAAATAGGTTTCTAGGGACCAAGTCTAACCACCCCTGAAAGGTCCTGAAAGAATGTCCTATGATAAGGCTGACACTAGGTGAGCCAAGTTCTGTGATCTGTCCTCAGGCATCAGATGTCCATGATTTAGTGTTATGTTACAATTATAACTCTCAGGACTGAGGCACAATTTCTTCAGACGTTTTGTTCTTTATGTACATATGGATGTGACAGTCTTGTCTTAGACAAAATAAAAACTTCTTGTTAATTGCATGTAGCACTCAAGCTGAAGTGATGACAACCAAGTGATGAGAGGGATATGATACGTTGTGATTGGCAGCATTTTAACTGTAATATCAATGCACCTTTCACAACTTATATAGATATATATAGTATGACCATAAATTATTGAGAATTTTAGGAATATGTTTAATCGGATTTCTAGTATAAATAACCTTAACCAGCTATCAAGTGCTTGGTTTCATTCAAGAGAGATAACTCCGTTAATCCTTTTTCATTAGTTTGTGAAGAGTTATCCCCCTTTGTTTACTTGCCAGCAGACGACATTTTCAGTGATCCTCAGTATGGATGATTTAGAGAAGAGGAAGTTGATTTTAGAGTGTTATAACAAGGACATCAGATCAGCTAAAGTGATTTCAAGTAGAACAGGCATCCATTTGTCCACTGTTTATCGTTTTTGAAAAATATTGCAAATGGATATGGCATTGAGTACCAGGGAGGCGCAGGTAGGCCCAGAAAATTGACTGTCGGTGACAGGAGGCGGCCTGGTATTCTTGTTTCTAAAAACAAACGAAGGAGTTAAGAAAACTTAAGGCTGGATATGATTGATAGAGGAACTGAGCTGAATGCAATGGGTTGGCAGAAAAGTCGAGGAATTCCATCACCGATCATGAAACCTGAACAAAAGGGGTGAAGGTTGAACTGGTGCTTACAGCTAAGAAATTTCAACTGGGACAATGTGATTTTCTCAGATGAAAGTTTTGTGTGGCTGTTTCCTAATACACTGAAATTCTGGACCAAACAAACTGAAAAACCTTTGTATCAGCGCCCAAAGGACAGTCCGAAATTGAACGTGTGGGGTGGCATATCTGTGTTAGGGGCAACGCCCCTCTTTGTATTTGAAGGGAATATGAACAGTGAGCGGTACACAGATATTCTCGAGGGACATTTACTTCCATCTGCTCACATGTTCTATGGAAAATTTTTGATTTTCCAGCAGGACAACGACCCAAAACATCGTTCAAAGCATTCACAGCCCTGGTTTCGGATATGACATTATTAGATTGGCCAAGCTATAGCCCTGACCTAAATCCAACAGAAAATGTTTGGGGACTTATGAAGGAAAGTGTCAAAAAAAATAATCTGACAAATATTGCTGAAATGAAAGAAGTGGTGGTCCGACATTGGGACAGCATGGACCACGACTTTCTAACTTCTCAGTAGTATGCCCCGCCGCATTGAAGCCTGCATTGCTGCCCATGGTGACTTGACAAAATACTAACTGTTCACCTGTCTTTGAATCTGGAGTTATGTTCTGCTAATATTCACATTTAATACCTGAGTAATGAGTGAAAAAAAAAAAAATTACAATCTTAAAATTCTCAATAATTTCTGGTTGTACTGTATATCTACATACCTTTTGCAAATCCTGCATAAGTGGTTGGCACGCTTAGGCACAGAATCCAACCAAGGCAGTACTTTGGCACATACAGTTTGAGTTCTACAGGTTCACTCAAACCATCTCTACATCCTTCAGTTGGCTGGCGGGGGCGGTGGGGTAGTCAAGTGGTTAAAGCGTTGGCTCGTCACGCCTAAGACCCGGGTTCGAATCCCCACATGGGTACAGTGAGTGAAGCCCATTTCTGGTGTCCCCCACCGTGATATTGCTGGAATATTGCTAAAAGCGGCGTTAAACCAAACTCAGTCAGTCAGTCAGTCAGTCAGTCAGTCGGCAGTCGGCTTGGCATTGTTATAGAACTTGTCTCTTACGTCTGTGTTGGCCATTAGCTACCTATTAGCTCTTGTTCCGTGTTGGTTCGAACCCATAAAAGGAGACTCTGAATCGCAATACTTCAAAATTACCGTAGTTTCTGTAAGATGTTGCCATCGCTGAAATCTGACACAAAGCCTGATAAATATTCGACATTTTATTGAATATGCATTAACAAGTAGAAAATGATGAGATTGAATGATGACAGAGTGAAACATGAATATACAAGATGAACGTCCAAGATGGAGAGACAGAATGAAATAGTGGCAACCATTGCAATATGGCCGCCATGAACCAAATGACAATACATACAACACAGTAGGTCCTCAAATCAGAGGAACTCACAGCTTCATCAAACAGTAACTGCAAAGGTTTTGGTCAAGTAAACAATTGTCTATTTGTCTCGAGTTAGAATTGCACAAATGATACACATATTGAGTTTACAGTCACTGAAATGAAGAAAACAGACTGACCTTCTTTTCATCTGCTGAGATAGACAGATGCCATTAGTTGATGTCCATTGTGCTTGATGCCAAATCAGAGATGCAGCTTTCTACCAAATCTCTCTTGTGCAAAACCACGGTTCATCACCACAAAATGGAGAAAGGTACAAAACATTTAACATGTTTCCCAATTCAATCACAAATGTAGAAATAGAGCATAAACATACATTCTAACAGTCAAGAAAACTAGTTAACTTCAATACAAAGACAATTCTGATGCAGTTTATTCTTATCATGATGAGGATCTGCCATGATCACTGACACCCGGAGGTTAAGAAAGTCTGACTGGCACTATGGAGACTGCACGGAGAGATGACCTCATGGTTACCCAAAACTAATGATGTGTCCAACATAATGTCACATTGATGAAAACAAGTCAGTTTCAAGATTATTTCAGTTCCATTTCCTTGTCCAGATACTGAAGTTTCTCTATGCTATTCTAGCGATCATTTTTCCCAGAATATCGTGTCATGATTCACAGATGTATCACCAACTTAGTCCTCTCATGCTACTGTATTCATTCATGATTTGTTTCTGCATCCATTGCCTGTAACTATCAAGTAAGTAACGTTTTCAAACACCTGAAAATTGCTTTCGTGGGTAGCTTTACTCTACCCCCTGCCATGAAAACAATGCTGCATCTTGGGGACCGGTCATTGTTACTGAATGCGAGTTAAACCCTCCCATGTCCTTCACACTGTCAACATGATCCTCCTCAAACTGACGGCTATGTTTTGGTGACCCCCCCAACACTTCCCCCTGCCAAATGGTCCCTCTTGTAAAATACATGTATGACACAACTAAATCCCCTGTTATGCACACTCAGCAAAAACTGGAAAGAACATCTTGCTTGGTAAAGATGCATACACCTGTCTTGAAATATGTTATAGAAAGGATAAAGAAATTGAAATCCTAAATCAACTCTGCTTTCATTTCTTTTTATAGACAACTGTACTGCATGTACAAAAACTAGGATCCAGAATTTGGATAATACAAAACAATTACTCAACCCACTTGTGTCGTCAATGTGATTCTACCATTCCGTGGTAAAACATACCACAATAGACAAAAATAAAGAACCAAATAAAATCGGTATCAGGAATAATTTGAATAATTTTTCTTGTAGTGAAGACATTAAAATATCCACAAATTATTCAACAATTTCTGTTCTGTGAGTGAGTGAGTTTAGTTTTACGCCACACTCAGCAATATTCAAGCTATATGTTTAGTAGAGGTGATCAATATTATACATAGTCCTGAACTCGGTCTATCAGTAGACCTGACTTAGAGTCAAATAACATCATATACAACAGGTTTAGTACCTCACTTGTATGATACAAAAATACCATAACTGATATTTCAAACTCGTTTGATAACTTACAAAATATTCTATTATCAACTCAACATTTCTTTTAAAAAATACAACAGTTTATGTAATACTGAATTCAATGGAAGGTTCTCATAAACATCCCAGAAAAACCAATTTATTCATGCAAACATGACTTGAATGTGGTACAAACTGCTATTAGCTCTAGTAATGTGAAACAATCTGGTTCGCTTGAACTGCCTTAGAGGGATATGTAGCAGTAATTCTCTACCATGAACACAGATCTGAAAACTCTCATAAGCAACATTTTAATAATGTTAGCACTGGACTACATGTAGTGCAATCAGCTCAACACAATCGTGAGAGAGTGGGCAAGTTTAGTTTTACGTCGCTTTCAGCAATATTCCACCGACATCAGAAATGGGCTTCACACATTCACTATGTCGGGAATCGAACCTGGGTCTTCAGCATGACAAGCGAACGTTTAAACCATGGAGCTACCTCCACGGCCCCTCACCACAATAGAAAAACTGATGTAAACAATATGCTTAGTCTTTTGTAATTGTTTACCCTCAGACTGCTGAAAAATTTAAAGTGTTGTGAAGTCAAGCATAACAATTCACAAAAATAGTTTTCTTATTATTTTTAAAGTTTTATTTTTTTTTGTAAATTTTGGTTTCCTAAAACCTACCTGAATTTTACCCACTTGAATTATATCTACAAAACATACTCAATTATTTGTGCACTTATTTCTTTTTGGGACACCCTTAAAAAACATTTCATTTTCCAAAATATCCTAAAACATGTTTTTTAGCTACAAATCAGATACAAAATACCCACATATTGTTTGTACATAAAGTTTATGATCATGCACCAATTTTCACTCATTAAACAAAAATTGAATACAACTTGATTTTTAATGCAAAAATGACAAAGCATATTCTATATTTTGTGTCCAGACATTTGGAAAAGAGATAACAACATAAATAATTATTTTAGAAACAATTATTTTTGCTCAGGAAATGCTATTTGTGTATGGTATTGTTTGAATGAACTTCTCAGAGTGAAATGTCGTGATGTGGTTGACACTAGTTGAATCCTCATTTCCTTCAGAATTTAAACGTATATTTTCAAAAATACACCAGATGGTCACCTAATGATTATGTACAGGATATTGGCGTATTTATTTAAGAGGAGAGAAGGGTCTATTCACAATGAGCGAGGAATAAAGAAACAAGACAATAATTTCACTGAGTACATAAGAAATCATTCTGCACGAGTGATTCTACAAAGAGCCTTTCCATTCTGGTGATAAAATTCATGTTGCATAATAAAGAAGAGGAAAGAGATTGGTGAGGAATGTTACGACAATCTTGGCAAGTTACCATGTACCATCACATCCCTGACAACTGCTCGTGAACCTTAAACTATTCAAAATAAGTTAAGAAACACCTGATTATTCCATATGTACCGCAAATGTCTCTTCAACTATACACCAGTTCTTCATTCCTACAGGGACTAGATTCAGACATTAACCCTGACTTTCCGGATTCCAGAGATATCAAAGGTGAGGCAACTTCAACTAAATAACAGCTGTAGGGAATGTTCAAGTCTCACCATAACACAATGGGACACAATGAGACAATGTAAGAAGTGACCTGATAGACCAACAGATTAGTTGACAACAGATTCAAGACAAGATTAAAAATAACAAACTGAATAATAAGTCCTGTATGGACACAACTAGTAAGGTAATCTTGTAACACAACATGTCAGTGGACAACACTTTGCTGTAGGAACAAACGCTTGTGTTATATTATCGTGCTGGATGTTCTGTGTGTGTTAATGATTAACTAATAGTCTTTGAAGTTATTATCATAGATATGTTTATTCATAAAAACTGACTTCCATATCGTCTGTTAATGTAGTCATGCATATAATGTACAGTTTGTGCAAAATGCTTTCACAATTTACATATTTTTTTAAACACAAAGGTTTTGAAGTCAGTCTCAACCATTTAACTGTCTGTAGAGTCACTTGCACGCTGGGTGAAGACACAGCTGTAGGGTGAAGACACACCTGTAGGGTGAAGTGAGTGAGTGAGTTCAGTTTTTACGCCCCACTCAGCAATATTCCAGCTATATGGCGGCAGTCTGCAGGGTGAAGACACACCTGTAGGCTGAATACACACCTGTAGGCTGAATACACACCTGTTGGGTGAAGACATCTGCAAGGTGAAGACACACCTGTAGGGTGAAGAAACACCTGCAGGATGAATGCATTTAGAACTGAATAACTGATAGCATCATCAAAGACAAAAGTAACTGAGATCATGTGAAGTGAATTTATTGAAAACTGAGCATAAACGTTTTCTGTGATAAAGAACCATTGGCTTCAGTGACTGCTTGGTCACACCGTTGTGTACACAACACACCAGTTCTGACAGAAGGCAGTGTGAGGCTCTTTGGAAAATAGTCAGGTAAGATGGGAAGTCCTGCCTCACTTTTCAGGAACAATTTGTGTAACTAATTTAAACTTCAACATCAAAAGAGATGCCTTATTAAAAAACATTTTCTTGCAAAGTAGAATTCACATCTTGAAAAAAAAACCCAGGATTTTCTATTTCGCCCTTGTAAAAATATACATGATATAATAACATGAACAGTTACTTTTGCCTCTGAGTATATGCTATCTAACTGTCTGTCCACTCAGCAAATCCTTGAAGGAATATTAAAGGAACAAAAAGCATACTTTGATATGAAATCTTCAAATGAATAAGATCACATTCATTTCCACATGATCAAATATTTTCATAAATAAAATAAATAACCAGTTTTACTTGCAATGTCAGAGAAGATCTCTGTCTTACAAACATACACGACAACAGCAGCAGGTGCCCTTTCTAAACACACTCACTGCTTTACTGACAGACAGCTGTCAGTCAACGGTAATTACCAGGCACATTCATATACGCTATGTCACATGCAAAAAATGATCTTGACCAAATATGTCAACATATGCCACCAGGTCTATATATGGTCGATGAGTGATACTGTGACCATATAAGGCCAATTAATGTTATCAAGACTATATATGGTCAACATAAGCCATTAGGGACATTCTTCTATTGTGACCCAATATGGTCAAGATATACTCACATATTATACTGATAGAACAAAATAACAGAACAGATGTGGAACAAGGCATTTGTTAGTGGTGGCATCCATGTGGCCTGGAGACTCCCAGTATTTGTGTTAACCGTGAAGTGGAGACTCCCAGTATTGTGTTAACCATGAAGTGGAGACTCCCAGTATTGTGTTAACCGTGAAGATCCAGGTTAGAATTAGCCTTCAGTAACCCATGCTTGTCATAAGAGGTAACTAACAGGAATAAGTGGTCAGGCTCTTTGTTGACACACGTCATCGTATCCCAAATTGTGTAGGCCAATGCTCATGTCGTTGGATCACTGGACTGTCTGGTCCAGACTCGATTATTTACAGACCGCCGCCATATAGCTGGAATATTGCTGAGTGCGGCGTTAAACAACCAACCAGCCCAGTATTGTGTTGCTGATGTTGATGAAGAAATATTTCTTGCCGAAGCTTACTTCTGGTTTGTTCTAAATGCATGCAAGCTTTATTTCATATGTGTTCCTCTATTTTTTTCCATCAGTATATGAGAGAGATATATGTCCATCACCGCCATATGTGGTCAGGCCATGTTTATCATATATGGTCACTGTGACACTACTGCCCCCATATTTGTGAAACACCTGTCTTGTGTATGGCCAGGTCATACACCATGGTCATGGATGGTCAACAATACTTGTAATGGTGTATAAGAATGAACGCTAACCAGCAGAGACAAGCAATACTCCCACAGTGACATGAGTTTCAAATTAAAATATGGCAAGCAATACATGTATCATTACCAACAGATTGTGATAAGACCAAATATGGCGGCACTGCAGAGTGCCTCACAGTTAAAATGTTACGTAACCATAGTAACAACATCCAGCTTTGTACATGCAGATTTCTCTCATTTTGGCACCATCTTTCCCTGATAGACTCTCAGTAATAATGTTCACAGCTGTGGAACAACAACCACTACATTTCCCCAAGTATACTACTCAAAACAAGTTAAGGATCGCTCGATTCAAAATTAATGTGTTAACGTGACACATCAACCATAGTAATTTCAAAGAATCCTTAAGGTTTTTGAGTAGTATAGGAGTATACATACATTTACAGGGTACAATGGCGTATCCTAAACTAAAGCTACCTCAAGTCCTATGAGTTTATCAGAGATGGCCATAATGCTGTGGTAAATGATTCTCTCAATTCGAGAAATCATCATGTCAGGTAGTATCTCCTTCATCTCAGTTGAGTCACATGTTGCCAGGTCGAGTGAGTGAGTGAGTGCGACACTTCTTGAATACCTTAGACAACTGGAACAACCGCGGTTGAGTACATACATTTTATACACATTTCAGCCAAAGATTGTCAAAGTTAACTGAGATTTACTCCATGGCATAATGCAAGTTTAGCATACTCCATGTACCCTGGTTCTAAACAAGGTTCATACCAATGTACCATGGTACATAGATCAGGCTACACCAATGTACCAGGTACATATTTCACTTGGGCATACTGTGTACCATGGTACATAGGTCTGGTTACACCAATGTACCTGGTACACAATCCGCTTGGTCATATTCCATGTACCATGGTACATAGCAAAGTTTGTACCAATGTACCCCATACGTATTACACTAGGTCATACTTCATGTACCATGGTACATCGCAAAGTTTGTACCAATATACTGTATACGCATTACACTAGGTCATACTTCATGTACCATGGTACATCGCGAAGTTTGTACCAATGTACTGTATACGCATTACACTAGGTCATACTTCATGTACCATGGTACATAGCAAAGTTTGTACCAATGTACTGTATACGCATTACACTAGGTCATACTTCATGTACCATGGTACATCGCGAAGTTTGTACCAATGTACTTCGGTACATACTCTAGCGGAGTATTCTCCCCGGAACAGACAGCAGCGCAGCGGTGCGGTGATGATTCCAACAGCATCACTAACTCTAACAAACATGTAACATTTGAGTATCCTTCAATTACAACAGTGGTCCTACCTCTAGCCCTGGAGGCTGTGACGAATACTGATTCTCCCCTGCTTCACAGAAAGGATTATTAACCAACATGTCCATTCATGTGAGAAATGCTATATCATACATTTGGCATTTGTACCTCCAGAGACATTCTTTGGAACAGACCTTATCCCTGGGATAATGGTGATTGGAAATAACGTTGAACAAGTCACAGAGCAAACCACTGTTTGTCATTATTCAGGTTTACAGACTTCGAAAAATAACTTGAGGATTCTCATTGGTGGATCACTGGTGTATAGTAAAATTAGCGGTGTTTAGTCAGTTGTTTTTATATATTTTCAGCCAAGTTATAAAAAAAACCCATGAAATTAGAGGACAAGAGGTCAAGTCTGTTTCTGGTTATACAAAACGTTTACAAAATGTTAGTTTTAATTTACACAAAACAGTTTACAATAATCTATTATTAATCTCTTATGATCAAAATCTGTCTAACTATAGAACAGTATACCTCTTGTGTAGGTCCACTGATCCCAGAAATATTCCATTTAAAATTGCAAAAGGATGAGTATGTTTTCTTAAATTGACAGCTTCAAAGTATTAAGTGGGGCAGGAAAAACAGATAACAAAAAGTGGTTACAGAAAACATCTCAAAGTCCTGTCTTCACTTCCATTATTGGCTTATTCTGAAGAGATTTTTCAATCATGGCATTAAACATGTTGGGAAAATTGCACACATCTATCTCATCAATGTCTAAGATCTCATTTCTGCAACAAATGAGAACCAAATTTATCTTGTGAATAACGACTTGCCTACTGAATCTAAAAGTGGATCCAAACATCCTGACAAACAACAGTTGGGCAGTAAACACTAATGAACGCCACAGACACCCTGAACAGTCTTCTCCAATCTCAATGGCTATCTCAGGCGATCAATCAGTGACTTTATGATTACGGTACGTATAAAAATAAAAATAGCATACACATATATCCTGTTCATGATTCAAATAGAATCACAAACATGTCTCCAGTTCAGAAATATTAACTTATGAAACCGGTATGACTGTACATGTTGAAAAATATTGATACGTCTAAACTTTGACCAGTGTCCACTACTTCCTCTGACAGACAACAGTAAATGAGTGGAAATGGAGGATGCACTATCTCCACAGTTCCCACAAAACATGCTGTACAGGGGCCCATTCACAAAGTAAACTCAGCTATAAGATATTTGGAAGTCTATGTTACAACCTCTTAGTGCTAAACTTGCTTTGTAGAATGGGGCCAAAGTGGTGTTCATATAAGATTTAATATGCTTAAAACATGTAAAATGGTTGGGAAAGTAATAAAAGCTTATTTGGTCACAACAAATTAATCAATTGCTTCTTAAATAATTGGTTCAAAGCCTTATTATGACAAGAAATACCTCAAAATGTTCTTTTAAAATTTTAAATGTCCCTTTAAAAAAAGTACTGAAATAGCATACGATCCAGATTTTATGCATGTCCGATCTAAGATGCTGGCCATTAAGGGTGGGTGAGTCTGGTAGCCATCAGCTAAAGTCAGGTCATTTGCACCCACAAAAGGAATCAAACCAGACCTTCAGCTGGACAAGCTGACCACTGTCCACACCACAGAAACCTTATTTACGAAGAACCGATTTGGTTGCCATCTCGATGGAGACCATTTTATCCTGATTGTTAGGTATGTATCTGGGAAAACACAGGGAATATATCTGATATTCCTTAGCAACTTAATTGGGGAAATATTTTCTTATATATAATCCAAAGCCAGGATTTTCATAATGTTTCTAATGAAGTAGAGAGTAAATATTATATGAACTTCAGTAAGGTACAAACAACCATTTAAATCCCTCTGATCCTTTATATTGTTTCTGTTATCAAGGCTTCAAGGGGAAATTACAGTCAGCTAAACATTTGTTGGAATATATTCAACCATAACAACATTAGTGAGTGAGTTTAGTTTTATGCCGCTTTTAGCAATATTCCAGCAATATCACGGCAGGGGACACCAGATATGGGCATTACATGTTGTACCCATGTGGGGAATCAAACCCAGGTCTTCGGCATGACAAGTGAACACTTTAACCACTAGGCTTCCCCACTGCCCCCATAACACATGACTTGGGAAATTTAAATTCTCATTTGGAAATTTGTACTAGCTGTAGACTCAGTCATAATAGGTCTCTGACGGTGCCGAGTCCACCAGTAGTGTTGTAATCAAAGAGGGGCGGTGGGGTAGCCTAATGGTTAAAGCGTTGGCTCGTCACGCCGAAGACCCGGGTTCGAATCCCCACATGGGCACAATGTGTGAAGCCCATTTCTGGTGTCCCCCGCCGTGATGTTGCTGGAATATTGCTAAAAGCGGCGTAAACCAAACTCAGTCAGTCAGTGTAATCAAAGAAGCATATTATTCAAGGAAACAATTGATCAGTTTGTTGCTGGTAAATTAACAATCACTATACATCATCAATAAAGAGAAAATATCGCCAGCAGTCAGTAATATTGCTGCTATATCACAGCAATCAATTACATACAGTAGGCGATCCATTAGTCTGTTTGGTTTCTGACACGTGCATCCATTGGTTTCCGACACGTGCATCCATTGTCTCATTCTCACACCACTCATCCATCAATCTCAACTAATTCAAATAGCCAACCAGCCTTGTCACTTTCGTCTATAAATTCTAAACCTATTCACTAAAATCTCACTCCCATATCCATCAATAAGAATCAGTGTAAAACGCATGGAAAAAATGCAGTTCCATCAATAAACATGGACTTGAAAATAGTTCAGTGACAAGTCTAGAGGCATGATGATTTTCATTCTCAAAATAAATTCTATACAACTATGACAATGACCCCTTCAGTACATGATGATGAGAACATGATTATTGATGACTGGAACACTGGGCCTCTGTAACCACATCTTTGAATGACATACTCCCTAAAGCACTCAACTTTCAACATCCAACACTGCCATCTTCAGGCATATGCAGTTGAAAATTACTGCGTGAAACTATTACAATAAAACTCAGTATTGGTTTGCTATTCTCAACCAACCCACTGCCATTAGACTGGGATATTAATGTACTTCTTGAAAGAAGTTACAGAACATCAGAATATTTACTGATGGTAATCTGTTGGGATATATTAACTGCCATCATATGAACAGAATGGGTGTCTGTAACTACTTTGGAGTGGTATATATACCATACTTCTTTCAATAAGTACTCTACCAAAAAGCATACTCTGACCAACTTCTTTACGAACATATACTGAGGGAAACAAATAAGTGAACACCACTTCATGGCAGTGTTCCTTTATATATTCTCAGATTTCCTCCCGTAGCGCTTTTCAGAGCCTGGTAACAAAAACTGGAAAATATTAAAGGAACGCTTGAAGTTTTCTGTGTTCCTTTATCTATTTCTCTCAGTAAATAACTAATCTGTAAAACCACCCCACACCTAGACCAATACTAACTTGAGAGAAATGTTTACTGAAAAAGCTTGCATTTTATTAACCTTTGAATAAAGTTTGCTTGTTCACATTCTCTGAAAACAAATTCAAATTATAGTGGTTTTCATAAGAGCCTTTCTTTTCAATTTTCTAATTGCCAGCATCAATTAAGGCAAATACGGCAAATTGAAATTTTATTTCTGTTACTAATAGTAGACAAAATATTAAAAAACAACAAGCCCATGAATATAAACAAATCTTTAGAAATAACCATTGATGAACACATGTTTTATAACGACCAGTTAACTACTCTGGTTGGAACACATGAATTTGAGCTATATGTCCAGGGTGTTTGATGGACCATGTCTACCACATTCTGGTCAGTACACAATGTTCATAAAAGTTCACACTAACCAGAAATAAGACCAGAGTATATTGAGAACAGGATTCTTTTCCTAAGTCACAGTAACATTAGCAGACAGTTTTAAAAAATATCAAAAAGGGAATTCATTTTTTCATATTCTTTAAAAGGCAAACATTGCATTAAAAATGTATTATCAAGGTATCAAGCTGAAATACATCAGCCAATCACCAGTCTTAGACGATGCATGAATCATTAAACAAGTGAATCTCATGGCCAAAACACGAATCGAGGCATGACAACTCCAGTGATAATACAAGATGTTTCATCCACGACCTGCCAGTATCCTTGGAGACCTGATTCTAAAAGAAGGTCCAATATGTCCATCACTACCTCTGTCATCCAATCACAGCACCTGTATCATTGCACGAAAGGAGGATAAGCTCCTGGAGGAGTTGATCAATCTGGCTTCCGCTGTGTCGAGTCTTTAGCACGTACTGATGTATTCAGGGCCCTGTTTAACATGGGATGTTGTGGAACAATGACTGTCCACCAGAATGTTTCAAGTTTTGTCCTTGGGTTTCCCGTCCATCACTCGATGGCCGCTTACATGAGTCTGGAGAGGGAGAGGGTAAGGTAAACTGGTTGCCATGGGAACCGATGATGATGAGGACTGACCAATGCTGAAACCAGGCTGTGGTTTTTGATCCTGTGAACGAAAACCGAGATTATTTTTTCCATTTTAATATAACACGGTTGGCCAGAGATTAAGGAATGATGAAAGTAACAAAATAACAACAGGTTACCAGTCACAGACATTTTGTGCTATCTCACTGCATGGAAGTCTGATATTTCATATTATCTTTCTAAACTGAACCAACAGTGTGTAAGATCGGGAACCAAACTAAAATACAAAAATGAGTAATATTTTCATGGCTATTGGGCAAGCCGGCTAGTTGCTACAGGCATTCCTGGATTCAAGCCTTTCTTTCTGCTTTATGAACATAAATGAAAACAGGATTGCAGTTTTATTCCATTAAATGCCATGGAATGACTTGCAATATATTTAATTTTCAAAGAAATGTTGTCATCTAACTGAAAAATATGTTCAATTGTTTGAAGGAAGCTTGCAGTCTGTGCAGCTGACCTGAGAGGTAGAGGGCACCTGTACGCCTGGCTGTGATCGGTCAGGGATGGTCTTCACTGTCACCCCGGACCCTGCTACAAGTGGAGACACACACTCTGTCAACAAAACAAACCATGGAGCTTATAGATGAACACTACTGGACATTTGTTGGTTGTTTAATATCTTACTCGGATGTACACGTAATGTACATTTGTTGTTTAACACCTCACTCTGCAAGGTTCTGACTGACTGAGTTTGGTTTTACCCGCTTTTAGCAATATTCCAGCAACATCAAGGCGGGGACACCAGAAATGGGCTTCACACATTGTACCCATGTGGGATTCGAACCTGGGTCTTCGGCGTGACGAGCCAACGCTTTAACCATTAGGCTACCCCACCGGCCCTGCAAGGTTCTGACAACAAGGTCTGACCACCTGATCCGTTTAGTTGGTACATACAAGATTCCTGAGAATTAATTCCACTGTGCAATTCCCATGAGGGTTTATGTTAAACGTCACCATGGACTTTCATTTTCCATCTGTTTAACTGCTCTGAGACCTGTTTACAACAGTGCAGCCAACAATGTTTACTGTCTGGTCCAACAGCAACAAACACACCTGGTAGAAAGGTGTACTGTGTTCCAAACTGAACGGATATCCTCTAAATTTACCAAAGAATTCCACATTTCAACAGCAAAGACTGAGAACAAAGTTGTACTGAAATGTCAGCACACTGTTCACAGGTCAAAAGATGACGTTTGGTTGGAGTTATTGTTTGATAACTGGTCAGCAAATGATTGTTCTTTTAAGCAACAGTAACACTCCAGCTTGCACACCATGAACATGGCAAAACTCAATTCCACTGAAATCATATCCTAATAATAATAATAGCTCCATTTGTATAGTGCTTTTTCACACATCAATGCACACTCAAACCGCTTTAGCAAAGAGAGTCGAGTCAGAGATAGTTGTTGAACAGATAGGTCTTCAGGAGGGCTTTGAACGATGGAAGAGAGTCAGAGTGTTTTCAAGAGTCAGGGAGCTGATTCCATTTGACAGCTGCTGTCACACTGAAAGATCTGCCTCCAAATGTTTTCAGCTGAAATCTGGGAATCATCCCAATACCTGTATGACACCTGATGTTAAATGACATCTGATGTTAACTCACACATGGGATCCTGAACTGTCCAGTACAACTGACCTGGAACTGTGGCGCTATCCGAGTTATTACAAATGCACTGACCACAGAACTGGGACATTGTCTGAGTTCCTACACATGTACTCACCACAGGGACTCGGGGCGTCGTCAGAGTTAGATGGTGTGATGGGGTTGATGATTGGAGGAGCTGGACTCTGGCTGGCCGAGTGGTCAACCGGAGACTGAGCCACCTGAAACCACACACAACATGCACTGTAGTCGTCAATAATCACACAATTTGTACCAATCATAATGTTCCTGAACAGACAAATACTCACCTGCATCATTACTGTTTGTGTTCAAGTATTCTGGGTTCAGCTAATTGAAGGCAGTCTGTAAATAATTGAATCTGGACCAGACAAGCCAATATTGAGGAACTATCCTTGGGGTAAATGGAACCCACCAGGCCACCAAGGATGCTCACCTGAATACATTGTTGTACCATTATAACCCAGAGGTTCATGGGGGTGAATCCTATGCCATAAACATGCTTGACCTTCCTGTGACTTGATGTCTGATACGTTAACATGCTTGACCTTCCTGTGACTTGATGTCTGATACGTTAACATGCTTGACCTTACTGTGACTTGATGTCTGATACGTTAACATGCTTGACCTCCTGTGACTTGATGTCTGATATGTTAACATGCTTGACCTTCCTGTGACTTGATGTCTGATATGTTAACATGCTTGACCTTCCTGTGACTTGATGTCTGATACGTTAACATGCTTGACCTACCTGTGACTTGATGTCTGATACGTTAACATGCTTGACCTTCCTGTGACTTGATGTCTGATACGTTAACATGACTGACCTGCCTGTGACTTGATGTCTGATACGTTAACATGCTTGACCTTCCTGTGACTTGATGTCTGATACGTTAACATGCTTGACCTTACTGTGACTTGATGTCTGATACGTTAACATGCTTGACCTTCCTGTGACTTGATGTCTGATATGTTAACATGCTTGACCTTCCTGTGACTTGATGTCTGATATGTTAACATGCTTGACCTTCCTGTGACTTGATGTCTGATACGTTAACATGCTTGACCTACCTGTGACTTGATGTCTGATATGTTAACATGCTTGACCTTCCTGTGACTTGATGTCTGATATGTTAACATGCTTGTGTGACTTGATGTCTGATACGTTAACACTTGACCTTCCCTGTGACTTGATGTCTGATATGTTAACATGCTTGACCTTCCTGTGACTTGATGTCTGATATGTTAACATGCTTGACCTTCCTGTGACTTGATGTCTGATACGTTAACATGCTTGACCTACCTGTGACTTGATGTCTGATACGTTAACATGCTTGACCTTCCTGTGACCCGATGTCTGATACGTTAACATGCTTGACCTTACTGTGACTTGATGTCTGATACGTTAACATGCTTGACCTTCCTGTGACTTGATGTCTGATATGTTAACATGATTGACCTGCCTGTGACTTGATGTCTGATACATTAATATGCTTGACCTACCTGTGACTTGATGTCTGGTGGTGAGTCAGGGGGTGAATGTGACATGGAGGAGTTGTTGTTGACGGTGTTGAAGGGGAGGGAGAGCCTGGCGTTGATGGTGAGCAGCTGGTTCCGTCTCTCAGTCAGAGACTTCACATACTCTTCCAGCCGGGTGTTCTCAGTCTTTAGCTGATGTAGACAGTTTAGCAGCGACGCTACTAGAATGAGAGGAGTAGGAAGCCTGTCACTGACAGAAGAGAACTTCATGACAGTATTTCACCTTCAGCATCCTGACAATGAACGAGCCTGCTCAAACATCAGTAACAACAAGCTTAAGCTTTGATCACATATAACCTAGTCATTATCTCCAATATAGCAACATTTATTTGTCACTGACTGAAAGACTAGTTTAGTTTTACGCCAGTCCTAGCAATATTCCAGATTACGGTAGGGGGACCAGAATGGGCTTAACACATTGTGCCCATGTGGGGAAATATTTATGAACAAATAGCGCTTTAACCACTAGGCTACCCACACCACCCTTTGTCACTTGAAAGTAAGCTAGTACAGTCCTACTACAGATTACTGTTTTGCATAAAAATGAGAAATATTTATGAACAAATAACTAGGGCTGCGCAATATAACCGGTTTACCAGTATTTACCAGTTCAGACATGAAAGCGATATGTATTGCGATACGCTGATCGAAAACCAGTATTTTGACTTGTATTCGGAAAATGGCGTAACACTCCAAAATCTTCGGATTTTTATTTGTGCCAAATATTATTCACATTTTTATTCTATCATGATTACAATTTATTATTAAAGCTTAATCAAACATAGTGATTTTGTTGTGTTTTTGCTATATAAATCAAGCAGTAACTCGATTATAAGTAGTTTTTTGTAAGAAAAAATACTTCATGCAATATATTGCAAAACATATCGCAATACATGCTTTCGCATCGCAATATATCGCAATATGAATATTCTCTGCAATACCCATCCCTACAAATAATGAAAAAACCCTCCTGTCCTTGCTCTGGATGAGCTTAAAAAGGAACACATATATCTGTTGGCCTTGAATCAGTGTCTGGTACAACAGAAAGCTGTTTATACTTGTCCGTTGCTAAACGCCGAAATCAGCAATATCAAAGCTATAGGACAGCGGTCTGTAAATAACAGAATATGGGCCAGACCATCCAGTGATTGACATGAACACTGTTTTCCGAAACTGAGATATGGTGACATGCATCAACCAAATCAGTGTGTGATTCTGTTTACGTCCTCATACAACCAGTATTGGTTGCTGAGGACCATTTGTAGGATGGGTGTTCCTGGGTGTGTACAGGATATACTGACTGTCGAAGTGCTGGCTCTGCTCCATGAGGAACTGTGATCCCTGCTCCCACTGCCTCTCCAGCAGCTGCTCCATGGACGTGGGGAACCTGGAGGAGGAGGCATCGATTCAGAGAATCACATACTCTTGGTGACATTCTGACACCACATTCAACAATAACATCTGTTTACAGTAAAAGTATTAGTGCATACAAGTCCTGACTCATATTAATTGATATCTGTCAACGAAATGTCGTGAACATGGTGGAGAATATTTTGGTAGTAAGACAGAATAATGTTCTATCACTGACTGACTGAGTTTAGTTTTACGCCGCTTTTAGCAATATTCCAGCAATATCACGGCTGGGGACACCAGAAATTGGCTTAACACATTGTGCCCATGTGGGGAATCGAACCCGGGTCTTCGGCGTGACGAGACAACGCTTTAACCACTAGGCTACCCCACCGCCCAATGTTCTATCAGAAGTTGCAATATTCATTTTCATGTCCAATTGCTGTTTGAAAAATAATCACTGAATTAGCTGAGGGTTATACCTCGACAGTGAGTGAGTGAATCGCCTCTTACGACAAGCATAGGTTGCTTAAGATCAATTCTAACGCGGAATCTTCACGGGTTGTCGACAGACAGTATTAATGTATCGATGTATCAGTGGGTACGTCACTAACTGTCCTGGTACCCTGGAGTCAACTGGAGCAAGCAATCATTGACAGACACTCACCCTCCTTGGCCCTCTCCACACTTGGACAGTGATGGGAACACTTTAGGGGGACACAAGTAGCCATTGACTGGGTCCTTGTCTGCATCACCTCCTCCGCGGCTGGACTCACACGCTGATGAGCTTCTTCCATCAAAACCTGCCACGAACAACATCTCCACCAGTGATTCAAGAAACGCATCAATTTCATTTTAGGATTAATCATGTTATTTTCTCAAACAATAAAAATTATCAAAAATGAAACAGTTATAAAAATTTTGCTTTTGAAAATGTCAGACGGTAACTTGAAACTTTAATAAACATCATTAAAATTATGTTTGTTGTCTTATGCTGCTAAAGAAAAAATTGAAACATTGGGGATCTTAATAAGTGCTTAAGTGTGATACGATCTCCCAGTGTGATGCGATCTCCCAGTGTGATGTGAACTCCCAGTGTGATATGATCTCCCCAGTGTGACGCGATCTCCCAGTGTGATGCGAACTCCCAGTGTAATATGACCTCCCAATGTGATATGATCTCCCAGTGTGATACAATCTCCCAGTGTGATATGATCTCCCAGTGTGATATGATCTCCCAGTGTGATACAATCTCCCAGTGTGATACAATCTCCCAGTGTGATATGATCTCCCAGTGTGATACAATCTCCGTGTGATATGACCTCCCAATGTGATATGATCTCCCAGTGTGATACAATCTACCAGTGTGATATGATCTCCCAGTGTGATATGACCTCCCAATGTGATATGACCTCCCAATGTGATATGATCTCCCAGTGTGATACAATCTCCCAGTATGATCTGACCTCCTCCACGAACAACATCTCCATCAGTGATTCAAGAAACTGATAACACATCAATTTCATTTTAGGATCTCCCAGTATGATCTGACCTCCTCCACGAACATCTCCACCAGTGATTCAAAAAACTGATAACGCATCAATTTCATTTTACTATTAATCATGTTATTTTCTCAAACAATAAAAATTATGTGATAATGTTATAATGTGATATGACCTCCTAATGTGATATGATGTCCCAATGTGATATGACCTCCCAATGTGATACGATCTCCCAGTGTGATATGACCTCCCACTGTGACAAGATGCCAAGAGTGACATGACTTCCATCCAAGTGTGATAACACCTCAGTGGTTTGACCTCCTAATGCGATACAACCTCCTAATTCGATTCGATCCCCCCGTGTGACATGATCTCCCAATGTGACCAGATCTCCAAGAGTGACATGACTCCAAGTGTGGCAAGATCTCAAAGTGATATGACCTCTAATGCAATTAAATCTCCCAGTGTGACATGATCTTCTCATGTGACAAGATCTCCCAGTGTAACTTGATCTCCCAATGTGACAAGATCTGCCAGGGTAACTTGACCTCCAAGTTTGACAAGATCTCAAGGTGTGACAAGATCTCCCAGTGTGACATGATCTCCCAGTTTGACAAGATCTCCCAGTGAAACTTGACCTCCAAGTGTGACAAGACCTCAATGTGTGACAAGATCTTAACCAGTGACATGATCTCCCAGTGTGACATGATCTCCCAGTGTGACATGATCTCCCAGTGTGACATGATCTCCAAGTGAGATCTTCCAGTGTGACAAGATGTCCCAGTGTGACATGACCTCCAAGAGTGACAAGATCTTCCAGTGGGACATGATCTCCCAGTGTGACAAGATCTCCCAGTCACTGAGTGTGATGCCATCTCCAAGAGTGACATCATCTCAAAGTGTGAGAAGATCTCCATGTCAGACAAAATGTCTCAGTGTGACATGATCTCAACGTATGACAAATCTCAACGTGTAACTTGATCTCCCAGTGTGACAAGATCACCCAGTGTGACAAGATCTCCCCAACTCACCTGACTGTCCAAACCTGGGTAGTGACACTGGGCCTGGAGCACTGAGACTCTGGAAGTAGGGTGATCCACCAAACACACTGTTACAGAAGCTGTTCTGCCTACATCTTCCCCACACAGACATTCAGTTTTAACCACGTGCCCATGGCAGTTAGCAGCATTACTAAAGCATTATATATCCCAATAATTTCCTTAGTGTGTGTACCCCAGAGGTAGCTGGTATGACATCCAATGCAATAAAGAAAAACAAAGTATTTCACTTGCCTTCTTACTGAGTACAATCTGTAAATCTGATAATGTAATGCAATGGTGAAATGGAAAATGTTTAATTCCAATATGGAACAGTTGGTTTATTGTTTAACACTTCACTCAGCAATATTCCAGCTATATGGTGTCTACACCAGACTATCCAGTGATCAACAACATGAACATCGGTCTAGGCAACTGGGACATGAAGACACCATATGGAACAGAATACAGGCATATATCGGCCTCCCACAAACATCTACTAGGATCTACTATGAGACAGAAAGCATTCAGGACTGAATCTCTCCCTACCCTTGCCCAGCCATGGAGGAACAGTTGGGCCCCCCTTGGACTCCAGGAGGGAGACCATTGGAGGAACTGCTGGACTTTTTCCGCAAAGAGAGTTTCTTGGCCCCTGGGGTGAGCACTGCCTTCCCCGTCTGCAGCGTGTCCTTGTTCATCTTCCCCTTGCCACCCACACAACTGGATATCTTCCCTCGCCGAACCTTCTTCTTTTCCTTCTCCTGAGATCTATACATGTGAGCAGAGCGATGACGTGTCTATACAAGCCAATCAATACTTCACTATAATGAAGCAACACTTTATACCTGAACAATTCTACCTCATTGTTACTACAGTTTCCAGACTAAAGGTCCAAATTTTTTAGGGGATTATGGGCGTTTTGGCAGGAGACATGATACTAGGGCAGGGTTGGGGACTACACTCGAAAAAAAATAATCTGTGAACCTTTGTTAAAAATTATGACTAATTTTTTTACAACCAATAACATGACAAGAAACTATTTCAGATGCAGAACTAGCATACACTATTTACCTGAAACAATTAACAGAATAAAAAAACTTGCAAAGCAAGTAAGAAAAATAGATATTCAGTGTTTGAAATGAGGAAAGTCACGGAGACCTGGTTACCATTTTGTGAAAGGTTAAGGAACTCCTAGATTAGAAACACATAGAATCAAATCTCATTTCCAGTTAATAACATGTTTGTCAATCTTGTAACCCAAAAAAGTCAACACTTTCTCTCTTGTGAATAGCCCATTTCCTCAATGTAGCACGTGTCTTAACAGCAGACTAATTTGGAACCATCGGTTATTACAGTTACCGTTGATCACCTTTAGTGTTGGGAATTGGTTAAAATCTCGTAATTGATGATTGGTTCATTACCACCGATCAATCATCGAAAATAATTGGTTAGCGTCATTTATGAAATTTGTTAATGCACAAAAAAAATAAGGAAAAAAACATGTTGTTAATCTGGAGCTTTTTTGGCAAAATTTCACATCTTTATAGGATGACTAGTGTGTAAGGAACATAAATTTCTTGGAGTCTTTAAGATAAATTCAATCATGACTTGGAACGAGCTTGCAGTGCTTATGAAATGAAACAGACAAAACCAACCTTGTGATAAATATTGTTGATGAAAACAAGTGTTCCAGAATTGTTTGTGTTAGATTATGAGAAAACATGATCGATTTTAGTCGTTTAGTCACTGCGACCAATCTTCGATTATTTCAATTAATCGGACCACCACTAGTCACCTTGTGGCTAAATCATCTAAAAGTCCCTGAGCAAGACCACAATTGTCCCCATGACACTAAGCTTCCTGTATTCACTTAATAATATTTCAATTGTGAGACATATGCAAATCTACGGTTAATGTGCAGCCATACTGCATAAATATCTGATACTTTGATTGTTTTAAAATACCTAGCATCTCCTGTGGACAGTATAAGTTGCATACCTATCTTGCAGCAGACTAAGGTCGATGTATTATCTGTGTTAAATTCAGCGGAAAATAATCCATGTCATAAAGATAAGAACACCACAATGAAGCATTTGATGGACAAAAGCAAATACACATGGCAGACAGGCAAAGGGAACTTGAGTAACCTCCCTTCCCTACATAATAATGTAAATGACATTTCATCATTTAACTGGTACAGCGGGGAATGTAGTAGATCACTTCTCTTAATTGCTTTTATCTTTTTTCTATTTCCACAAAATGCACAGTGGGCAGATCCATATAACAAGTACAAAAATGTGGCCTTATACTTATACGCTAGAGGGATATATGGGTGAGTGAGTGAGTTTAGTTTTACGCCGCACTCAGCAATATTCCAGCTATATGGTGGCAGTCTGTAAATAATCGAGTCTGGACCAGACAATCCAGTGATCAACAGCATGAGCATCGATCTGCGCAGTTGGGAACCGATGACATGTGTCAACCAAGTCAGCGAGCCTGACCACCCGATCCCGTTAGTCGCCTCTTACGACAAGCATAGTCGCCTATTGTGGCAAGCGTGGGTTGCTGAAGACCTATTCTACCCCGGATCTTCACGGGCCGGGATATATGGACTCAATGGAGTATACAAGCATGGGCCAATCAGAATCCATTAGTCATTTGTAAGGTGAAAAAATATTGAACAAAATAAAACAAACAGAAAAAGTTGATTACGAATAATTTTTAGCACGGCTCTAACTCAGTTGATAACAAGTGTTTGCCACTAACATGGCAATGTCCCCCCGCTGCTAAAGAAAAATTAAATATAACATTTTTGCTAGTTTTTATCTTTAGGTCAAGATTACCTTTTGTGTGATGTAGTTTTTGCAATAACAAGATTTGTAAAGTGTCATGTGACCTTGAAAATAAGGTAAAGGTCACCTTGAAATGACTGATGTCCTTGTAATGCCCCAATGTAGGATGTTAATTTTTTTTGAAGACATTGGGTTCAACAGGGCATGAGAGATCGTGTTATCAAGAGTTTGAAAAGTGGTCAAAGTGTCGTGGTGACCTTGATAATAAGGTCAAGGTCACCCAAATCGACTGGTGTCTGCGTAATGCCCCAATGTAGGCTGTCACCAAATTTGAAGACATTGGGTACATTGGCTCATGAGATATCACGTTAACAAGAAACAATTGAATAAACAGTTTCCCGTTCCATGTTGCGGCGGGGACAATAAAAATCAAAACACAACCGAAAAGACACACTGACCTTGACCGTGACCGTTTCCCAGAGGGCTGTTCACCATCACTTCCTTTCCCACCACTGTCTTCCTCAGCAGTATTTGGAGCACTTCCACTCAGAAACTTTTCGAATGAATTTGAGAATGACCCTTGGTTTTGTGGGCTTGTCACCTCCCCAGTCCCAGAACTACTGGCCGGGCTGGCATTAGTAAAGGGTGACGAGGCCGTGGAAAACAAACAGTTGGAATCCGTCACTGTAAACCGTGCGTCCATGATCAGTTTTTGGTCGTGTCCTGGTGGACTACATGAAGAATTACTCAATGAAGACCCTGCCATCTCCGGTTTACTAATCGACTCCACAATCTGAGAGTTCGCAGGATGATTTTTCAGATCCGCCTCCGTGAATCCAGCAAATTCCGGAGACATCATCGACGATGAATCTGACATAGCACTATTATTATGAGATGGAGGCGTTGCCTGAGGTCTCTGTTTAACCACTTCACTACTACCCGAAGCTTGACTCTGAATTGCTGCATGGTCCAACGATGTCTTGTTTCGTTCCTTGCTCTGCTCACAAAAGATTGTGAAGATCTGGAAATTAAATTGTGTATTCTCTATACTGATTACAGGACCAGCACATCTCAATATAGTGAGAGGCTTACCATTGGAGTAATCAGTAGCATGCTAACACACAATAGCAGGGGTGGAAATAACCCATTGCCCGACACCCGAGTCAGTGTTTTTTCTGTCGGGCAAGCAAATTTGTATATCACACTGTACCGGTGTCCAGTTGACTTTCCAATATTAATTATGTTGTTTATTTAAAAAATCAACAAGAAAACGTGGAAGTAGTGGAAAAATTATCAGGGCAAGTGATTTTACATGTGCCACTGTACCGGAGTACACTAGCAATTTTAAAGTTATTTCCACCCCTGAATAGCAAAGCAAGACAGCCTGGGAATACATTGGCTGTGGGGTAGAACTTCAACCCATATACAGTACAGTCAACTACGGCCATAATAAACACAAGGGAACACTAATTGAAGTTTATTACAACACTAGTCAGTATTCACATTTTGACTGAAATAGATATCATCTGACTGAGACCAAAATTGAGAATATTGTACAGCTTCAATGAGAATTAGGACAGCCCTTAATGTTACATAGCATCTGGTCTGACCAGTACAGATTAAAGTGTTCCAGAGTCATATTTATTACATAACAGTTAACAGTAGCTGTGTAAGGGTTACATTTTACCCCTGCATACAAACAGTCACCAGCAAATAAAGTGTGGCATGATAACTATAGTCTAAGCAGTAATGTGACACAGAAGCATCAGTTGAAAGCACCACAACAGAATTAACTTCTATGGAATAATGTGAATAGCTTGAACAGAGTAAGTGGAAGTCAGCTAAGTAATGGCTACATCAGAATAAAACCAGGGCTCGATTTAGTGCTTTGTTCCTTGCACTGGTGCAACCCAATATTACAAAGTGCAACCTAGTTATTAGTCTAACATGCCCCAGGTGAAAGTCAATTTTTGAGTGGGTAAACTTCTGAATAAAACATCTAAATAATTCAATAGCATATTTCTGATATTACATATTGCAATAAACTGAGTTTGGTTTTGGCTTTCTAAATAATTCACATAGCATGGGCTTCACATTGTCTGATTACCTGGGTCTGATATTACATATTGCAATAAAAACAGTGCAACTGGAATTAGGATTGTACAACTAGGTTTTTATCTTAGGTTGCACTTGTGCAACTGGGTTAACATCTCTTAAATCGAGCCCTGAAACCCAAATGAGAAACTATCTGCATGTTGTTTGAAGACTATGACACAAATTCACAAACCAGGATCTATGATGCAATGAAACAAGTCACTGAATCTGACCACATATTCTTGTATAGCCGCCTGTTTCAGCAAGCAATAGATTGCTAGGGAACTATCACCCTAAATCGTTAAATATGTATCAATGATGGTGGAACTCACGTGTGATCTCCCAGATATATTTAGTTGTTTGTCAAATTAAGGTGTGGAATGTGATTTGGTTTTGTTTACTGTTAGCGCTCAGCAATACTACAGCTACATGACAACAGACTGCAAATACTCCAGTCTGGACCATACAATCCAGAGATTGATACTGTGAGCATCAATCTGTGTCAAATGGGTACAATGACACACTATGAACCAAGTCATGGAGCCTGACCACCCAATCCATTTTGTAACTTCTTACAAGGTTGCTGGTTGCTTATTCTAGCCCTGAAATGTGGCATGGAATATGAAGTCGTGATTATTGAAGACGAAATAACAACTGCAATAGTGCTGTTAACCCAGTTTAACATGGGTGAGTGAGTGAGTTTAGTTTTTCACCGCACTCAGCAATATTCCAGCTATATGGTGGCAGTCTGTAAATAATCAAGTCTGGACCAGACAATCCAGTGATCAACAGCATGATCTGGGCGATGACATGTGGGAACCTGATGACTGACTGTACGCTGCAGCTTTTTAGCAATTCCCAACATCAGCGGGGGAACCAGAAATGACCATTGTACCCGATCGGGTCCGTTAGTCATTTCTACGATCCCGTTAGTCATTTCTTACGACAAGCATGGGTTACTGAAGATCAATATTCTAACCCGGACCTTCACGGGTCCAGTTTAACATGGGTCTTCTCCTAGAGGTCTTGTAATTACATCAATAAAGCTTTCTACAAACACATAATGTACAATGAAGATAATAAACAAACACTGGAAAACAAAGTCACAAAATCATTAGGAACACAAATCACAGGTTACTCGAATGGTGAAGCATGCCACAAACACTGCACCACCTTTTCTGGGGCTCCACAAGGGTGGAACATGACCAGAACCATTTGAGTAATTAGCTTCTCCTTCACAGGGATGGAAAATAGAACTACCTCACTAACCTGGAACGGTTAATGTTACCAGTATTTGGGCTTGTGGAAAAAGAACTAGCTCACTAACCTGGAATGGTTAATGTTACCAGTATTTGGGCTTGTGGACACAGGCGGTTATGTAATACTGGGGTCTAAGCAGCGTCCTGGGTTCCATGCTACAGAAGTGTATAATGTGAAGCCTATTTCCCGCCATGATATTGCCAAAATATTTTTAAAAGCAGAGTAAAACCATACACTATCTCTTGCTAGAATATTTTTCTTGGTTAACTTTATCCCTGCCTTGATGAAAATATTTCATCATATACTTTTCACTAATCACAAATGATTTCTCAAATGGCTAATTGTTGCAGTAAATATTGTATTGTGTCACACAACAGTCGTAAAAATAATCAATCTCCAAAACACGTTGCAGTGATCGCCAAAACCATCTGAGTCATCTTGCCCATCTTAGCTTCATTTTAGTATATACCAGCACATTAGACCAAACGAGATTAATACTTGAGTTGAGCTTCAGACAAGTAGCTGTCAGACATTTGTGTCTTCAAGTTGTAGATGGACTTTGCTTCCCACCCTTGTGAACCCTAGAGACAGCTAATTACCACAGATGAACGTAGCAGAGTCGCATCACATTAAAGCAGCTGAGAATCTGGGCCTACAAACAATCCAAACACCCCTCAATTACCCCCACAATGACTCACTTCTTTGACAGGTATCTGCAACTCCTACCAACACTCATACACACCTTTCTAGCCTTTTCCTTGTCCGGCTTCACAGGAGCGATCTTCTCCGGTGTTGTGTCAGGGGTAGCATTCTCGGACGGGATCGGTTTGAATGCAGGAATGGTTTTGATGTTAGCATCCTTTTTCTGAAGAAGAATTATTTGTCACCATGGTGATGAGTCCAGTTAGGGCACGTACCTGATTCATACTAACACATGGACGACCTTAGTGAGTTGTAACCAGCTCATAACATTTCCATTCAAGGTGTATGTCCTAATCTGTTTTTGGTTTGGAGACACAACCACATCATACATAATACAACCAGGTGTGGTCTTCATTCGCTAACTGAGCTGATGTCATATCTATATTCATATAAACAATGGGCGGAAATTAGGCCTAAATTCTCTAACAAATGTGCAGGGGTGGAAATAACTTTAAAATTGCTAGTGTACTCCGGTACAGTGACACATGTAAAATCACTTGCCCGGATAATTTTTCCACTATACCGGCTGTTTTCTTGTTGATTCTTAAAAAAAACAAAACATAATTAACATTGGAATATCAACTGGACACCGGTACAGTGTGATATACAAATTTGCTTGCCCGACAGAAAAAACACTGGACTCGGGCAATGGTTTATTTCCACCCCTGATGTGGGCAAAAATACCCAATACCCAACGTCTACCCATACCTCTGAATGTACAAAAACAGAAACAGAATAAAAGAATTTGACAGTCAGTATTACTCTTTCTAAATTAAGTACAGATTCTAGTTCTCTTTTGGGTTGAGCCTCATCTGTGACACAGTGATCTAACCCACTGAGCCACCACAGCTAAAGGACACTGTGTTTTCATGGGAACCCTCAAAAAATCCCTGGACCTGTTACATCTAACCCACTGAGCCACCACAGCTAAAGGACACTGTGTTTTCATGGGAACCCTCAATAAATCCCTGGACCTGTTAGCATCTAACCCACTGAGCCACCACAGCTAAAGGACACTGTGTTTTCATGGGTACCCTCAATAAATCCCTGGACCCGTTACATCTAACCCACTGAGCCACCACAGCTAAAGGACACTGTGTTTTCATGGGAACCCTCAATAAATCCCTGGACCTGTTACATGATAGTGTGGACATTATCAGTTTCTAGTCAATGAACAAAAAGTCAGTTCATACCAGTTTCTTGTAGTGGTAAGAACAGTAGCCACAATACTTGACATTGTCGCCATAGTTACCAGCTTCCTCGCACAGCAGACCTTGTGCCTGAGCACTGCAACAAACCAGAGGTCAAGCCTGATACTGAGATCACATGTTCACATCAAAACTAACCCCTGAAGGCAAGTGCTGAAACTTTTACAAATTCAGTCAATGGCTTGAATTAACAACAGTTCAGCTTGTCAAATAACAGTGGATCCAACATTAATTTGGTCAAATGTTGGTCAAGAAATCAGTATCTTTTATTTCATATAAACAAGGTATGCAAATTCTATAAATCGAAATAATCAAAAACAGGCATTCAGATTGGCTCTTTTGTACAGACACTGACCAACTGTCCCCTTGGATGACCCTATCAGCAATATTCCATGCATATTACGGCAGACTAGTACATAATCGTCTGGACAAGACAATCCAGTGATTGATACTGAGCAAAAATCCATGCGTATCGATGACATACAATTAACCCAGTAACAGTCTGGCCACCCAATTCACAAGTCACCTCTCACAACTCTAGTCTTGAATCTGTTCTGAAGTGATTATGGATTTATGCTGCTTTTAGCAATATCATTATGGTGGAGATCAGTAACGGGCTTCATGTGTCATGGGTTGTCAGCGTGCGGAGAGAACACTTTAACAACAAGGCTGACCCATCCAGTGTTTGCAAAACGTTAATTTGCCAGTTGGCCATCAGGGCCTGCTGCCGCCTGCAGGCTTTAAAATCTACAGGCCCTGAATGAAATCTGCAGGCCCATTTTGTTAAAGTCAAACCAATAAAAACAAAATAGACTACACTGTACACAGTTTCACACTGTTTCCACAAAATCAGTTAATGAAGCCTATGGCGTAGAGAGAAGTTTTTTTCGTTAGAGACTGGTGTTGACATTCCCATGTGCAAAGCACTGAAATACCAGGAAGTGAAACTGTAAGTTATCGTAACATGATGGATCATGGATGATTCCAGAAAATTGATAAAGAAAAAATTCTCGAAAGATTCCAGTTGAAGAAGAAACATGGCAGGAAACTGAAGACCACAATGCCTGCAAATATTTGAAACCACCCGAAACCACCGCCCGATACAGCCTCGGGCTGGCGATTAGCCGGACGCTGGACCCCATCATGTCCCCTGACTAGTCTGAAGTACCAACTTACCATGTAACATGAAAGTTCTGCTTGCATCCATTTTTGTTACAAGTCATACAGGATCCGGTGGTAGACTTAGTCTCTCGACCCTGTTCCTCGCATATATAACAAGTCTGAAACAAATACATTCAGTCACACAACTATCAGTTGATGTCTAATGCCAGCAACAGTTTAAACCACTGACAATTTTTTTGTATAATTTATCAAATAACATACAGCTAAAACTTACAAATGTATTTCGAAAATGGTCACATCAAAGCACAAGGAGTTACAATCAGATAAGCAGAGGTGGATCCAGAGGATCCAATTATACCAGGCTTAAATCCAAATCCCTGGTTTATAAGGACCATCAAGTTGCATCTTTTCCTTTGCTGCAGTCCAGCTATTCCAGCAGCTACTTTTCGTGGCATGTAAATAATCAAGCTTGACTAGACAGACCTGTACTTGCAGATTGCTTCATTCCATGACACTGACTGACTGCCAACAAATATGTCCTTAACAACATTTCTAAATTTGGTAATGATCCAGAAGAATGTCCTATCAAGAGCTGATAAAATCCTGAAAGTATCCTGCAGCCAACCATCTCCAGTAAAATCACTGTTATGAGTGAGTGAGTTGGGTTTTACGCCGCTTTTAGCAATATTCCAGCAATATCATGGCGGGGGAACACCAGAAATGGGCTTCACACATTGTACCCATGTGGGGAATCGAACCCGGGCCTTCGGCGTGACGAGTGAACGCATTAACCACTAGGCTACCCCACCGCCCCCACTGTTATGAGCAATGTCCAATGCCATCAGGTATTATGACTTGGAATCTGGAATTGTGAAATCTGACAACCTGTTTCAGTAGATACACCTCATGCTAGCAATAGATTGCTGGAAACCCATCATAGCTGACATCCCCATGAAGTTTATCAAAGAAAGTTTGTAAACTTCCAGCATGTACTAATTAACAAATCAAACTAGACTCACCTTATTGAATCTCTCTGGGGGAACATTCTTCAATACTATTGGTTCCATTGTCTGTACATTCGCAAACCATGCCTCCGGGATAAACAACGCGACACACTACATGACACCAACCTGAAACAGAAGTTACGCATATAGAAACTGTTCATGTTCTGGTGCAACTGGGACAATCTACACACTTTTAGGGATGAGTGTGGCCACTCATCAGTGAGAAAGTCAGGAGGAACTTATTGGTGAGACATCTAGAACAACTCGTCGGGACGGAGTTGTTTTCTCCTAACTCTAACCACAACACATCATGAAGCAAGTTATTAAACTGTGGAACAGTTGGCTATAACCAATGCTGCTTCCAACCAACATTTCAACAAGACAAATACTGGGGATCTGCCTCATATGTAAACTTTGAAATCTGAGAGAACAAAAATCTACAATGAAAAACAAAGTCATCAAAAGATGACAAATCCCCTGGCCAAGTCAAGTTCAAAAGATTATGTCATCATTATAGCAAGTCTTTCAAAAGACTTTAAGTAATCTGTCCAACTTGACGAGTGTTTTCCAACTTTTCTCTCTCTGTACAAAGATGGTTACTGAACCATCAACACAGTTACATATAACAGGGATTTGTAACTTTGCAATTGCGTGGCTAGTTTTTAACAAAGGTATGAGTTGGGGAGATGTCACATACCCATTCTGTCGACAATTAAAAGCACCAGTTTACCATTTGGTCATTGCGTGCACATACTGAAAACATTTGGAGATATGCTCTGGAGAAAAACACCCTGTGAACTGAGTTGACGTCAAACTTGTTGCCACGAAACGGAGAAATAAGTAAGTCCACATCTTATATTATATATTGTGTACATAAATTTGTACATATATTATTCCAAATTAGAGAGGAGACTTTGGACATATACATTTATACCAACTTGCCAGGCAAGAGTCAATTTAATGCCAAGTAAAAGTCAACTTAATGAATACATACCTTGAGTATCTGTTCGCTTTAAAGCACCATCTTTTTGAGGACACAACTCACATCTCTGAAAACAGATGTCACCTCTCTGTAAACATTGCAAATTTGTATTAAGGACATGAATAGAAATGATGAAATAAACTGGGCCTAATCCAGCCGGACACTAACATGCACTTAACACTGGGCTCTCATGCTGCACACTGACGTTAAAAATATCTGGCACGGACATGAAGTACTGCTGCATCATGAAATAACAAAACTTTCCTTGGAGACACAGTCCTTCATCAAAAGGAAAATGAGTGTTTAGCATGTTCAACAGTGATTTGAACAGTATTTCAGTCATATCTTGATCTGACAGATTGAACCATGCTTCCACAAAGTGAATCAACAGAAGCCTAACCAAAATATATTCAAAAGATAAGCTAATTAAATGAAGCAATGTATTGAGACACATTGTACATATCAAAGTGAGTGAGTGACTTTAGTTTTACGCCACTATTAGCAATATTCCACCAATATCATGGCGAGGGACACCTGAAAGGGGCTTCACATTTTGTACCCATGTGGGGAATCGAACCCAGTCTTGAGGGTGACAAGCGAATGCTTCAGTCACTAAGCTACCCACTGAGGAAATCAGATTTTCACAACAGATTATCTAGTCATGCTTCAAACTCTAAACTTCAGGTGTAATGTAATGCTTGGAATTTCCAGTGAATAATGCTAACTCCAAAATAACACAAACATGCATGGCACAGAGAAGTTTCAGAAATGTTTGGTCACTGTACTGGCTAGCGAACAGTTATCACAGCATATCAGTTATCACCAATACATCAGTATCACATGTGCGCAGTTCTGGTCAATTACAATTCCGGTATTTTCCCCACACTATTTGACAACAATAAAGGACAGCAAAAAATGTTCTTCACAGCAGGTAACATAAGAGAAAGTTAAAGATAAAGTTATGAATTAAAAAATTATTTAACATAGTCGGTGGGATGTCCCACGACCTATGTATAATAGGAAGTTCAAGTTCACAAGTCTTTAATTTGTTTCATTCCCTATCAATCTACTGTAAAAGAAACACTCAAATAGTCACACAATAAATTATTCGAGTTTACTGTATGATATAAATATATATTAATTCACGAATGGCATGAGAAATTCTGAATGGCGATAACTGTTACAGTTAGTTGTGAGAAAGCATCTATTTGTACGGCCATGATTCCCTTCCGTCGCGTTATATCAAAAAAAGATCGGCAGCAGTGAACGGGCTGGACACATCGGTGAATAGCTAATTAAGTATCATAATTAATTATGTTTCATTAATTTAACGAATGGTGGGTTTATTTTGTAAATACCACTAAAATATGGCAATAACTGTTCGCTAGCCAGTACAGAAATTAAAATGTGTCAGCATAGAATGGCAACTACAACTTTCCTTCAATGAAAATGATTAAAACAATGGCAAAAAATAATCAATATGTTATGTTATGATTTCTTCACATCTTTCCATTCAGAAAATGATGAAAGAGTTACCTCGCATGCTACAACGGATGTAAGGGAGGTAAATCCGTCGTGTCCTTCAAATTACACATTTTTAAGTTTATTCATTCTATAATCTGCATGAATTGAAAAATGCTTCAGCAGAAATGTGAACAGCTATACCAAGCACATGTACCAGTGTATACTAAGTCACATGCATCTCGCAAAAATACATAAACAGCATTATAACGGGATCTGATTGTAAACAAACATTCAAAATGGCCGCTGATTCTTACCACTCGTGCCTGTCTCTCCTGACTTTCGCATTTCCGACAATACCAAGGCCCAGTGGGGACTTGTACAATACCATAACAAGCTGAAACGAAAAGAATTTCAATTTGATTGTTGAAAATAAACAATGAACAGTGTCATTTTCTTCAGTACGGATGTCAGATCGCATAATATTTTGATACAAACCTTGGTGAACGGCCACATTGCAACCATGGCCATCGCAATACACGAGGGGATTTTCGGCCCAGCCTCTCTCATCCGAGCAAACACAGCAGCCACCTACCATCTCTTTCATGTTGGGCAACTTTATACTTGCGTGCAAAATTTCAAGATCAGTTTTCCGACCGTAAACATCATTGTGGGCTGAATGTGGAGGATCTATCCCTCCATTTTCAGCCCGCACTTGCCGACATAGGTCATAGCGCATGCGCTCTTCTACGGTGCAGATGAAATTGCAGCCCATGTGAATAATGACCGTGTTCCGCCCATGTGTTCCAACCAGGATGTGTTTTCACGTGAAAATCCTTTCATATGCATGTTTCCCATGATTTATTTTCAGTTCCGTTAATTGTTCCATGAAAACAGGAAAGAGATTGGATTGATTTTATCTCGGCAGGCGTTCAGTTTTCCACAGAACCTGTCAAAAGATTTTCTTTTCTGAAACACCGCTTCTTTTCAAAACACTGATTTGTGTTGGATAAAAACTACTTGGATATATATACGTAATGTGTCAAGACAAGGGAACTAAATAACAGGTCATGTGAATGGAGCACAAATCGTAGGCGTGCCTAATATCGGCGAAACCTTCAGATTTATAGCTCGAAATGCTAGTGTATTTATATAAAGGACTGACAGCTTGACAATCATATGTCGGGAAGAAATCGAAATGTTGAATATGCATTCCACTGAAACGCCTACGTGATATTTATCATGTAATACGTGCCAGACAGTAAATACCTCGGCAGTATGTAAATGTGTCAGGAATAGACAACCCAGTGGTTGATAGCATGAACAAGCAACTGTGTCGCAGTGACACTGTGACCACCATCAGATCCCCATTTTTACTCGACTGTTAAGATAGGCATTGACTACGATATCCTATCATTCCGAACGTGAGAAAGTGTCTTCCGAGATCATGTCACGATGATTTGCTGTCAGTTTGGTAAATGTGTAATGCCGACTATGACGTCATGATCAGGGAATATTTTTTTAGCCTGATGATGTTTGTTAGTTCGTTTGTTGTTTAACGCCGCAATGTTCCAGGTATATGGCCGCGGTCTGTAAATAATCGCGTCTGGACCAGACAATCCAGTGATCAACAGCACGAGTATCGATCTATGCAATTAGGAAACGTACGATGACGTGTCAATCTTTTAACCAAGCCTGACCACCCGATCCCCATAGTCGATACAGAGTAGCCACATTTTTTTATAGCAGGTTATATTTGCTCGTCCCCAGGTAGCATGCCATCATCGACCCGATATTGGCTTCTAATCCGCACCGTCGGCTAATATCGGCATCGTTGAACAGCGTTGGGCCGACAGCGGGCCAATGTAACCCAGCTAACACGATCTTGCCGAAGACCCGGGTCCGATTCCCCATGTGTGTAATGTGCGAAGCCCCTATCTGGCGATGTTGCTGGAATACAGCTAGAAATTGGCAAAAAACCCAGTTACTCACTTAAGATCGATACTTCCTCTTTAACCGTGAGGCAATTTCAGTGGGTATGGCATCAATGAATAGATCCAAACACTTCCACCATTTGTATCTGGTTTATTCACTTGTTAAAACGTGAACGCTCTGCTTCACATAACAAACGGGGGCGGTGGGGTAGCCTAGTGGTTAAAGCGTTGGCTCGTCACGCCGAAGACCCGGGTTCGAATCCCCACATGGGTACAATGTGTGAAGCCCATTTCTGGTGTCCCCCGCCGCGATGTTGCTGGAATATTGCTAAAAGCGGCGTAAAACCAAACTCAGTCAGTCATACATAACAAACGCTGTTCATTTCCCGAGTATTGTTTGATCTAATTATGTTTATTGGATGTTGCATTGTGTAAATGTTTCAAACAAATGTTAAACACAATCATCTATACCCCACATGGCAAACAACAGATGTTCATAGTGGGGTTTGACGATGTGGAGCGGGTAATATTCATTTTGTAATTCATTTTGTTGAGGAATAGACGTTTCATTCAATATGGTAATTTTTTCACCACCCTATCATCAAAATATTCGATATGAATATGATAACAGATGATGCTTTTACGCAATAACAATATGAAATGTGCCGAGAGACCCATTTACATCTACAGAAGAGTTGCTAATATTTCAGTGTCCTCCTTCACGATCTCATTGGTGTACAGATATATGCTGTTCACACTTTGCTAAGGATCAAATCATGGATTCAACAGAACACTATGATGTGGGGTCAAATTTGGTTTAAATATCTAAGCTTATTGTAAGCATGGATCCTAGGTTTCAGTATGTCACTGCATCTTGTGGATCACATGCCTGCTATTGACAGGTGTTGTGTACTTGTCAATGTCTCGTTCCATGATTTTCAAAATGGTTGATTGGTAACCATTTTTATGGTTACTCATCTATCAAGTGCATAAGGTTAGATTAAAGTGACTGTTTGCCTAAAGAGGGGATACATACCATATTATTATTTATCCAGTTTTAAATGGATACAATTTCAAATTATTAATCTACGTTTAAGTAAAGTTGTGAATTTTTGTGATCCTTAGCAAAGTGTGAGAGTATGTAACGCGGCGTTGAATTCACCAAAACACAGACCGCGATTTATACTACAATAGTGGGCTTGATCATAGGAAATGGTTGCAGTACATTTGCAATTTTTGACAAGCGCAACGAACGATGTAGTGTAGTGAATTATCCTTCATGCGCTGATGGTTCCTTTTCTATAGGGCGCTATTACTGCAAACACCGGTATGACAGGGTTTGTTGTCATATTCACCATCTGTTCCAAGCTTGGCGCAAGCTCGTGTCCCATTTCAGTCTTGATGAAATAAATAATTCACTTATCATTAGAAATATCCGTGGCAACTATTCATGTGTTCCTCACATGCTTTGACCTGACCCCATTAATAAACATTGTATTGTGTATAATTCTCATTCAGCAGTCATGGTGATATGTACAAGAACATACTTTATTAAGCCTGTTTGTTTATAAACTCTAAGTGTTAATGTGAATGTTTGTAAGGATATGCTTGTGTTTACATTTTGAGCCTCTCGTGTCAGACGTACATACACAGCAGAGAAACTGATATCCTACTGGCATGTAACTTCCACCATGGAACCTAATTAACGGACTTCCCCGGAGAGAGGAGGATTTTTACGCCGCAGTAAACGGTTTGGTTGTTGTTTAACGCCGCACTCAGCAATATTCCAGGTATGAGACGGCGGTCTGTAAATAATCGAGTCTGGACCAAACAATCCAGTGATCAACATCATGAGCATCGTTCTACGCTATTGGGATACGATGACATGTGTCAACTAAGTCGAGCCTGAGCATCTGATCCCGCTAGTCGCCTCTTACGACAAGCATTGGTTGCTGAAGACCAATTCTAACCCCGATTTTCACGGTACCAGTAAATGGACATACACATGAACCACTCTATATTTTAGCCTGCAGGGTGTCTGCAAGGTACACGTTTCATTGTAAGCATCCGCCCGGAGAGTGGAAGGTCGCGGGTTCGATCCCCGACCGCGTCATACCAAAAGACGTTAAAATATGGTACTTGTTGGTCCCTGCCTGGCGCTCGGCATTAATGGGTACAAAAAGGTCTGGTCAGCTCGGAGTCAGTATAATGTGTCTGAGTGGAGTATTCATGCTTCACTGCAGCATGGTATCTCAGTGGGCTAGCACTATAAAACCAGCTTAAATTTGGGGTAGTACAAGCAGCCGCAAATACACACGCATGCATGTCGTCATATGAGGGAAATATTCTCAAGCACGACGTAAAATCCAATTTCACCTCACCTCACCTATGACACGTGGTGATGGAGATGGTGTTGTGGATGAAGTGTTCGCTTCAGGTGATTCTATGTCTTGTGTCTCATAGTGTTGGAACAGTACCACTGAGCTGCAGCCTTCTTTCAGAAAAATGTCCTTTGGGTTGAAGAACTTTAGAGCTTGCTGTCGGGTAGCCCATTGGTTAGTCACGCTCGTCACGCCGAAGACCCGGGTTTGACTTCCCACATGCCACGATATTGCTGGAACATAGCATAAAACCAAACTCTCTCACTAAGAACTCGCTGGTCTGTGTGTTTCTAGTCTCTGATCACTATCGTCACTAGACTGTCTGTGTTGAGGGGGCGGTGGGGTAGCCTAATGGTTAAAGCGTTGGCTCGTCACGCCGAAGACCCGGGTTCGAATCCCCACATGGGCACAATGTGTGAAGCCCATTTCTGGTGTCCCCCGCCGTGATGTTGCTGGAATATTACTAAAAGCGGCGTAAAAACCAAACTCAGTCAATCAGTCAGTCTGTGTTGAGAGTGCATTTGCTGTTTCATCATATTCTTCAATATTTCAGCTATATATAACGGATGCCTGTAAACAAACGAGTCTGGACCAGACTATCAGGTGACTGATGTTATGGATAACGACGACATGCATTGACACCGAACTTGATTACCAAATCCGCTCATACAGGCGAAGTTTAGTGATCATTTATTCAAACAGGAAACATCCTTATGGTTGAACGGTTAGTGTGCTGCTCATCATGACTAACAATAGGTTCGATTCTCTGGCGGGTGTACTGTTTGTAACCGATCTGGCATTCAGACGCTCATATCCGTCGTTGTGACCAATACGCCTCGGAGTCACTGGGACGCCTTATTTGTCCAACGGGGTGAGAACTTGCGTAATACAGAGACCAAGACCAACTATCCCCCAATTGTATTTGTAGTAAAGGTACAATGCTACTAACGTAGTACTTGTATGGATTACAGCTTCTTTAATATCTCTATGGCGACGTTTCATATTCTGAATCACCATATTCAGCGAAGTTTTATGTTCACAGTATTCACCGAAGTTTCATGTTCACAATATTCACCGAAGGTTCATATTCACAGTTTGCTTGGTAACAGCATAAGAATCAGTAAGAATCGAAACGTTGCACTCACGAAATAAAAAAGTCGCTATCCATAGACTGTCTCAATATTGTACTTCCCAACTTCTAAAATGCCACTCTAAGAAGTTAACGGTATAAGGATCTATACCGAAATGTCGCCATATAGATATTAAAGAAGATGCAATCGGTACAAATGCTAGTTGCTACCTTGTTATTACTTCTGAAGATGCCATCAAACAACTTACAATGCTACCCCCTTTCAACATATATTATTTTTATTTTTGTCAAAATCCGACCAAATGAGATGCGATGCAAGTCTAAGGCTGGGCACGGTAGACCCTTACGACGATAGTGAGTGAGTGAGTGAGTTTAGTTCTACGTCGCTTTTTGCAATATTCCAGAAATATCACGGCGGGGGACGTCAGAATCGACTGGGGAATCGAACCTGGTCTTCGGCGCGACGAGCGAACGCTTTAACCACTAGGCTACCCCACCGCCAATTACTGCGCGACAGCTGCTCATGAAACAACACCTGGAACAATTGATAATAAGAAAGATGGGAGAAGTTTTCACAGGGTTTTACACAGACTTTTAAAAATGGGAGTCATGGTGACTCGCAATATTTATTTTTGGGAGTCATTTTCAATATTTGGGGAGTCATGTGAAATACATTTGTGTTAATCAAGTATCTGGTATGTCCTCCAAATGAGACTACAGCATAGTTCAATTCAGACAGCCAGGATTACTGTCTCCTTGATCCTGGAACCATCTGACAGCTCTGTAAAAGTCAAACTAACATCGAGCAATATCATTTTTGCGTATCATATCGATTTTATTGAACTGAATTGTGAGGGCCAATAAAACTTGCAGACATATGATGTATTTTGAGAGTCATTAACATAATTATCGCGTCAAATACGCAGGAATCATCATGTAAACTCCCTGTTACTCATGATAGATGGAAAACGGGAATCAGTGAAACACATTTAGCATCAAATCTTACCCTTAAGTGAGATCACGCAGTGTCTCTGATCTCAACCACGCTGAATGTGGCCTTGCATCACGCTTTGGTTGTAATCTTGCAGACTTGCAGTCTATAATTGTCACATCATTAGTTATCATGTCGTAACAATTGAAACAACATCACTTATTTTCTCTGCACTGTATGTGGTTAACTTTGTTTGTTGTTTAACGCCGATCTCGGCAATGTTCCTAAATGTTTTTGACGAACTTGGAGTGATTTGAGTGATTTGAGATTTTGTATCGATTCAGAGGGGCGGTGGGGTAGTCTAGTGGTTAAAGCGTTGGCTCGTCACGCCGAAGACCCGGGTTCGAATCCCCACATGGGTACAATGAGTGAAGCCCATTTCTGGTGTCCCCCGCCGTGATATTGCTGGAATATTGCTAAAAGCGGCGTAAAACCAAACTCAGTCAGTCAGTCAGTCAGTATCGATTCAGAAATGAAAAGTTGGGATTATACAGATACAAACGTGCACAATTGGATAATCAAATTATTCTCTATTAATTGTTGGGGACGTGGTTACTACGAGGGGAAGGGAGGTTCTTGTATGAATTCAACGACTTCTTTATGACAGTGAGTGAATATTCCACTGACTGCTGCACCAAATAGGCATATTGCATGTTTAAATTATACGATATTTTGTACATTTATTCCAACCACTTCAGAGCCACATTACATAAACCACGCCCACTTCTGTATGTCCCCGCTATCACCCTGTTGAGTGACAGATATATGTCCCGGTTGACAGGACCCTGGCTGTCTGATTGGTTGTTGAGAGCAAACAGGGCGGGGCTCTGTAAGAAGTTGGCGTTTCCATGATGGTTGTCCCATGTGATCGTTTCATCTTTGACAATCAGTGTAACACGTGACGTGATGAAGTCTCTACTTTCATATAACATCTTCTTCAAGGGATTTGGAGACTTGTCACTTCCGTGGATGGAGAAAGATGCGCCATAACCTTGAGCCTCACAATCATTCTCTTGGGTGGTTCCATCTCCGGCTGAAATAGGATAGATCTGTGTTATAAAGACACAATATACATTTTCGTCCAATAAATATACAGTAATAGATCTTAGTCTTAATAAAAATAAAAAAAAAATATGCATGAAGTGACTCACATCCTCCATCGTTAGATTTGGAATCGCCGACGTTGAAGACCCAACCACTAGGCGAGTCAAACCACATGTCAATCTTGATCTTATCGTGTCGCTGATTGGACGACGGCTGACGGAATTGCAAACGGGCCAATCCCTGACGACTACACAAGGACGATGATTCCTCTGAAGGCGGGTGAAGCCATATGACGTCGCTATGGTTACCCCAGACTTTCCCTGACTCCAGATTGACAAAGACATCATATGATTCTGAAACAAAAGACATCATGCACTTGTGTTGAAATGGAAACAGACAGAGACGGGGGTAGCCTAGTGGCACAAGCGTTCGCTAGGCACAACGAAGGCTTTGGTTCGATGCAAACACCCGATCGTTGCTTGACACCCAATTCCGTGTCCCCTGGCCTGATATTGATGGTAAATTGCTAAATGTCTAAAACCGATTAATCGCAAGCCCAAACCCTGCGTCACTCATTCACTCACTCACTCACTTATTCAGGTATTTACTTCCTTGACCATTCTCTCAGTCATGACTGTAGGTGTTCAGGTTAACAGAAGAATGTAACGTCTTTTTACATAACTACAAACTGTTGTGATGGCTGAACATCGAATTGAGTACAGTCGTTGTCTGAACTACAGAGTACTCCGTACTCACTCACGACACATCACATCATTTTAACTTGATAGTATAGTTTGACCAGAAATTATTGAGAATTTTAGGAATATGTTTAATTGGATTTCTAGTATAAACAACCTTGACCAGCTATCAAGTGCGTGGTTTCATTCAAGAGAGACAACTCCGTTAATCCTTTTTCATTAGTTTGTGAAGAGTTATCCCCCTTTGTTTACTTGCTAGCAGACGACATTTTCAGTGATCCTCAGTATGGTTGATTTAGAGAAGAGGAAGTTGATTTAAGAGTATTATAACAAGGACATCATATCAGCTAAAGTGATTTCAAGTAGAACAGGCATCCCATTGTCCACTGTTTATAGTGTTTTGAAAAATATTGCAAATGGATATGGCATTGAGCAACAGGGAGGCGCAGGTAGGCCAAAAAAATTGACTGTCGATGACAGGAGGCGGCTTGGTATTCTTGTTTCTAAAAACAAACGAAGGAGTTTAGAAAACTTAAGGCTGGATATGATTGATAGAGGAACTGTGGCTGTCTGTAAGGAGACAATTAGAACTGAGCTGCATGCAATGGGTTGGCAGAAAAGTCGAGGACTTCCATCACCGATCATGAAACCTGAACAAAAGAAGTGAAGGTTGAACTTGTGCTTACAGCATAGAAATTTTAACTGGGATAATGTGATTTTCTCAGATAAAAGTTGTGTGTGGCTGTTTCCTAATACACTGAAATTCTGGACCAAACAAACTGAAAAACCTTTGTATCAGCGCCCAAAGTACAGTCCGAAATTTAACGTGTGGGGTGGCATATCTGTGTTAGGGGCAAGACCCCTCTGTGTATTTGAAGGGAATATGAACAGTGAGCGGTACACAGATATTCTTGAGGGACATTTACTTCCATCTGCTCACGTGTTCTAGGGAAATGTTTGGATTTTCGAGCAGGACAATGACCCAAAACATCGTTCAAAGCATTCACAGGCCTGGTTTCGGACCCAAAATATGACATTATTAGATTGGCCAAGCTATAGCCCTGACCTAAATCCAATAGGAAATGTTTGGGGACTTATGAAGGAAAGTGTCAATAAGAAAAATCTGACAAATATTGCTGAAATGAAAGAAGAGGTGGTCCGATATTGGGACAGCATGGACCACGACTTTCTAACTTCTTTGATCAGTAGTATGCCCTGCCGCATTGAAACCTGCATTGCTGCCTATGGTGACTTGACAAAATATTAACTGTTCATCTGTCTTTGAATCTGGAGTTATGTTCTGCTAATATTCACATTTAATACGTGAGTAATGAGTGAAAAAAAAATGACAATCTTAAATTCTCAATAATTTCTGGTTGTACTGTATTTCAGAGTAGGCCCGAGTTGATGTTGACCTAAAACCTTGACAACGTTTGACGGCGAGACTCTATGAGGATCCAAGTTAATGTCTGATGTGCAGGGTCGGTGGGGTAGCCTAGTGGTTAAAGCGTTCGCTCGTCCCGCCGAAGACCCGGGTTCGAATCCCAACATGGGCACAATGTCTGAAGCCCATTTCTGGTGTCCCCTGCCGTGATATTGCTGGAATATTGCTAAAAGCGGCGTAGAACCATACTCACTCACTCACTCACTCTTATGTGTAGCCTTGCCCAACAGTTTACCTTCTTTACATACAAGTTATGTTTTATGTGCGTAATCTTCTAGGTGGCCGTCGTTTCACCATGTAAAACTATCTTTGAAACACAATTGATCTGGACAGTAGCTGTCTATTGTCAATCTCCATAATGAATACTGTTTTATATACTCTCTACAAAAAGAAACGCATATAGGAATTTCAACTGTATTTTGATGTTTATTTTGAAACATCTTATAGGCTTTATGAGTCAATGAAATATAGCGAAATTGCACACTGATAATGCAGACTTATCCGTCTTTGGCACCAACTCGAGGAAAGTCAGTTTGAGTGTCACATGGAGAAGTGTGGTGGCGCTGAGGTCAATACCTCGTGTGACCACCGTGGGCATCCGGAACTGCACGGCATCGCCTCGGCATCGAACGAAAAAATCACTTCTCCTACGGCAGGTGATCTCCCCCCACATCATAACACTGTCCCGGCTGAATCTGTCCACCTGGGGACCGCAAACGTCGGCGAAACGTTCACGTCGACGTCTGTACACCCGCATTCTTCCATCGCGTCGTTCCAATAGAAATCGTGATTCATCACTGAACCAGATTCTACGCCAATTCGGTAGGTTCCAGGCCTGAACGTTGGTGCACCATTGAACTCGATGTCGACGATGTTGTTGTCGAAGCACAGGGCCAAAATAAGGTCTTCTGGCACGTTAACTAGCCTCTCTCAACCTGTTCCTGACGGCCTGTGAAGAAAGCCTCCTCAATCCGGGTATTTGTCGAGCGGTACTGATCGCCGTAGCTGTTCGATGACGCAGGTGATGTACCCGGATGTAGCGATCCTGCGCCGCAGTGGTCGGTCGAGATCGCCAACTACGAGGGGCATCTGCTACCGCATTCTGCCGGCGATATCTCTCCCAGAGCCGTGAAATGGTGCTTTGGTGAACATTCATGCGTCGGGCAACTGCACGTTGAGACAAACCAATGGCGATATGACGGTTGGCTTCACTTAGATGTGGCATTTTGCTTTCGTCAACAATATTCCAAATACAGTGAATAATCGACAGACAGCGATCAACCTATTATACCAATCCTTGAGACTATCTGATCCCCAACTATCACGTGCATTCGTGTGAATTGTGTATTCTGTGACACTACACGCCGAAATTGAAAATCATGCTGTTAAATACGGGTATTTTATGGATGGTGCGTTTTGTTGTGATGTTTCAAAACATAAACACCATAGGACTCATAAACAGAGCAAAACCTTTTGTAAAATGAATCACGTCTTAATTCATTGCTACATGAAATTGCTATTTTCATGATGCGTTTCTTTTTGGGGAGAGTATATTTAAGAAGATATATCTAAAATATATTTGTGAAAAAGAGTCAATGTTACCTTAATTTGGATACATCATAACTACAATTCAGTAAGAACTGCAGTAACGTACATGTTGTAATATATAGTCTACTGTGACCATAACTTTCTTTGTTGGAAACACTTTGAAAGTCAAACAAATTAAAGTGTCTTATTAAATGCTTCAGATTCAAAATGAAAGTCTAAGGGTTGCCCCTCCATTTCCAAAATTCTGTTAGTCTGAGACGAGGAACCTTTATTGATTTATTATTCAAAATGAGGGCAAATATTCTCTATTACTTAATTGAACATGTTTCTTTGGAAAACTTTTATAGCTTAAGGACTAAACTGCTTAGCTTGCAAATTTTGTTTACAATCTCTTGCCCTCCAAACATCGAACAGACTCTTCAATATTATTTCTCAGCCATATATGACTGTTAATATTCAGCTTAATTCCAAAATATTTATATCTTGATATTTGATGGATGCCATTTCGGCCATTAAGATGTTTCGGCCATTAAGATGTTTCGGCCATTATTCTCTAGCAATTGCTTCTTGCTATTCTACGGCTGAGTGTACAGTTGTCGAGGTGTATACTAAACCCACAGCGCATGCTGAGAGATGCAGCCATGTGTAACTTGATAGAACATGCAGTTATTCCAGAGACAGCAGGTTCTTTGAAAAAGTCTAATTTCGACATGGAATTGCCAAATGATTTTCTTTAAGTAAACGTTCAAGGGAACAACCCATCCACTTCGTATTTACAACTTCCTTTCAAATCTGATTACCAGCTTCGCCGTGAGAGATGCATAACATGGTTAGATTGCATACAAACACGCATGTGAAAGACGCACTATTACTTAACATATACACACGTGGTGTGTTTCCTTCTCCGGGTGTAAATATTTCCTGTCGGTCGTCACGAAGGTTTAGGAATACTGCAAGCTGACCACGTGTTGACAGACTTGGTTTGGAACATTCCCATCATACAACACCACGCCCCTCGAGAGTGATGGTGGACACGCGATCGTTTATCTGGTCAATACGTTCAGAGCTGGGCGTGTCGGGGTCACTTAAGGTCAGTGTGGAATCGGAGAGCCAATACCACGTGTTTCAAAATGTGAGTTAACTAGTGCCGCATAGCTTCCCCACATCGCAGTCTCCGTTATGATAATTATCAACATGGACGGGACATATATGCTCGATGATGGATTTTTTGTCTGTGCTTGGTATAAATGGGAAATCGGTGAGAGAGGGTTCAGTTTCTCACAGTCAACTTATCTTGAGAGTTGTTCCGCACTCAGGAATATTCCAGCTATATGGCGGCGGTCTGTAAATATTCGAGCCTGGACAAGGCAAACCAGTGATCAACAGCTTGAGCATCGATTTGCGCAATTGGGAACCGATGACATGTGTCAACCAAGTCATCGAGCCTGACCACCCGATCCCGTTAGTCGCCTCTTACGACAAGCATGGGTTACTGAAGATCAATATTCTGGCTGACAGCATTGCCACCATCTGATCGTGAGAAGTTACTACAAACGTGATATCCCCGGTTCTGTGTGGTGTATAGCATGTGCGTGTTGTGTGTAGGGTGTGTATGTGTGTTGTGTATGCGTGGTGTGTTGTGTGTAGGGTGTGTATGTGTGGTGTGTAGGGTGTGTGTGTGTGTGGTGCGTGGTGTGTGTATGTTTGGTGCGTGGTGTGTGGTGTGTATGTGTATGTGTGGTGTGTATGTGTGGTGCGTTGTGTGTAGGGTGTGTATGTTTGGTGCGTGGTGTGTAGGGTGTGTATGTTTGGTGCGTGGTGTGTATGTGTGGTGCGTTGTGTGTAGGGTGTGTATGTTTGGTGCGTTGTGTGTAGGGTGTTTATGTGTGGTGCGTGGTGTGTATGTGCGGTGTAGGGTGTGTATGTGTGTTGTGTTGTGTGTGTATTTGTGGAGCGTTGTGTGTATGTGTGATGTAGGGTGTGTATGTGTGGTGCGTTGTGTGTAGGGCGTGTATATGTGGTGCGTTGTGTGTAGTGTGTGGTGCGTTGTGTGTAGGGTGTGTATGTGTGGTGTAGGGTGTGTATGTGTGGTGTGTATGTGTGGTGCGTTGTGTGTGGGATGTGTGCTTGTTGTGTGTTTATAGTGTGTGATGTGCGAAGGGTGTATGGTGTGAGTGTGTAGGCAGTATTATATGTGTGGCTTTTCACACCGAGCACCAAGCTGAAATGCATGTAACATAATAACCCTGCCATGTAAATGACATCTTGATCGCTCAACCGATGTTCCATTGAAAGGTTAATTAGGTTGACGTTTTCTGTTAAATATTTACGCCTATTTCAAAGAACAGTGTTGGATGTGGGACAGACGCGACTGTCGCAGCTCCGACAACGCCGCCTGTACTCGGTGGTGCCACCGTCAGGACATTTCACAGTCAGCAGCCTGTGTCTGCAATGTGTGGGTGCCCAGTTGGTAAAGCGTTCGCTCGTATTGCCGATGTCTGGGTTCGAATGCCAAAGCGTCTGTGTGGTGTGTTAGATATTGCTGTGATGGAATTACCGTCAAATAGGTGGACCTTGATCACTGTCATAATAACTGTCTTTTAGAAAATACTCATCTTCAAAGTTCAACTTAGATAGATGTCATGTTATGATTAATGTGTGTGCACCTCTACTTTGCATAAGAATATAGTATGAGATGGGGTGAGGTTCAGTAGTTTCTAAGAGAGAGAGAGAGAGAGAGAGAGAGAGAGAGAGAGAGAGAGAGAGAGAGAGAGAGAGAGAGAGAGAGAGAGAGAGAGAGAGAGAGAGAGAGAGAGAGAGAGAGAGAGAGAGAGAGAATGTGAAGAAAGAGGTTAGAGCTGAGTTAGGAAGGGAGGGGAGGTATCAGTTTTCCAATTTATACAATTTAAACCGACGCGTGACGATTTGGATATCTAGTGAAATGATAAAACAGACTTACAATCTATACTCCGGGTGTTAACAAAACATGTGTACGTGCAGTCAAGTGATCGCACAGAACAAAATATTTGCAGTGAATTTAACAACACTTCCATCTGTGCTATGTTCTTTTTTGTGTCAGCTCGCAGAAGTATCCGCTTGCCAGAACACCATTGAGAACTGACTCCATCAACAGCACGGCGCCTCGGTGGGAACAGTGTACCGGTTCCTGGTCTGATGAGCGGTAATCACGCCACCGTGTGCGAACAGTGTCACTCATCCTGCCAACACGTAGCTCGTTCACAACGTTAAAGAGTGATACACGTTTTCAAAGCACGTAACCACTCTGAAACGCATAATGGTAAACCTCGTAACTAAAGATGTTACCGTTATGAGTTAAATCGCCCGGATTAACAAGTGTCATGTTTAATGAATCATAGATAATAAGTAACACTAAGCGAATGGGTATGGTTTTACGACGCTTTTAGCAATATTCCAGCACTATTATGGCTGTGGACACCAGAAACGGGATTCAGACATTGTAACAATGTGGGCAATAGAACCAGGAGCTTCTGGCTGAAGATCGAACACATAGAATACAAGGCTACAGCACCGTCCCCACAATGTCCATGGTCCATGGGGGCGGTGGGGTAGCCTAGTGGTTAAAGCGTTCGCTCGTCACGCCGAAGACCCGGGTTCGATTCCCCACATGGGTACAATGTGTGAAGCCCATTTCTGGTGTCCCCCGCCGTGATATTGCTGGAATATTGCTAAAAAAAGCGGCGTAAAACCATACTCACTCACTCACTCCATGGTCCATGCATTCGAAGAGTTGTCAGATTTTAGGGGTCTAGACTAAGCGTGTTCAAGGAGACGCTGGAACCTGAGGGCGTCAATACGAATCCTTATCTCGTATTTCGAACCAACAATGGCGTGTCCAACGAAGGCCGAGGGACGCAACGCAGCAAAGGGAATTATAAGTGTGGTAGAATAATGGGTTATTCCGTGTGACGCCACCATGTACGTGCTGCATTGCTGAATACGGCGTTCAATAGCACATCAACAAGTTTCTAATGTGGTATAAACGACCTTGACTGACTGAGGTTGGTTTTACGCCGCTTTTAGCAATATTCCAGCAACATCACGGCGGGGGACACCAGAAATGGGCTTCACACATTGTACCCATGTGGGGATTCGAACCCGGGTCTTCGGCGTGACGAGCCAACGCTTTAACCTTTAGGCTACGCCACCGCCCCTATAAACGACCTTGAACCCCAGTGGAAAGTGGTCAAGGGAAATAACTCTACACAAAAGACTTTTACATGATGTGAGTTCCTCAGCATCGCATATTGTAAGATCGGGTGGCCTGGTAGTCTGGCGCGGGTAAATGTGCATAATAACTACTGGATGCCTGGTCCATATTCGGATACAGCAAACTACGGTTATAACGAACTCAAAATGACCATTAGTTTTAGTTCGTTATAAGCATTTCCACTAATATTTCTCTCTGCAAGAGACCGGCAGCGTTCGCCATATCCGTCACTTCGTTAAAGGCATGGTCGTTATAAACGTAGTATACTATATTTACCCCAGTCGTCATTTATCTATAACGATGAATGTGGCCTCAACAGCAAACCAACTACATGGTGTAATGTGGGTGTCGCGAAGGTGAACGTTCACAAGAAACTCCTGTAGCTCACCTTCATTGAAGTCAGAACCATCTCCAAACATTACTGGAGTCTCTGTTGTTGCAGATGTTGTTAACGACTGTGTCGACGTTGATTGTACCGTAGTTGATGTCGGTCTTAGCTCATCTTCGGGTAGACCATCCAATACCTTGTCACCCCCATTTTGGTCACTGGTATCCTGTGTGGGTGGTGCAATCACTACCTGAGAGTCTCTCAGACCTCTAGTCGCGTCACCTCCGTCTCCTTGAGGGACACGCACATTAATCATACTCCCTTCGTCGGGTATACTGTTACTGTCACCCAACAAGACATTCTTGCTCTTAGTGACATCATCGGATTTCGATCTGTCAAAAAGTATCATTCTTTTGGAGTTGTCTCCCTTGGCATCGTCCATGACCTTGCTGTAATACTTTGCGGGGTTGCTGCGAGATTCGCATGTGCATGACTTGTATATTTTCCTGAGGTATCTTCGTGTATGCTTGTTCTTCCTTAATTCTCTGGATTTATACTTAGCTAGTTTATTCTGCCCTTCGACCAGCTGAGCTAAAACCGTTTGTTGTTTTTCTACAAGCTTCTTGAGCTCGATGATCTGTAGCTGGATGACTTGTAGGGTGGACTTGGACACGACCTCGGACTTGAGGTCGTGACCTCGCAGAAGGTCAACGTAATGGACGTCAGAGGTCACAGCGTGCACCGCGGACGTCAACAGGAATATAAGCATGTACATGGTGATTAGAAGCACATCACCAAAACAGAAATTATAAATACAATGACACTCCTCGTTATGGTCTTCCGATGAAAGTTTTGTTTTCTAATATAATCAAGTTTCTAATCCAAACGCTGATGTTTTTGTCATCTGTTGGATTAGCTACTGGTCTATTTTGGCGAAATACACGCATACGTCTTTGTCCCACACAAAACGTTTTTCACAAAGGTTACTCGGAGTTATTGTATATCCAGCCAGTCTCACTACCTGATTGGATACATTCGTTATGTGATTGCCAATACGTTGTATCATTTCATCAAACAAACTGGGCTCCGTCCCATCACATAACACTATCAGATAACCACACGCATAAACCTTCGTGAACCAGTTCACCAATTCAGCAAACCCACACGTACTTCCTTTTTGACAACGAATTCTCACAATGACAACCCAGTACTCCGTCACAAACCAACACATCGTATGTTCATCCGTGAAGTATGTATCGCATATCCTCTACGAATGTCAAGTTCTATAAACTTTAAGATCCATCGCATGACCGAGCACCAGAACTCACAGACGTTACATACTTCTCCTCCTCTGAATCAGCATCCCATCTCTTGCATCACAATGTCCCCGTCAGCCGCTACCTACAGTTATAGAATACTTGTATTATCCGCTTTCCTTCAGAAATCTGCTTTCTCACACATAGGAGAAAACAGCTTGGGGTAATCCATGGGATAACACAATAACGGTGGCAATCTAATAAACTACCATCCTCTAGAGCTGCGCTCAGTTCTGTCAATACATACATCAAATAGTCCTGTGGCCGCAAAGCCCTCTTCACGAGATTGGAGCATGAAACCAATTATGTGTACATTACACGCCAAATTCACCGCAAATAAGTATCTACACATGCTCTTAACAAAAACTGTTGACGCTCAATCCAAACCAGTTTGTATGACCTTGTTTTACTCGGCCCGATGATCATTCCCGTAACGGGCCGATGTGTTCCGAATGTTTCATACTTGCTTGATGGGTTTTCCAAATGACCTCGATTTGTGACGTTACTGGATGGTTCTCAACATATGTAAAACGTGTTATGGTAGCTGGTTGGTTATGAATTTGAGAGAAAGGTTTTTAGCATCAAGAATTTTAATGTGCAGTTAACGTTAAATGTTTCCTGTCGAACTGCGTCACTCTGCATTACATGCACACTGGCTGTGCAGATAATATTTCAACGGCTACCTCACTGTAGTGGTCTAAAACAAGGAGTGAAGGAGGCCGATGAGCAACATCAGTTCCATTTCACGCCATCAGCAGCGTGTCAGCTATAGTGATTCGGGCTCGAGCGATCTCGTCTGTAACCAGTGGTTGATAGTGTGAGCAAAGACGCACGTGGCCTACCTTATACCTGAGACAGCGCCAAACTCGACTCACTCACCAACATTGCATGGACAACATCACGACAAAGGACTCTGTGAATCAGTTTCACACATTTTACCCATGGGGAAAAGAACCCGGTCCTTCGGTGTGATGAGCTAACGCTTTATCCATAGGGCTTCCCTTCTGAGTGTAGTGAAATCAGCTCTTGGTTATTTTCACGAGGCTACTCTAGTGGAACGTCCATCTTACCACCCATATATTATATATTATAAAATGGCTCCAAAAATCTCAACCCCTCTCTGTAACATTAACGTAGGTGAGTCGAAGCAATATCATCTCACTCCCATTGTTTAACACAGACGTGCGGTAGTCGAGGTAATATTTGCGCTACGTCAGTGTTTCACCCTGTCTTTAACACGTGCACTGTAGTCATTCTCACATATATCCTTAACATAGTGATAATATATGTAGGATAGAGGTGATATTTGCCCTACTTCAATCTTACGCCCTGTTATTGATATATACAATAGCCGAAGCGATATGTTAATCGTAGACCTAGCCTTTTACATATGCGTACAATAGTCGACGCAAAAGATGCGCTAAATCATACGTACGTCCAGACTTAAACATGTACGCACAGCATTCGAAGTAATATTTGCGCCACTACAAACGTACATCCAGACATTAAAATACAGTCTTTGACATATACGGACGTACGGTATACTTTACGCTATATTTACGCTACGTCAAATCCTACATCCAGCCTTCAACATACACGTACAATAGTCGATGTAATATCTACGCTACGGCAAATCCTTCATCCAGCCTTCAACATACACGTACAGTAGTCGAAGTAATATCTACGCTACTTCAATCCTACATCCAGCCTTCAACATACACGTACAGTAGTCGAAGTAATATCTACGCTACTTCAATCCTACATCCAGCCTTCAACATACACGTACAGTAGTCGAGTAATATCTACGCTACTTCAATCCTACATCCAGCCTTCAACATACACGTACAGTAGTCGAAGTAACATCTACGCTACTTCAATCCTACATCCAGCCTTCAACATACACGTACAGTAGTCGAAGTAATATCTACGCTACTTCAATCCTTCATCCAGCCTTCAACATACACGTACAGTAGTCGAAGTAATATCTACGCTACGTCAATCCTACATCCAGCCTTCAACATACACGTACAGTTGTCGAGTAATATCTACGCTACTTCAATCCTTCATCCAGCCTTCAACATACACGTACAGTAGTCGAAGTAACATCTACGCTACTTCAATCCTACATCCAGCCTTCAACATATACGTACAGTAGTCGAAGTAATATTTACGCTACTTCAATCCTTCATCCAGCCTTCAACATACACGTACAGTAGTCGAAGTAATATCTACGCTACTTCAATCCTTCATCCAGTCTTCAACATACACGTACAGTAGTCGAAGTAATATCTACGCTACGTCAATCCTACATCCAGTTATTAGTATATACGTACGTTATTTGCAGCAATATCTACGCTACGTCAATCCTACACCGATTCATTCACTCATACGTACGGTAGTCGAAGCTATATTTATGCTATGTCGATCCTACACGTAGTCATTAACTTATACGCACGGTAATCGAAGCAATATGTACGCAACGTCGATACTACACCGATTTATTCACACATACGTACGGTAGTCGAAGCAATATTTGCGCTCCGTCAATCCAGGCGTGTAGCAAGCCACTATTTTTCGTGTAAGCCCGATAGGCTGTACAACTTTTTATTTAGAATAGTATCGAGGACTTGCCCAACCGTTTTAGCAACACTCTTGTGTAAGCCCGGGCTTTGTTTTATAATGGTAGAATCTCACCTGCAATCCTAGAGCAATGTGGGTCTTTTCTCACCTGCAATCCTAGAGCTGCTCGGTGTTTGTTTTCCCTGCTGGCCATGCATCTAAATAACATCCATACATGACGGGCATTGTGACCACCGAATCCTCACGTCTGTCAACTCTCAAATGGCTGAACAAACAGGCTAGACAGTACCCGTATCTGCATTCACTGCGGCGTTATCGCCTTTTCAAAACCACCCTGGAAAAACGTTTGTCTGAAGGCAGGTTTATTTCCATATATAGCTTAAATCAAACACTATAAGTAGGCCGCATATCTTTTTTTTTACCTTTAACTACACAAAAAGTCTAATATCATTATTGTGAACGTCACGACACGACGACATGATAAACATTTTAATGGATCTGCCTGAGGGATGGTAAAACATGGTGTGTAAATATTTACACCTACAGATAAAGAATACCCTGTATTGTCGTCAATAACGGACATACTATTTAGTCTTACATAGGTGTTTCAGACTGAGATATAGAAAATTGAATAAAATGTATCGTATGGAAGGTAGTGAAATTTTGATCGGAGTACCGTTAGGTATGTAGTGGAGTTTTGATGGGAGTACCGTGTGGTATGTGGTGAAGTTTTGATGGGACACCCACATAAGATATGTATGCGTGTATGTTTGAGTGAGTGCTTAGGTGAGTGTATTTATTTTGGGTACGCTCCACACTATAAATGTGTGCACGGGAACACAACCTCGTCTAACATGGGTTAAATGTGTGACTTACGATGGCTTGGCGGTGAATTACGAAAGGCTCACATCTTACTTAAGCGTGTAACTACTGTTCATTAGTTCCTAAAACATGTTCATGAGTTACGTAAGCGTGTTCATGAGTTACCGAAGCGTGTTCAGGAATCACTCAGGTGTGCTCGCACGCTTTAATCACTTATGCGGACGATATACAAACGTAGTACGCCGTGTACAGTTTGGTGACGGAGTGAATTGTTGAATTAATGAGTGTTTGCATGAGTGGTTGAGTGAGTGGTTGAGTTAGTGGTTAAGTGAGTATTTGAGTGAGTGGTTGAGTGAGTGTGTGGTTTAGTGAGTCAGTGAGTGAGTGAGACAGACAGTACGCATCTTTCACACAGTTTTCAGAAACAATACCACATCATCTCAGCAGGGTAAGTGGGAAGAGACAGGAAAGCTGTGTGGCCTTTCTCTACATCGAAACCGCCAGGTTCGAACTATAATTAAACATTCAGCATTTCGCTTCCGCCATATTTGTAAGTTGATGGTTGACTTTCGCGGTAAGCCATGATGACTAAACGTTTATATTTCCTGGTTTTTGTTCTCGGTAATTTCCGCAAGCCATTTTGTGTGATGTGAGATAGTACACGTTTATTACATAATGTTAAGTGAAAATATCCTCTTCAAAGCATTTACGAATCATTTCACGTTGTAAACCACAGATCTTCATTCTGCTGGTAGTTCTTTTTACGAAGTCCATGACACGGGTCAGCCAATAAACATATTTGGAATTTATACACATGATTTCACAATTTATGTAATGTAGCAAACTAACATAGCCAACTCAAAGGGAGGACTTGTTCTTAAAGTTTGTAACAACCGTATTTCCTTTACGTTTTCGACTAAAATGAATGTTCTTAAATCTCGGGACCGTGAAGATCCGTTAGAATTGGTCTCTCGCAACCCATTCTTGTCATCAGAGGCAACTAATAGGATCGGGTGGTCAAGCTCGCTGACTTGGTCGACACATGTCAATTGCGTGGATCGATGCTCATGCTTTGGATCACTGGATTGTCAGGTCCTGACTCGATTATTTACAGACCGCCGCCATATAGCTGGAACATTGCTGAGCGGGGCTTTAAAGAAGAAACAAACAAATATTACAGCTTGAGCTGTCTCCAGTAGATAGAGTACAGGTGGTTCCAGACTCCGCCGCGTAAACTGCCTGAAATGAAGGTACTGGTTCTCACTCAGCTGAACAGATAAACCTTGGGACCACATCAGAAGTGACACAAGCAGTTCTCAGGCTTTAAAAGAAAATAAATCTTCCTGCTGTGGTGGATTCCAGGAGAATTTAAACAACGAGATTGTAAGGCTTGGTTTCTTCCCTGTTTCTTCCCTGTAACATGGAGCAGAACAATTATATGTCGCTTCACAAGATACGTAAAGTAATTGAAGATAAATTTCTTTAGAGAGAGAGAGAGAGAGAGAGAGAGAGAGAGAGAGAGAGAGAGAGAGAGAGAGAGAGAGGGAATGTAGCAATATTCCAGCAATATCACGGCGGGGGACACCAGAAATGGGCTTAACACATTGTGCCCATGTGGGGAATCAAACCCGGGCCTTCGGCGTGACGAGTGAACGCTTTAACCACTAGGCTACCCCACCGCCCCTGTCTTTTAGAAAATACTCATCTTCAAAGTTCAACTTAGATAGATGTCATGTTATGATTAATGTGTGTGCACCTCTACTTTGCATAAGAATATAGTATGAGATAGGGTGAGGTTCAGTAGTTTCTTAGAGAGAGAGAGAGAGAGAGAGAGGGGCGAGAGAGAGAGAGAGAGAGAGAGGAGAGAGAGAGAGAGAGATCTACTTGGATTAATTGGTAGCGGGTGCATTGTGGTGCAACTTCTGGATCAGACCCTGGATTCTGAAAAGAGAAACGTACACTTTAAAGAGCAACACTTACACCTTGAGGAGAGGGAGAGAGAGAGAGAGGGAGAGAGAGAGAGAGAGAGAGAGAGAGAGAGAGAGAGAGAGAGAGAGAGAGAGAGAGAGAGAGAGAGAGAGAGAGAGAGAGAGAGAGAGAGAGAGAGAGAGAGAGAGAGAGAGAGAGAGAGAGATCTATGCCGCTTTGAGCATAATTCCAGCAATTGACGGCGGAGGACAACAGAAATGGTCTTCACATATTGTACCCATGTACGGAATCGAACCACATCGAACGACTATGCTACCCCATCGCCCCACTTTCTCTGAGCACAAATTGCATGGTAGCCTAAACAAACGTATTTACTGACACGAAGGACAGTTTCTTCAAATACACATTTTGATATGTATGGATAACACAAGATGTTAGACATTCAATGCTGTGTTCTATCGTTACGTGTTGATTTTACCGCCTCCGTGGTGTAGTGGTTAGAGCGTCCGCCCGGAGAGCGGAAGGTCGAGGGTTCGATCCCCGACCGCGTCATACCAAAATACGTTAAAATATGGTACTTGTTGGTCCCTGCCTGGCGTTCGGCATTAATGGCTACATCAAGGACTGGTCGGCTCGGAGTCAGTATACTGTGTCTGAGTGGGGTATTCATGCTTCACTGCGGCATATGGTATCTCAGTTAGCTAGCACTATAAAACCAGCTTAAGTCTGGGCTAGTACAAACAGCCGCATATACACATACACACGCATGCACGTCGTCATATGAGCGAAATATTCTCAAGCACGACGTTAAACCCAATTTCACCTCACCTCACGTGTTGATTCCAGAAACTAAAACCCCAAACCAGTCTTATACTTTTCACTTATTTCATAAGTGAGCCTGTGATTGAAAAATAGATGCATGATACATTTGGTCATGGTGTATTTGTTACACAACATATTTACAGTATAATGCTACTTTTGTTTGCTGGCGATTTTATTTAACAGTGTACAGTGTTCGCTGTTTCAGGGTTACAATTACATGTTCGACAGCCTTTCTGTGAAGGTTGATTTAAATAAAACAATATTATTGCATTCAGAAATGGAGGTGATATTGCTAAACAGGAAAGCTGGGCATTAAACAACACAAATCTCTAAATCACCAATTGTATTGCATGTGTCTGAAAATTGTGGGACCAGACATTATAGTTATAAAAACGTTCACACCCAGTATTTAAAACGCTTTATACAGGTTGACAAATTCGCATCCGATAACGCTATACTTCGTGAAACTGGGATATAAGTTTTAATACAGTTAAGGTTTATGAAATACTAGATAAAATTACTTTTCGATACCAACACCAATGTTACGTAATGTTAAAAAAGGTAGAGGATACTGGAAAGCAACATTGGGTATCAGATGTCATAACGATACTGTTCTACACAGGTTTTACCCATGTTTGGTTATCACAAAGAGTCTGTCTATAATAACCTGATTTAAACTCCATTTCAACTCACTTTTCTGTAAATGGTGATCAGAACTTTTGTTATGAAGTTGTTTGAAACGTCGTAAAATGCCAGGGTAGACAACTCTGTTTTACATCCGATTGCAGGGAGCAGTCATTAAAAGTAAAAACAACGTTGTCTCATGTCGATAAGTCGCAAATGAGAATAGTCAAAATCTTACCATATCATATTTTGGATGTAATAATAGTTAATTAAAACCCAATCCAACAAATATTACGTAATATGTAGAATTATATAGTCCCGGTGTGGAAATAATAATCTTCGTTATTCAGACCCACAAAATGGCGATGGCAGGTAGTCGTCTGCTGAAAATAGTTTTGCTGACGTTGTCAGTGTCTGTTGTCGTATCTTGGGACAATAATGACTTTGAGATATTTGATTTAGTGGAGGAAGTAAATTATACGAACTTCTATGAACTTTTGGGTGTTGACCAGGTGAGTAGGAAGGCATAAAATCTTACCGAAACGTGACAACGGTCAACGTGGTTCTGTTTCAGTATGGAAGCCGGTGGACAATATTTGTTGTTTTTGACACGGCACATATTCCTAATATATTCTCAACCATATCGAACAGCTTGCCAGAGATAATTCGAATGTAGGATGGGCTGGTGGCAAAACAGTAAATCGTTTTGGCCAAATGACTTCTCACCCACAATCACCAGCTGTTCAGTTTTCAAAACAAAGCAACCGTAGTAAAGTGTACTCTTTATCTAACCTGCAATCGGTGCTGTTATTATCACTGGATATCATCGTGTTAGAAACTGTTTTGTTTGAGAAATAAAAGAATATCAAACTGATAACCTCAGAATATCCTTATTTGACTAATAGTCACAATGCTTCTGAGATAGTGCAGATGTGACTTTATACACATTCCTTCTTTTGAGCAAATTGTTTGATCAGCATTCCAGAAGATGGTGTGTCAATAATGAAGTGTACAACTTAATGATAACAAGTAAGATAATGGTGTTAGAATCTGCACCAAAACCTGACTCTAAGCAAATAAAAAATAAGTTGACATCCGTAACTTGTGTGCTTTACTTTAGAGCAAACATTCATACTATCTCAGAGCAAACATGTATCAGTGGAAGATGTTCACCTTTTGGAAGGTGTTTCCTTTTCTAGAAAACCTTAAAATAAAAGAGCTATAAATCTATTCTCACTCTCAGTCTTAGTAAATCACACATTATCTTAGCTTGGCTTCTTAGCTTCCATGAAGATCATGAAAGTGTTCTGTTTTCAGACTGCAACCACTGCCGAGATCCGCCGTTCTTACCGCAAGCTATCCTTGCAATACCACCCAGACAAGAACAAAGCAGATGATGCTGAGGATCAGTTTAGACGGGTCTGTATTCTGCTTAGATATCTGTGAATAATCTGAGTTAGATTTGATCTTCTTTGACTAATGGGATCTGGTGGTCAGGCTTGCTGACTTGCTTAATGCATGTCATCGCATTCCATTTGCATAGATCAATGCTTATTATGTCAACCATTGTCATGCAGCTCCTATGAATGAGATGAGCTTCATTACTATGTGTGGTAAATAGAGATGTTTTAAAGATATCTTTAAATGGTTGTCTTATGAAAATTCTGTGTGCAATGTTCATGTATATCATGACATGATTATGCCAATGTATTATAGTATAGTAACAAGATACTCTTAGTGTTTAATTCAGTGACTTCAATTCTGGTAACATACGAAATGGATAATGTTATACATTGTTGTGCTTGTAGATGGTTGCAGTGTATGAAGTCCTCAAGGATGAAGAAAAAAGACAGAGGTATGTAAATTAGAGTGTAGTCCCAAGATTATACACCCAGCAAGATCTCATGATGAGTAGAGTCTGGTCCAATAATGGTTGATGGGGCGTCATACAGCACTGATTGATGACAAATGTGGATAGGATAACAGTTACTTTGTTGATTGTGTGTCATTCTTTAATCATGTGGACTCCTGCAGTCAAACACTGGCATTCCTGTCTCTGATCAGATAGCAAAGGATTTCCATTATGTACATGTACCATCATCATTTACCGCTGCACAGAACCCATATAATTTACTGCTGTGTAAGCTTAACACTGCTTATTGTAGTAAGGCCTTACAAGCATTACTGCAACATAGCCTGTGGGTATCGTTAACTGAACATCAATCAATTATTGATAAATGTGATTCTACTGACCATAGTCATTCAGCTGGAAAACAATAAGCAAATCACCATATATAATCATTGTAACAAGGTGGTATGTAGCTGGGTGAGGTGAAATTGGGTTTAACGTCGTGCTTGAGAATATTTTGCTCATATTGTGCTAGCCCACTGAGATACCATGCCGCAGTGAATCATGAATACCCCACTCAGACACAGTATACTGACTCCGAGCCGACCAGTCCTTGTTGTACCCATTAATGCTGAGCGCCATGCAGGGACCAACAAGTACCATATTTTAACGTCTTTTGGTATGACGCGGTCGGGGATCGAACCCGCGACCTTCCGCTCTCCGGGCGGACGCTCTAACCATTACACCACGGAGGCGGTCCTTCAATATGTGTTATGTGCCTAGGTTTGATTGTGTGTGTTTTACTCAACACTGAAGCAGGTGAATCAATTTCCTGATTATATGTTTCCTCAAAATTTGCTGCCCATTCTAAGGATGGAGAATTCATGAATGTGACTGACACTCTTACAAGGCTGCCTTGTTTTATGTTTGTGGCCAGGTATGACCAAGTTTTGGTGGAGGGGCTCCCTGACTGGAGGCAGCCAGTGTTTTACTACCGTCGTGTCCGCAAGATGGGCATGTTAGAGCTGACTTGCCTTCTGGGCTTCATCCTCACCATTGGACAGTACCTGGTAGCCTGGGCAGTCTACTTTGAGAAGAGACTCTCACTGGTCAGTCTTTACACATGTTAACCAATGTTTGATATATCGAACCATACTCTTCTTCCTTTTTGTTTTTTATGAATCCAACTGAGCAGAGTCTGAATTCCCAATAAGGAATATAATTTATTATTCCTTATCCTGACTCATGCATATTGCTTGTCTCCCTTCAACGGTTAAGTGGAAACTTGAATCCCTTTCAATTCCCTGAAGCGATCGTAATATCACTCACCCATGAGTAGCCTCCCTTTTCCCGCTAAAACGGTCGCACATGACCTGAGCCCAGCTCTCATCACTCTCTCCTTCATCGTCCAAGCAGACGGTTGGGTGGTCATAGGGGTCCCTTTTGCGGCATATATCCTTATCTTTTTGGCCTTTTAATCTAAATTTGTGGCCATGAATTGCATTTAGATACTTTTTAGATATATCACAATGAACACGGGAGTTAAACTCATCAAAGTACCTGAACTTGTTGCTCTACTGAGATTATTTAAACTAGAGGATCAACAGCAGAAATTTAGAGCCCCAGCCTGGCATCTCAACATAGTGCTGCAACATCTCACAAGCGACCATATCAACCTTTAAGTGACACAACTTTTCAGTTGTTAATTCAGAAAACAATTTTTCTCCTCGCCTTAGCTACAGCACCAAGGATGTCAGAAATACATGCTCTCGACTTTGGACGAACGAGATTCGACACATGAGAACATGGGGACTAAGATGGGACTTTCTAGCTAAGAATCAACTACCTGGTCAACCAGATTGTCAATTTCACGTACCAGCATTGTCATCGGTCCTTGAACAAAGACACACAGAGGACTTGTCCCTGTGCCCAGTCAGAGGATTGAAAATCTACTTAGAACGGACTGCTACAAGAAAGAGAATGTTTTAACGTCTCTTTATTCCACTATCACACGCCACAACTATTGAAGTCTCTCGAACCACAATCTCATTTTGGATCAGAGCTGTCATTCTATGAGCTTACGAAGCAGCAGGACTGGCTCCACCTAGAGCATCTAACCCTCATAAAGTTAGAGCATTAGCGTCGACACTCGCACTACATGGGAATTGCTCATTACCATCTATCATGGAAGGCTGCTTTTGGAAATCCGACACAGTGTTTGCTAACTATTATCATCGAGACATCGCTACAGAGGACGTATCAGGCATTCACCAGTTTGGTCCACTTGTAGTGGCACAACAACTCACGATTCCAGCCAGACATTATCACGCTGACTCCTTGATGCTAGGCAACCGACCCATTGCCACCAGCAGAGAGTCCACGTTCCGCTGTCTTACTTGATAAGTCAGCACATGAATGATATAAACCCAGTTGGGTAATAGTCCTTACCTTAACTTATGGGCTGCGATTCAGTCTTGGTAATAGTCCTTACCTTAACATATGGATCGTTCTAAGATAACTAGATGTTGAAGAGGGCTGCGATTCAGTCTTGGTAATAGTCCTTACCTTAACATATGGATCGTTCTAAGATAACTAGATGTTGAAGAGCACTAGATTATCAAAATCCACAATATCTATAAGATTTACTTCTTTTAATGAGTTAAAATAAGAGAAGGTGGTCCCGCGAATATGACATTAAGACAACAATGAGGCCGCAAGAAGAGTTCCCAGGGGGTATCAGACTATATTGGTTGACAATCCCGTTTGATGGCTGACCCACCACCTATTCCGTCGGGTTCGGTAAGCAATAAGCATGAGTCAGGATAAGGAAAAATATGTAATTTTCATGATTAAATTGATATTTTATACTTATCCTGACTCATGACCTAAAATCCCTCCCAATCATCCCCTCTCAGCACTACGGACTTCACTGTAAGTCATAATGTGGGCTTATTTCGGAGAGAGTCATGAGAGCTGCGCTCAGGTCACGTGTGACTGTTTTGGCAGGAAAGGGGAGGCTACTCTTGGGTGAGTGATATTACGATTGCTTCAGGGCATTGAAAGGGATTCAAGTTTCCACTTAACCGTCGAAAGGAGAAGGGAGATAAGCAATAAGTATGGGTCAGGATAAGTATAAAATATCAATTCTATCATAAACATTTCATGTATCGATATATTTCTATTTGCCTCACTGCTCCGTTCTTGACAGTTCAAAAGAATAGATTAACTGCAAAATGCTAACAGGGGATATTGAAGAGTTTATCTTCTTGTTCTGTTTACAACCAATGGTGCACAACAAGCATAAACAATGGCAAATTGGGGTTTTATTTATGGTCTCAAATAAATCAGTTTTTAAATTCAGTATTTTTTCATGTAATAGTCATTATTTCATGATTAAACATCAACCTCGGAAACCCATTCATTTGAGAAATTGGATCTTACTCATCTCATCATCCTCGTAATCAGAAATAATAGAAATGCTTTCACTGTGGCGATAGTTTTTTTACTCAAACTATAACACAACAAGGGTATTTCCAAATAACAGCATTTGATGAGCTTCATCTGTCAATTTTGTCTGTTGTTTATCTTGAAGAAATTATATTGATTAACATGATATGAAAACAGTCTGTCTTCAGAAATGCAGAACACATTAACTACAATTCATTTTAAAAACTCTTTCTCTATGGCCCATTAAAGTAAAAGTTAGAACAAACCCTCCTCCAGTAAATATATTTCCATGTATGCATACATATTTCAGGTATACCAAAATATTCTGCACTGTAAAGAGAATAACCATAATTTTTACCAGACCATCAGGCTGGCTAGCTGTAAATTTAGACCGTCCGTTGGAAATCTAGCTTGTCTCGGGCGGTCGGACGGGCCTTATTTCATACACTGTCTTTAGCAATCCATGATTGTTGTAAGAGGAGACTGATGTGATTGGGCAGTCAGGCATGCTGACTTGGTTGACACATGTCGTCATATCCAAATTGCGTAGATCGATGCTCATGTTGTTGATCACTGGATTGTCTGGTCCAGACTCGATTATTTACAGACCGCCATATAGCTGGAATATTGCTGAGTGCAGCGTTAAACAAGAAGCCAACCCTTCAACTCTGCTCTCAGACTGAATAATGTAATCATTTGTGTGATGCAGGAAGACTTTTATGCCTCAAAGAAGAAGAAAGTGGCTGACAAGAACAAGAAGAAGAGCAAGGTCGGAGTTGAGGAACTTGAGGAGGAGATAGAGGAAGAGCTGAAGTCCCTGCCCCGGCCCCAGCTGATGGACTTGTGGATGTTCCGACTGCCTGGTTTCCTGGTGTACTTGGCTTGCAGTTTACCAGAAGCAGTCGGGGCACTGGTAGAGCTTGTCAAGTCCCGGAGGAAGGTGGAAGAAGAGCTGGAGGAAGAAGAGGAGGAAGAGCAGGGTTAGTAGAGAAGTTGTGTGGGAAGGCGCATTCTGTAGCGATGTGCATATTCTTAGTGATGTTTACATCACTTACAATCCATGGGGTGAACTTCATTTAGTTTTTTAGTTTGCAGAGTTGCATACCTTGGTGTGACAGCATCATATGATGTTGGATTGTATATCTAGAGACTGTACACAGTGAATTTGACAAATTGTTTAATATCTGGCTTAACCAACTTTTACCCCATTTTGGAATTGAATATTTTGATTCAGAAATTTATTCATGCATACTAAATATATAGGATTAAGTGATTAAACCGATGATCCCTCTTGAATACCTCAGTGGAGCAGAATGTTGCTGTCCATATCACAGCACTCAGTGACCAAAGTTGAGAGCATGGGTGTGTTTTCACCTCAGTTCAGGACTATTATAGAGGACTTAATGTTGTACAAGTAAGGGAAAGTAACCATTCCTCTTCAGAATCCACACGGAAAGCCAAACGAAAGAAGATGGAGATTCCTGAGTATCAAGCCGACCTGTATCAGAATGTCACATCCAGTCACACTCAAGCCAACGCTCAGTCTGCCCAGAGTGAACACAAAAGCATTAAGGTTATACAATAGTTCCTAACTCTGGGTTTGTTAAAGTAGTAGATTGATGCTCATGCTGTTGATTCAGGTGTCACCCGCCGTGATGTTGCTGGAATATTGCTAAAAGCGGCGTAAAACCAAACTCAGTCAGTCAGTCATGCTGTTGATCACTGGATTGTCCAGTCCAGACTCGATTATTTACAGATCGCCACCATATAGCTGGAATATTGCTGAGTTCAGCGTTAAACAACAAACCAACCAACCGTTAAAGTGAGGCTGGACAATATCACTTCTTTTTCCAGCCTCCTTACAGTCAAGCTAGGATATACAATAGTTCCTGACTCTTTTGTCTTCCCATGGACAGATATAATCTATCATTCAATTCATTCATTTTATTTTATTCTTTTATCCTGATGCTGATTTCATGTGAAATAGGGCTGGCTAGACTCACTTTTTAATCTTGATGGCTTTGGATTCATTTGGTGACTCTAGCCTTGTTTGTGATGACCCAGTGTAAATGTGTTACAGAAAGATGGAGACTGGTCGGATGAGGAGCTGGTACTGCTGGCGAAGGCTGTCAACAAGTTCCCCGGGGGAACCGTGAAGCGATGGGAGAAAATAGCTGACTTTGTAGGCAGGACAGTTGAGGAGGTGGGATTAATGGTGTTCCGATTAATTGAAATAATTGAAGTTTGGTCAAAGTGACCAAACGACCAAGCAATCGATCACATTTTCTCATAATTGAACACAAACGATTTTGGAACTGCTGTTTTAGTCTTTGAAACACTTTGGAACATGATGGAAGATATCATGACTGAATATTGCTTGAAGACTCAATGAAGTTTATGTTCATGATATATCTGTCATCACTTTAAAGTATCAAGTTGCATCATGTTATACATATCTGCAATAACAACCTGATAGGAAAATCTGAAAAATCACGCTAACCAATTTTTTTTCGATGATTGTTCGGTGGTAATGAAGCAATCATCAATTGTGAGATTTCAACCAATTCCCAACAATAGGTGGGATATACCATATAATATATACCCAACTACTTCTAGATGCTATATTGTTACTTCACTATCAGGAGCCTGTGAAGATCTGGTCTTCAGCAACCCATGCTTGTTGTAATAGTTGAATAACACTATCGGGTGGTCAGGCTCGCTGACTTGGTTGACACATGTCATCGTAATCTAATTGCATAGATCGATGCTGTTGATGTTTGTCACTAGATTGTCTGGTCCTCATTTACTTCCAGACTGCCACCATGTAGCAGGAATGTTGCTGAGTTTGACATTAAACAACAAAGAAACAAAGTTTATGAGCATTGAGTAGGTGGATAAGCCTTATATAGGATGTCAAGCATGTACTAGGTGTTTTATTGACTGAATTTGAATTAAGTTGTATGTCGTCAGAGTTAATAAGACAATAAGTTCATTATGTGCAGAAAGTATCATTGAGAGATTTTGAAGATGACTGTTGGTTAACTTGCATGTTGTGAAGCTAGTGCCCGGTATTAAGGGGAAACTATATCATGTAAGTTAAGCTTGCATGTTTACAGATTAGCAAACTGTTGATAGAGTGAAAGGCATGGTTCTCTTTACTTTGTTGGCAGAACAGTGTTATGTCATCTATGTTATATTCGCCTGTATGCCGGTATGATATGAGAACAGACACACTTTCATTTCATGTTTCGGAAAACACCTGACATGATTACTATTTGAGTGTAGTGGGACAGTCGTTCACAAAGTCTTTCATACAAATGGTTACACAACAGTGTTGGTCAATATAAGGTTTCAGGGAGGAAATGACGAGATAGTTGCATATATAGGACTAAACATTCTTTACATATTGATGGATCACAAAGATTGTAGTCACAAAGTTTGAATAACAACAGAAGTGATTTGGTACTATAAGTTATCACATCGCGTCGAGGGAAATACGGGGTTTTATCTGTCCCGAGTAAGGTTGTCCTGAGTAAGGTTGTGTTCCCCGAGCTGGAGGCGTGCGGAATACAACCTTACTCGGGACGGATAAAATCCTGTATTTCCCTCGACACGATGTGATAATGCATTTATCTAGCCGAATGTTTTTACTAAATCAAAAGAAAACAAAACAAAATTCTCAGTTGTTGTGGCAAAACGTTTCCTTGCTGCCATGTTGACACCAGCTGATTGATTGACCTCAATGCAGCGCACGTTTCTAAAGGCTTGGCGACGCACACTTTTCTCACTTCGGGTGGTCACCAAGGCGTGGCGGGATAATATGACTTTTGTACTCCCTGCTCGCGGATCGTGATGAGTGTACATGGTATTTCATCAGTCATGTGAACCAATCAAAACTCGACATTCTTACATGAGGCTGGATAAAGATCCTTATCCTGTTGACAAGCAATAATTCAAGTCAATATTCAAACCAAAGTTGTTTTTCAGGATCTTCTCAGCATGTATTTAGATACTAGTAGATAGAATATATGTTTCCATGTGTGTAATGCATTCCTCTTAAGTAGTGTCCATAATGATAAACTCTATTGCAATCAGTACTTCATTAAATGCAAACATGTAATGAGGGAAGCAGACATAAAATCAACCACTCTTAATATACATCTTCTTAAGAAAAGCGGCCATACCAGGCCATTTAAAGATCCCATGACATTACTGGAAACTTGTAGAAGCAGACATACAATCAGGACAATCTTGACACAGGGAAACCTAATTTATACAGTTTATATGTGTCTGTTATTGTAATGAATGAAACCGTGAAATATAGATCAGTCTTGTTCACTGTCATAATAAGGGAAATGTTTGATGATTTGTAGGTTTGATCAATTTTGCAGATATGCATGTTGATATAAGACAATGAACTTGCAGGTCTATGTGGTATTGCTATAATCAAAGCTGGTTGCCAGAAATCTTCAGAGACAACTGAAGATAGAGACTGTAGTTATGTTGACATTGTTTAAAGGCTGTTCTTTGTTTCTAGGTGACTGTTAAATCTAAACAGGTGAAAGGTGGTGCCTTTGCAATGAACCTGAGCTCCTCTGTTCAAGGTAATACACTAGAATAGTTTACTGTCTGCCTTACCTACAGCTATATTACTGAACCAGGTTCAGACAGTGGTACTTATTCTGTGGAAAATATGCATGCAGGCTAGTTGTATTACTGAATTGTGTCCATGCCAGTTTGTGAAATACTGCTGACGTTGATACTTTCCTGACAGGTGGTGGCTTCTCTGGAAAAAACAAGAAACAAGAATGGGATATAAGTGACTCGATCATAACAACAAACGATCCTTTGACAACCTTGGAAAATACGGATGACGAGAATAAACTGAGAAGAAGAAACAAACCGTCCAAAGTTGTGAAAACCGCTGATAGATCGCTGCAAATACCTCCTAGTCAGCCGGTCTCCAAACCTGCAGCAGCACCGCTGTCAGAGAAAGGGGCACCTGCTAGTGTTGGTTCAGAGAGCCAGGACTCACAGAGTAATACCACAGAGTCTGTGAAACTAAAGACTGGGGATGCCACATGGACTCAGAACCAGCAGGTGATATTTGAGTGGGCTCTGAAGCATACACCAAAAGGGGTGGACAAGCGATGGGAGAAAATTGCTGAACAAATTCCAGGAAAATCAAAAGTGAGTACGACTATTAACAGGGTTGCTCATACGATTTGAGGTTGTCTGGGTAGCCATGTAGTTAAAGAACTCACTTGTGATGACAAGGGTCCATGTTCAGTTCCCATTGTGAGTATTATAGAAGATCTGCAAAGCTCATTCTTGTTTCTTGATATTAATAATTACCATAAATCTAGATATTACCATAATTATTGCTTACAGAGGCATAAACTGATAACACACTAAAGTTTGTATTAGGAGTTGCGTTGTAGGTGTCCCAGTCATGTAAGGTGTTGTATTTCACTGTTCAGAGTTATTTCCCTTTGGGCATACCAGAATCCTGTGAATGTGGGTCATACCCTCTCAATCCATGATCCCCATTAAGGTCTGGGTTAGAATATTGATCTTCAGTAACCCATGCTTGTCGTAAGGGGCGACTAACAGGATCGGGTGGTCAGGCACGTTGACTTGGTTGACACATGTCATCGGTTCCCAATTGCACAGATCAATGCTGTTGATCACTGGATTGTCTGGTCCAGACTCGATTATTTACGGACCGCCACCATATTCCTGGAATATTGCTGGCGCGGCGTAAAACTAAACTCACTCACTCACTCACTCACTCACTCACTCACTCACTCACTCACTCACTCACTCACACTCAACCCATGAAGATCCGGGTTACAATTGGTCTTCAGGGCCTAGATTTTCGAAGCTGTCTTAGCGCTAAGATAGTCGTAAGTTCCATACAATAACATTAACTTACGATTATCTTAGTGCTAAGAGAGCTTTGAAAATCTAGGGCCAGCAACCCATGCTTGTCATAAGAGGCGACTAACATGATCGGGTGGTCAGGCTTGCTGACTTGGTTGACACATGTCATCGTATCCCAATTGTATTGATCGATGTTCATGCTGTTAGTGTTCTAGTACAGTTCACGTACAGTTGCGTAGATTGAAGCTCATGCTCGTGATCACAGGATTGTATGGCCCAGACTCGATTATTTACAGACCACCGCCATATTGCTGGAATATTACTGAGTGTGGCGTTAAACAACAAACAAACAAATCACAGCCTCTCTCACTCACTCACTCACTGATTGCAGGAAGACTGTATACTGAGGTTCAAGTACCTTGCCGACTTGGTCAAGAAGAAAAAGACTGGGCAGAATACTGAAGAACAAAGTTGAGGTGTCGGAGATTGGATCTTCTCATGGTGCTAACTGACATACCTAGCAATGCATTTATTATGGACGAGCATTACCTGTGGTGAAATATATACTGTGGTGGCTTCTCCGCAACCTGTGATACAGGAGTTACGTGTATATAAGGGCGATGGTGTACGATGTCTGCAGAGGCTGGAAATGTCGCTAATTATGCGACAGTGAGTGTTAATGGGATGGTTGTCATGTGCTTGTGATAATGGTTTCAGGATTCTGTTTAGAAACATTATTTTATGTGTATGAATTTTTATTTCTTTATGCATATATTATACAGCAAATATACTATAAGATTAAAGTACTAGTATATATTCTAGGCACAGTAACCAAAGATTTTGCATACACTACTTTCCTCAGTAGGGTGGTTGCAGCGATTAGCTGCAAAATTGCTGATGCAGTGTTAAGCAATATTTATTCACTCTCTCACTCAATAGGGTGGTGTGGAAGCCCAGTGGTTGAAGCTTTTGTTTGTTATGTCCCAACTATGGGTAAATTTTTTTTGTGAAGACCATTTCTGGTAACCCCCTCAGTGATATTGGTGAATATTTCTAAAAGCAATGTGAAACCCTTCTCACTCGTTCCACTTTTCATATGTTTGACCATTTAACAAATTGAGGCCAATTATGACTCAAATAGGTCAAATGAACTCCACCTTTGCCTTAAATAGAAACAATATGTTTCTAACACTCACTGGGTTCCCCCCCTTGAACTAGTCCGTATCTTGACTTGTTGGTTATAACTTACGAAATTGACTAAGTGTATTCCATGGTGAGTAAGGATCGTTGTGTTTATGAACCCACGATCAGGGTTCTACCTTAACCTTCATAGCTAGGGAACCAGAGCACCCCCAATTGCAAATTTCAAGGGTCATTAACAGACAGGTTCCTGCAAACTAAAGGGATGATGTGTACTGTAACAATAAATGCCTTTTTTTTAATAGGACCTTCATATTTCTTGTCTACTTTTTGGAATAATGAATATTGATGTGCAACCTTATGTTTCTCTGCATCTATTGCATACTGATGCACATTTCTGAGTTGGATAATACCTAGTGGTCAGACGATAGATGCAGGACCCAAACTTACATGAAAGCATTTATTGCACTTGGAGCCATGACACACTTTCTCAACACCCTGCACATTCAAGCTGCCCACTTGAGATATTTAAAAAGTTCTTGTCTACTTACGGACTTCATATGTTGTTTATGTTTACTTGTGAAACATTGTGTCACATGATGTGAAATGCCACAGAATGAAAAATGAATATATAAACATGTAACAGTGATTGAATTTTTTATTTTCTTCTCATGCCATAAACATGTAGGGTCATCATGTTTTCTCATGTACCATATTTTACCATAGATGAGCCGGGCTCCTAAACTGACCCTTAAAATCTCATCAACATGGTATGTTCCATAGATAAGCTGACCCCCCAACCTTCGCTCATCTTTTCTTCGTGATCAGAAATAGTGTCAACAAATCCATATTTTTAACTTTGGTCTGCCTTCATTACAGCAGTCACTATCATGTTGCGTCATGCCTTGAAATGAAGTGTAGTTGACAGAAAATCGATACATATACATATTTTGTTCACGTGAAGAGATACAATGTCGTTTTCTTACCCCCTGAAAAAATGTTTGATAAAAGTGTAACCTGCAGATAAGACTACCCCTTCTGCAGACTGCTTTTTTTTGTCCTCAACATTTGGCTTATCTACTGTAATATATGGTATTTGATAAATTGAGCAATATCGGTTCCTGACTTGTTATTCACTATTGGTAGATTCGAATTTTTCATGGGTCATTGTTGTGAAAAATTACCACTGTCAGCATGGTCAAAACATGTAAAAAAATATTTTGTTCTTGTTTCACTGAATATAATGAATAATACTTCAACTGCTGACATTCTGTTGTATTCGTTATGGAATATTTGTATTGTTACCTAATATTTGTGATATGTATCATATTTGTCTCATGGCGGATTCATGCAGTCCTAGTATAAACTAGATAATCATGATGATGATTTAGGACAAATCACCTACAATCATGATGACAATTTAGCCTTGTGATTGTCTTCATTGTCTCCAGTCTTTGCTGTGGTCAGTAGGTCAGTAGGTCATCTTCACAACACAGTGGAAGCCACCTGACTTACACATCCCCTGTGATGTGTGTGTATGAGATCAAATCAGCAGCGGATCCTATATCTTGAGTAATTTTGTGATCAGCCATCTTTCAAGAAGTAATAAGTTCCAGAAATTGAACACAGTCCAGCATCACTCTGCATAGGTGGATCCAGAAATTTTCAAGGGGGTGGGGGTGGTGTGTTTCAGGGGGTTTGAACCCCCTGAACCCCACCTTGGCTTTGCCATTGCAAAACATTAACTTCAATGTGGTCTTTAGTCATTTTCAAGGGGTGGGTGGGTGGGTGGGGGTGGGTGGTGCAGTGGGGCTGACCCCCCCCCCTCTGGATCCGCCACTGCCCTGTCCTTTCCTCCCACACCAAGCTGACACTAGTCACAGGACGAGACATTCACCAGTCTTCTTGCTACTGAATCCCTTCGTTAGATCTTTTACACTCAAGAAGTTGATTTATTTCTTTGCTTACTCCATTATTAAGAAGATTTTTATAAATCTTGGCTCATTAATATTGCAGTGGTATCAAGGAATTTATTGACTTTTATTGACTTAACTGAGCATCCCTGTGAAAGGTTATCCCATCCAATATTTGCTCCTGGAAACTGGAAGTATAAAACACAGTCAAGTATGTCCTTGCATGTCCATGTTCCACACAGCTCTTGGGGTGGATTTGTTTCTGTGTCAAGGTAACCCATTTACAAAAGTTTAATAAAAATATTTGTGGTCACACTTTCCCATTAACTTCTTTTATCGTTGACATCCCCTTTACCATGGGTCCATCTGTAAATAGTTCATATTATTGTAAAGAAAGTTACAGGTCAAGGTCAAATGTATATTTCATGGATATATATGTGTGTTTGTGTGCGTGCGTGCATCTGTCTGTCATATCTGTGTGTATGATTTTTCATTGAGTGGGGGCGTCGGGGTAGTCTAATGGTTAAAGCGTAACACGGAAGACCCGGGTTCGATTCCCCACATGGGTACGATGCGTGAAGCCCATTTCTGGTGTCCCTCGCCCTGATATTGCTGGAATATTGTTAAAAGCTGCGTAAAACTAAACTCACTCACTCACAGTGTCAAGTACTGAATATATCCGTTTGTTTTAATTTCCCTGTGAATGTTTTCGTTAACGTAACTGTAACTTATATTAAAGGTTCTATCGACATTTTATGTCTTAAATAACCAGTTTCACAGGTTAATAAGGGTGAAGAGTACACTTGGCACAAATAAGCCTGGAGTAATTCCCTACATTGGCTCAGTGGGTGAAGCATATTTCTAGTGTTCCCTACCACAATGTTCCTACGTTTTGTAGAACTTTACTCACTGTTGAATACCAAGTTTGCATTCTTTTTTTATCTTTTGTAAATCTAATTGTGGAATGAGCAATAGAAATTCACCCTGAAAGACTTACTGGTAATCAGGTGAAGATACAGTTCTCAATGAATAGTTACATGGATAACTACTGACATGTTGCTATTAGCAGGTACTGGTGATGTTATCAGATGACTTCATGTTAGTGTTTGACATTAAGCCTGTAACTCACCATGTATCCTGTCTTGTCAAAAGTGCTATGTCAAGAAGGGGTACCCAGATACTATACACTAAGGGACCAAGAATCCTAAAAGTACTTTGAAAACTTATAATCAATCTGACCACATACTGAGAACTTACAGGGTACCTGGTACAGGCCTTTTTCTGTGAGAAGGAGATAGGGCTGCTTCTATGTAATGCAAACCTTTTTCATTTTATGTTATTTGTCTTTTCTTTTTCTTTTCCTCCTGACATCCTACATTTTTGCACATGCAATCTTAGACCCTGTTTCATGCATCCGATCGAGTCACGTCGGAATCGGGTCGTTACCGTTACTGATAGTCCCTTTCAGCAACTGTGAACGGTGGAAACCATACCCAACATTTCTGTACTTCGTATTGATGTTATTGTGAATATTTTGGTAGTAGGAACCTTTTACATGTTTACATGGATATTTTGAAGATGTTGATTATCTATTGCACAAAGTTGCACAGACGTTTTATAAAATCATTGGTTATATCTCTTATTTGCAAACGTAATAGATTTCTTGTAATGCCGAAGGTAATGATCTTATGCACCTTAAGTGCAGAAATGTATGAAACATATATAGCATCCTTTTTGTTCCTTTATGAAACTGTGAAAATGACTATTGTCTGAAGGTCAGGGTAGTGAACATACTTTAAAGATTGTGACCAACAAATTCTTAAGGGAAGGGTATCGGTAAAATAAAGTTGTTCTATTCATATTCTTATCTTGGTGTTTGTAATTAGAAGCGACAGTGCCCTTTCTATATTCCTGACAAATCAGGGGCGGTGGTGTCACGCTGACACCCGAGCTCGAATCAGCACATGGTACAATGTGTGAAGCTCATCTGTGCTGTCCCCTGCCGTGATATTGCTGGTACATTGCCAAAAGCAGCGTAAATCTAAACTCAGACATCCTAGGAAATCCCAGACTTCCGTTAAGACTGTTACATGAGCATTTGTTCATGAACGTATCCAAGTAGTGGCGATACAGGGTGATATATACTTATGCGTACAAGATTAGGACTGAAGTGGGCAGGTGTATGTGTAACACTGGCTAGAACAATAATCCTGCACGAAGGGCAATCAACACATCAGTCCTTCATTCAACCACATCACACTGAACTACCAAATACAAGTTTCGTGTGACGATTGTGAACCATACCAAGGATGTATTCCGTTCGCTGGGTTTTATTTGCGAGGCAGCAATTGAGTTAATCTCACAGAACTCACCCGAGGAATCAAATTTCCGAACGAATTTCCTCACCTTTTGGATTCAGGGTTAGAAAGGTCACCATGAATGTTTCGTAAAAGGCGACAGTATGTGGATACAGTATGTCGATGACATTTTAATAACAATTATCATATAGCATTCATTGAAGTTCTCCGCTCTAACCCAAGATGTTTCCATATACTTAACGCTAAAGTCTTACCCGTACTGTCTTCTACTGCTAGAGTAAAAAATTAGTTAGGTTGTCACACCATGTTGTATCGAGTCGGAATGCAACTTCGTCATGCTGACATGAACGCGCCATACCAAAAGACGTTAAAATATGGTACTTGTTGGTCCCTGCCTGGCGCTCGGCATTAATGGGTACAACAAGGACTGGTCGGCTCGGAGTCAGTATAATGTGTCTGAGTGGGGTATTCATGCTTCACTGCGTCATGGTATCTCAGTGGGCTAGCACTATAAAACCAGCTTCAGTCTGGGCTTGTACAAGCAGCCGCACATGCACATACACACGCATGCACGTTGTCATATGAGCGAAATATTCTCAAGTACGACGTTAAACCCAATTTCACCTCACCTCACCTTTAGGACATGTTTTATATGCTCTGAAACGGTATCATGGTCCGATGGCTTCTTCACACTGATAAACAATAACAGCAACAATAATAACAATATCGCTTAAGGAAACACAATCTCTATCAATGATCGATACCAATGCTGGTGTACTTAAAGCGTATGCAGTCTGGAAGAAAAAACCCTTCAGGGCATTCTTCTCAGTGTACACATTAAGTGCGTTGGTGAAGGCTGTTGTGCCTCTGAGACAAAGCGTAATCTCTTGGCTCCATGGATGCAGCGTTAGCTCGGATACAGGAAGGTCTGTGGTTCGATCCCATCCCAGGTCGTGTCATATACCGACAGACCGAAGCAATGCTACTTGAACCGTATAACAAGGAGGGAGATTTTTAAGAGCGGGGTAACGGAGTCATGAAAAATACATTTATAAGGTTTTCACACATTTTACCATTCAAAATCTATCGCTTGCTGATCAAAATGGAAATATATATTCACGCAACCTGTTTACTGCATTTCAAAATACTGCAGATTCACTGTGTTCAACATTTCATTGTTTCGACCCCCCAAAGCTCTTCCTTTTAAAACAGAAATAACAATTACAGAATATATTGGCATAATGAAGAAGTCCGACAATAGCTTCAACGAGTGATTTACGCCGCGTTCCAGTCAGGTCTGGTGTTAATAACAGAGGTGACACTCAAACCACACAGGTCGTAGTCGTTTACAACAACCCGTGCTGGCAAACCAAGGATTATATTCAGTACAAATTCAGGAGAAAAAACCCCACGATAAGCGGAGTCTGCCACGACAAAGGGACGTAACCCTACACAGCCCGTTAACGATACATCCTTCAACAAGGCCTGGCAGTAATATTGGCCATAGCGTCTGATGTGATACTTACTTCACTGTGAGATAGTCACTGGAGCGCAGGTTTGATGTTGCTGCTGTAAGTATGATAGCCTATTGACAGCTGACATATTGATTACAACGGCACATCAATGTGTATGAATTCATATGGCGGTAACCCGTGAAGGACCATCAAGGGCTTTTTCTGCTACAGTTCAGCAACCAACGCTTGTCGTGGCATGTAAATAAGCCTGACTGAGTTTGGTTTTACGCCACTTTTAGCAATATTCCAGCAACATGGTAATGGCAGAAGGGGACACCAGATAAAATGGGCTTCACACACCGTCTCCAGTGTAATCCATGTTGGGATTTACGAACTTTTAGGTCTTCGGCATGACGAGCCAACGCTTTAACCATTCGAACCGGGTCTTCGGCTTGACGAGCCCCACCGCCCCCTTGTCGTAAGAGGCGACTAACGGGGTCGGTTGGTCTGGGTCGCTTGGTTGACACATCGTATCACAAATGCGTAGATCGATGCTTATGATATTGATCACTGGATTGTCTTGTGCAGACTCGATTATTTATAGACAGCCGCCATATAGCTGGAATATTGCTGAATCGGACGTTAAACAAAAATAACAACCCAAAGAACCAAACCTAAATGAATCAAGTCAGTGAACTTGTTAGTCCACTTTTACGCCAAGCACGTGTTGCTGAAGACCGGATCTCCACGACATTTATTTGCTTTATGAGATATACCGTCCAATCGAAATGCATAGAAACATATCTCCAGTACTCTTGTCGTGAAATCCATCGGTTCCCAATTGCGCAGATCGATGCTCATGCTGTTGATCACTGGATTGTCTGGTCCAGACTCATTTATTTACAGACCGCCGCCATATAGCTGGAATATTGCTGAGTGCGGCGTAAAACTAAACTCACTCAGTAACTCACTTGTCGTGAAATCATGTTTTAAACATGACTTTAAAACTGATGACTACGCATATCATGAGATTAAAGTGCCTTTTATTATACCGATACAACGATTACCATGGTAACATATTTCATTTAATCCAGTCTCCACCTCAGTTCTACATGTAGAAATATATTTTTGAAAGTTACGAATAAATAACGTAATACGCAATGATGCAAAACGTACAGATGTGGTGAAGCCGGCTTCAACTCGTACATGGCTTTCATCCTCCGTTAACCACCTTCATGTTGAACGAGTATATTTTCCTCAACACTCCGCCCACTGGCCACGATGCTGACCCAGCTGTTGACAACTCCGCAGCGGTTGTGTTGAGTGGTAGATGGAGGTTGACGTAGTTGCAGTCGTCGTTGTACCACCACCCCGTGCCCTGAGACTCGACACACCCAGTCGGATCGAGGTCTCCTTCAGCCCTGAATCTCGCTCCTTGCAGGTTCCTGTTATCACCGTAGATAAATCCATCTTCTAGGTCATCAGATGAGAAAGCGTCCCACGATACCTCATAATCGTTAATGGCCTCGTTCAGGAAGAACTTGCTGTAGTAAGCATGGCCGAAGAATCCATCCCCACAAGATCCACATCCAGGTTGTACGTCTCGCTCATCAGCATCTTCTGAATCTTGTCGAGGCCGAGAAAATAGGAACAACCCTCTACGTCACCGAACCCCATTTCGTACTCGTCGTAATCTCTGTCCATGAAGTCGAAGTGACAGTTCGGCATACGTTCCACGATGTAGGTGTACCCCCCGTGATTGAGGTAGCACTTCACCCAAAACGGCTCATCGACTTCCAGAGGCTTTATCTCTATAACGTCGATGTCCCCAGGTACAGTCAAGCCAGCTTCGACCGCAGCACTGCAATCTGTGTACAGACATAAGTTATGTAACATTACACGTATCTGTTCAATAGGCACTTTCACATTTTCAAAACCCATCCTTCTCGTATCCTCTCAATCTATACACCGGCGGGCAGCGGTGGGGCAGCCTGGTGCACGTTCCCTGCTAAATCATAGGCATCAGTGTGTAGTGAATGAGTGAGTTTAGTTTTACGCCGCACTCAGCAATATTCTAGCTATATGACGGCTGTCTGTAAATAATCGAGTCTGGACCAGACAATCCAGTGATCAACAGTATGAGCATCGATCTACGCAATGGGGAACCGATGACATGTGTCAACCAAGCCAGCGAGCCTGACCACCCGATACCGTTAGTCGCCTCTTACGACAAGCATGGGTTACTGAAGATCAATTCTAACCCGGACCTTCACGGGTTACATCAGTTTATATAAATCAGTACGAAAGCGTGATTTTATCCGGTATACGCGATTGGTAGCCCCACCGATAAACACATGCAAGAAACAGAAATTATTTTAGGGGATGTACTCGGTCTCGTTTTAGAACTTTTAAAGTCAGATATAATTGTTTGGTTAATTCTTTACAGTCACGATATGATCAACTGAGATCATAGATGGTGGTGACACTAAGAGGGTTAAAGTGGTATAAAAATATTGTCCTTCTTTCAGTGTGGATGAAAGTATATAATATTGTCTAGTGTTTCAGAATTTTGGTTGGCTTGAGTCTTTTAAATAGTGTCTAGCATAACCTACAGCATAACCTACAGCCAAAAACCGCCTCCGTGGTGTAGTGGTTAGAGCGTCCGCCCGGAGAGCGGAAGGTCGCGGGTTCGATCCCTGGCCGCGTCATTCCAAAAGACGTTAAAATATGGTACTTGTTGGTCCCTGCATGGCGCTCGGCATTAATGGGTACAACAAGGACTGGTCGGCTCGGAATCAGTATACTGTGTCTGAGTGGGGTATTCATGCTTCACTGCGGCATGGTATCTCAGTGGGCTAGCACTATAAAACCAGCTTCAGTCTGGGCTAGTACAAGCAACCGCACATACACACGCATGCACGTTGTCATATGAGCGAAATATTCTCAAGCACGACGTTAAACCCAATTTCACCTCACCTCACCTACAGCCAAAGGGATGGCGTAAAACCTGCTGGGAAATCACGTAGGAAGCAAAAGCATTGTAAGTCCCCTTGATCCCCAGTAAGGTGGTCAAACTTTGGTTGTTGGTGGTTTATAGCCTGGTGTTAATTGGTAAGAAAGAATATGTTGAAACTACTGTCTTCTTGTCTTAATTTTCATCAGGTTGGTTTTATTTTAAAACGGTGATATACCTGCCTATTTTACTGTCAATTGTCGACAGATATTTTAAAATGATTACCTTGTTTTCATCGCTATATAGCTGTAATCTTTCCCGGCGCGCTGTAACATGTTGACTCACTCACTAACAATCACGAGAACTCGCCACTGTTCAGGTGTCACCTCACTAACTGAAGCTGCAAAGCGTGCAGCACGGAGCACGTGCAGTGTCATGCACAAGGTGTAGTTTGCTCGTGCTCATGTTCAGTGTCACAGGCCCCGAAGGAGAACATGTTTTCACAGAACAACATGGAGGATATATCTATACATATCTGACCGGTGTCAGTGGTTTGACTATCCCGTTGCTTGGGGTCCGAGGTGCATGCATGTGTTCTGGAATGACAGATCGACGTACTAGATGGCAGGTAGGTTGTTTGTGAATATTCCAATGCTTTATTGTGTTGACTTATGTGATTGAAATCAAGATTAGCACCAAAGTTTGGGTCTCAATCTCTACTGGGATCTACTGTCTGTCGGGGAAATGGTAGTTGATGACGGCCAACTTCCGGTCGAGCATAGACAGGGCCACTCTGATAGCCCCTGTAATACCTGGGTGAGACATTTGGAGGCAGAACCGTATGCAATGGGCTCCGATGTCTAATAAATAGAGAATCTCGCCCAAGTGTATTCTGATATCAATTATATCAACACGAGTTGATAAAGTTACAAATATTTTTATTATCAGAAGACACGAGGGTGAGAATCTATTTACAGGGTTTTACATGACGCGTGATTCATGCGTATTTGACGCAACAATTATGTTAATGACTCTCAAAATACTGTCATATGAGTCAAGCTTGACGCAAGTTTTATAGGTGGCCCTCACAATTCAGTTCAATTACATCGATATGATAAGCAAAAAGTGATATTGCTTGATGATAGTTTGACTTTTACAGAGCTGTCAGATTGTTCCAGAGAACTGAGAGGAGACAGTAATCCTGGCTGTCTGAATTGAACAATGCTGTAGTTTCATTTGGTGGTGTCATTTCTGGTGTCCCCCGCCGTGATATTGCTGGAATATTGCTAAAAGCGGTGTAAAACCATACTCACTCAATCATTTGGTGAAGTGACATACATAGTTACATACTGAGAATGATTAACACAAAGAAATATTACAAGTTTCATGACTCCCAAATATTGAAAATGACTCCCAAAAATACATATTGTGAGTCACTATGACTCCCATTTTTAAAAGTCTGTGTAAAACCCTGTATTTATCATAAAAAGTCACTCTTCATTAGTTTTCAATGAAAAAATGTACATCTCGGAACATGGTTCTGCCATTAGACTTGCAGTGGAGTGATGCAATAACATTGTGACGTCATCAAGTTCATGACGTCATCTCATTGTCAGGGCATCGTAAAAAATCTACTGCCAAAACGATTAAACTAAGCAATATCTCCACTGAACACAGTATTGGATGATAAGATAAATTTCGGCTACCCAGTCATATCCTAATAAAAGTATTTGGTCCGATGTTTCTCTTTTTCAATCTACACAAACTTTGAAAGCAATGCCACAGAAATATTCTGAAATGTAAGCAAGAACCTAATTAAAAGATACCATGGCCATCTGTGTTTTCAACCTTATCCAACATGTATCTTGATGGCAGAGCAAAGTTCACCATTGAATCCTCGGGCTTTATGTCACCTTTATCTGATTCTTCCTAGTGACCTGTGTGTTAATCCCACTCAGAAAACGGAGAAAGTTTCGGTGAAATAACTTTTGACCGATTCTCCAGAATTGTTTAATCTCATCTCTGTATCTCATTTGAGTTGTTGTTTCAAGTGAATACTACTGTATTATGTCTTCAAACAATAGGAAAGCAATGTTATCCAAAGGGAGTTTCCAATGTGTAACAAACGGTTGAACTTCATCCAGGTGTCAACAATTTCACGTTGTCACAACGTTGTTACGGCGTAATGATTTCGTTGTAACGTTATTCTGTGGACGTTAACGTTTTTCACAACGTTGTGGCCCGACGTTTTGATACGTCATTTTTACGTTGCCACAAGGTTAAAGTTAGTTGATGCTAACGTGTTTTACGCTGTCTTACGTTCTATTTAACGTTAATTGTTGAATAGTTTCCCATTATTGGACAGTACATAAGAGACAAAGTAGAAATTCTCTTACATGTTTATTCGTCAATTCGCATGTTTTTGGTCGTGTGTTTTCTGAAGCTGGAGCTGTATAGCGAAAACAAGAATCGTGTTAGAGAAAACTGTGACACCAAGTTATAAGAAACGTTCTTTTAACGTTGTGAGGAGCCCAAAGCATAACATTTCCTCAAAGTAAATTTGCAACGTTGTTATAACGTTGTGTCATGACGTTATAAAATGACGAAATACTAACGTTGTGACATGACGTTACCAATCTACAACCTGGGAAGGTGCCCTGATTCTTTCAATGCTGAAATGACACCTGGAACTGGAAGAGGTTCAGTGACTTCGGACGTGGCATCATCCTCTGTATTTAAGTAAGGCCTGAAATGCTTGGAAAATGCTTTTTGGCTTCAATATCAATATGATGCATTTAACACAAGATAAAAGCACATATATGATATATGTACGACTCTACCTAGTTGGATATTAAAGCTCAGATGAAAAAATGCACTTGAGGGGTGACTTCACAGGAGGATATTTTGACGTTTTAACAACATTCGTAAATATTCTAAGTACAAACTGTAGTTTTGAACTACAGACTATAATTATTCATATAGCCTCAACTTATTAAATTACATAAATGATTGTAAAAAGTTTTTTTTTTTTTAACATCTATATGTGAAAAAGATGGAACTCTTGTAGTAGTTATATTCAAAATAATTAGGTTAAAAGTCTTAATTCAAATCGCATAGATGATCTTGTTCACCCATAGAAGTTTCCCTTCGCGTATGAGCATTGAACTGGCAACATGCGACTTGATATCTCTGCAGAACAATTAATTTCAAATTTATACCAGTATGTCATACTGGAGAAACAAAGGGAGAAACATCTCGTCAGCTATGGCAGGATTTCCTATAGAATGTGTAAAGCCCTTAATTTGACATATAGTCAGGTTTACAAAGTTGTAAACAAATCAGCTACCTCAGGGGTCGTGTCAAAATCAAAACCCGGTAGGAAACACAAACTGGATAGCTTTGATAAGGGTGTCTTACGCCGTGCAGTTTATAAACTGTATGAACGCAAAAGCCCACCGACCTGTACTAAAATACAAGGTGAGATCAAAGATACAATAAATGTCTCGAAACCACACTTATTGTAGCTCTGGTAGAAATGGGGTTCAGGTACACCAAAAGGAGATGACAGAGCTGTGTTTAGAGAAAAGTACTCAATCCTGTCCAAGCGATCATCTTACCTCAGAACAATTGAAGAATACCGCCATTTGGGGTTTCAAATGATATACCTTGATGAAACCTGGTGTAATAAAAATCACTTAACCGATCGGATGTGGCTTCCTTCAGATTGTTCTAAGGCACCAGTGTTACCATCAGGCAAAGGTAGACGCCTGATCATCTTGCATGCTGGTACCCGTAGCAAGGGACTGACTGGGGGTTTTGACTTTGTTTTTGAGGCCAAGACATCTGATGGTGATTACCATAGCGAAATGAATGGGCAGGTATTTTTGGATTCGTTCAAACATCAGCTTTTACCACAGCTGGACAAACCAAGCGTTATCATTTTGGATAACGCCAGTTACCATAAGCTGCGTGTCCCTGGTACCATCACACCCACCATGAGCAATCTCAAAGCTCAGCTGCAGGATTTTCTCACTTCCTGTAACGTGCCTTACAGGCAATCAGAAACAAACCCCCAGCTCATGGAAAAAACCCGGCAGATCAAAAAGCCAGTCCAGTTCATTACTGACGAACTAGCTGCAAAACAAGGCCACATAGTTCTGAGTACACCAGGTCGGCACTCTGAGCTCAATCCCATCGAGCTGATCTGGGGTGACTGTAATAACTTTATTGCTCGCAATTATACCACATTCAAGCTTTCAGACGTTAAAGAGCTTGTGTATGCTTCTTTTGAGAGAATTACCCCAGAAGTGTGGCAAAAGGCTGAAGACCGTGTTCTCAAATTCGAGGACGAATACCGTCTGCGGGATGGTGATAACGTCAGCCGAGTTGCACCTGTTGTAATTCCGCTAGAGTCCTCGACCAGCAGTGATACTGACACTTGATATTTTGAGAAGGTCCCTGACATGTACTGCCCGTGCGTTACATAACGCTGTCACCCTGCCAGGTGGGTCACAGTATAGTTTGTTTCTTTGAAGTGTTTCTACCATGGAATTTTTTCTCAGTTTTTCGATATTTTACGAGTAATCATTATGCTTATGGAATAGTACATCGTGTTTACTCATATGCCATATTAGGTCGAGGTGGTATGAATGATTATATATGAGTTTTGAATATGAAATATGAACCATTATCAAATAATTGCCAAAAGGCATTTTCCAAGGATTTCTGGCCTTACTTTAACAACTGTTCCACGGCGACTGCTGGTGCTGCTGCACGCAACGTCGTGGTCAGTGTTATTTTCATCAACCTTCTGTTTTTTGTTTGAGGGGGCCCCTTAATCTTCAGCCCTCAAGGTCAAAGTAAATGTGTCTGGTGTACACGACTTGCCAGATGCCACATTTTTGGATTTCTAAGGGAATTATATTTTCAAGTGCTTTGGTTTGAAATATTTTATTTTTTTACTGTCAATATCAGACATCCTTTGGCAAATTTGATGACATTATGTGGATGGTGCTTACACAAATGTTTAATAATTTTACAAAATTCTGATTTCTCTGAGCAATAATAACAATGGAAACTTCCACCCATGAATGAAAGCAAACGAACAGGAAAAGCGAACGAATCAGAATTCGATAGCTGCAACTACCAAGACAGTTTCGTGTGAGAAGAAAACCACAACCCGTACAGTGACTACCATCGATGCCTACAGTTGTTTTCGTTAATATCTCAGTTTGTATGTTGTGACAGAAACTAAAATCTTGACACAGCGGCTACATAACCTCATTTAGCCTATAAATGCACAATACGTGAAATGGATTCATAATGTTGTAAAATACGTCGAAAGTGGTCCATTTCTCGGCTTTTCCGATTCGCGCCGAAAGACGTG